GCATTGATCTATAAATACAGGTCAGCATTTATCTATCTCAGTGTTAGCATTGATCTATAAATACAGGTCAGCATTTATCTATCTCAGTGTTAGCATTAATCCATAAATACAGGTCAGCATTTATCTATCTCAGTGTTAGCATTGATCTATAAATACAGGTCAGCATTTATCTATCTCAGTGTTAGCATTGATCTATAAATACAGGTCAGCATTTATCTATCTCAGTGTTAGCATTGATCTATAAATACAGGTCAGCATTTATCTACCACAATGTTAGCATTTATCTACCTCAATGTTAGCATTGATCTATAAATACAGGTCAGCATTTATCTATCTCAGTGTTAGCATTGATCTATAAATACAGGTCAGCATTTATCTATCTCAGTGTTAGCATTGATCTATAAATTGATCTATAAATACAGGTCAGCATTTATCTACCTCAGTGTTAGCATTGATCTATAAATACAGGTCAGCATTTATCTACCTCAGTGTTAGCATTACAGGATCTATAAATACAGGTCAGCATTTATCTATCTCAGTGTTAGCATTAATCCATAAATACAGCATTTATCTACCTCAATGTTAGCATTAATCCATAAATACAGGTCAGCATTTATCTACCTCAATGTTAGCATTAATCTATAAATACAGGTCAGCATTTATCTATCTCAGTGTTAGCATTGATCTATAAATACAGGTCAGCATTTATCTACCTCAATGTTAGCATTGATCTATAAATACAGGTCAGCATTTATCTATCTCAGTGTTAGCATTGATCTATAAATACAGGTCAGCATTTATCTACCTCAATGTTAGCATTGATCTATAAATACAGGTCAGCATTTATCTATCTCAATGTTAGCATTAATCTATAAATACAGGTCAGCATTTATCTACCTCAATGTTAGCATTAATCTATAAATACAGGTCAGCATTTATCTATCTCAGTGTTAGCATTGATCTATAAATACAGGTCAGCATTTATCTACCTCAATGTTAGCATTAATCTATAAATACAGGTCAGCATTTATCTACCTCAATGTTAGCATTGATCTATAAATACAGGTCAGCATTTATCTACCTCAATGTTAGCATTAATCTATAAATACAGGTCAGCATTTATCTATCTCAGTGTTAGCATTGATCTATAAATACAGGTCAGCATTTATCTATCTCAGTGTTAGCATTGATCTATAAATACAGGTCAGCATTTATCTACCTCAATGTTAGCATTGATCTATAAATACAGGTCAGCATTTATCTACCTCAATGTTAGCATTGATCTATAAATACAGGTCAGCATTTATCTACCTCAATGTTAGCATTTATCTATAAATACAGGTCAGCATTTATCTACCTCAATGTTAGCATTGATCTATAAATACAGGTCAGCATTTATCTACCTCAATGTTAGCATTGATCTATAATTTATACAATGTTAGCATTCTATCTATAAATTAGCATTTATCTACCTCAGCATTTATCTACCTCAATGTTAGCATTGATCTATAAATACAGGTACCTCAATGTCTATAAATACAGCATTTATCTACCTCAATGTTAGCAGCATAAATACATCAGCATTTATCTACCTCAATGTTAGCATTGATCTATAAATACAGGTCAGCATTTATCTACCTCAATGTTAGCATTGATCTATAAATACAGGTCAGCATTTATCTACCTCAATGTTAGCATTTATCTACCTCAATGTTAGCATTGATCTATAAATACAGGTCAGCATTTATCTATCTCAGTGTTAGCATTGATCTATAAATACAGGTCAGCATTTATCTACCTCAATGTTAGCATTTACTCAATCTAGCATTGATCTAAATACAGGTCAGCATTTTCTATCTCTATAAATACAGGTTAGCATTTATCTACCTCAATGTAGCATTTATCTACCTCAATGTTAGCATTGATCTATAAATACAGGTCAGCATTTATCTACCTCAATGTTAGCATTGATCTATAAATACAGGATCTATAAATACAGGTCAGCATTTATCTACCTCAATGTTAGCATTGATCTATAAATACAGGTCAGCATTTATCTACCTCAATGTTAGCATTGATCTATAAATACAGGTCAGCATTTATCTACCTCAATGTTAGCATTGATCTATAAATACAGGTCAGCATTTATCTACCTCAATGTTAGCATTGATCTATAAATACAGGTCAGCATTTATCTACCTCAATGTTAGCATTGATAAATAAATACAGGTCAGCATTTATCTACCTCAATGTTAGCATTGATCTATAAATACAGGTCAGCATTTATCTACCTCAATGGTCAGCATTTATCTACCTCAATGATCTATAAATACAGGTCAGCATTTATCTACCTCAATGTTAGCATTGATCTATAAATACAGGTCAGCATTTATCTACCTCAATGTTAGCATTTATCTACCTCAATGTTAGCATTGATCTATAAATACAGGTCAGCATTTATCTACCTCAATGTTCTATAAATACAGTCAGCTTTATCTACCTCAATGTTAGCATTGATCTATAAATACAGGTCAGCATTTATCTACCTCAATGTTAGCATTGATCTATCTATCAATACAGGTCAGCATTTATCTACCACAATGTTAGCATTTATCTACCTCAATGTTAGCATTGATCTATAAATACAGGTCAGCATTTATCTACCTCAATGTTAGCATTTATCTACAAATAGAGGTCAGCATTACCTATGTTAGCTACCTCTAATGTTAGCATTGATCTATAAATTAGCATTTATCTACCTCATGTTAGCATTGATCTATCAATACAGGTCAGCATTTATCTACCTCAATGTTAGCATTTATCTACCTCAATGTTAGCATTGATCTATAAATACAGGTCAGCATTTATCTATCTCAGTGTTAGCATAGATCTATAAATACAGGTCAGCATTTATCTACCTCAATGTTAGCATTAATCTACCTCAATGTTAGCATTTATCTACCTCAATGTTAGCATTGATCTATAAATACAGGTCAGCATTTATCTACCTCAATGTTAGCATTGATCTATAAATACAGGTCAGCATTTATCTATCTCAGTGTTAGCATTGATCTATCAATACAGGTCAGCATTTATCTACCTCAATGTTAGCATTGATCAATAAATACAGGTCAGCATTTATCTATCTCAGTGTTAGCATAGATCTATAAATACAGGTCAGCATTTATCTATCTCAGTGTTAGCATTGATCTATATATACAGGTCAGCATTTATCTACCTCAATGTTAGCATTTATCTATCTCAGTGTTAGCATAGATCTATAAATACAGGTCAGCATTTATCTATCTCAGTGTTAGCATTAATCCATAAATACAGGTCAGCATTTATCTACCTCAGTGTTAGCATTTATCTATAAATACAGGTCAGCATTTATCTACCTCAATGTTAGCATTTATCTACCTCAATGTTAGCATTTATCTACCTCAATGTTAGCATTAATCTATAAATACAGGTCAGCATTTATCTACCTCAATGTTAGCATTAATCTATAAATACAGGTCAGCATTTATCTACCTCAATGTTAGCATTTATCTACCTCAATGTTAGCATTTATCTACCTCAATGTCAGCATTAATCTATAAATACAGGTCAGCATTTATCTACCTCAATGTTAGCATTTATCTACCTCAATGTTAGCATTTATCTACCTCAATGTTAGCATTAATCCACAAATACAGGTCAGCATTTATCTACCTCAATGTTAGCATTTATCTACCTCAATGTTAGCATTAATCCACAAATACAGGTCAGCATTTATCTACTTCAATGTTAGCATTTTCTATAAATACATGATACATGTTATTATTGTAGTTCCTTATCACAAGTTAGCACTGGTATACAACATGTCTGGTGTAAAATTTAATTCAATATTGAGAAATACCCATGAAAAACGGATTATTACCGAAACCTAACAATAAAATATAGGCCTAAACCTCATACAAAAGTGTTCATGGGTCGAAATGTCGGAAGAAATGGAAACCTTTCTGCAGCGTATATAACTGACACATTCCATTAAAAGACTAGAAGCAAAATATTATTCAAAATAACTGTATCATCCTCTGCCCCTCTTTATAACTCTCATAAAATCAAAATTAATGCAACATTTCATAGATTTTGATAAGATAATGTGCAAAATCTTTTGATTTTAATACATATTCAATTTATTTGACTCTTCAGTTTAAAGTGTCATGATGCACATATAACCTTTGTTTACTTTCCTGTAAATGGGAGCTTAAAGTTTGGATAACAGATTGATTGGGCAAGTAATAGAGAAGATTATATAATACATTGTTAATAAACTAGGGACATTTAGATTTTTGAATGCAATAGAAATGAATCATATCTATGGTTTTTCATTAGCAACTTAATTTTCTATTCCTAGATAGTAACATATCAGCTTCTCCAACCAATGGTGGTTGAATGTCGCAATTTGGGAAGTGCATTGTCATCACAATATCATTGAGATTGAACATTGAACATTGAATTGCATGTTGTTAACATTGTCCTCAGTTGAGAACATGACATCAGCTACTACAAGGATGCAAAACAAAAAAACAAAACACAAAAACAAAAAAATCTTCAAAATGCCAAATAGTTTTGTCATTCCAATGGTGTTGATATGCTTTTTAAATATAAGAGACAACTTTAAGTTTTGGAAAAGAAAAAAAAAACGCGGAACGGCAAGGGACTAATCATGTTATATCTGGCTTAGATGAAATACAAGAATTGGTCAGCTTGTTAAAGCATTGTATTGTGATTGTTGTTGATAAAGCAGATCATGACTCCTGAAGGCTGAACTTCTCTTTTTCATATCCACTGTCTATTGCTTACTGAATTTGTGGTGTTCACAGACGAATAAGACTCCTTCTATCATCTGTCTTTATCGCTCAGATTTCAGAAAAGGAAAGCAAAGAATATTTCCTCAACTGCCATCAGGAAACAGGACAAGTATGTTCTGTATAATAACAAAAAGTCTCACACAGTTTTCTCTCCTATTTATTAACCCTTCCAATTCCATACATATGACATTTTATATCTGTACATTTGTAATCCCAGACTTTACATACAGGTCAGCTATTCCAAAGAGACAGAAAACATGCCATCAACTTATACAGCAAAAACAAGAGGTACACAACAGGTTGATGACCGGTATAGCCAACACGTTGTACATTATTAGAGATACTGCATGTATAGCACTGCATATTACATAACCAGTGTGGATTACATAGAGAGAAATAGGTTTTAAAAGACCTATATAGTAAAACTTATTATATTGTTACATAGGGACCTATGAATTTGCTACATGTTACAGTACAAGTGAATATGTACCCACCCTAATCTGTTTTAATGGTTTCTAGAGGCTTTGTTGGGTAAGATCAGTATTCTGTGAAGAAATATCACTCTTTAGTGTTAAAAAACATGGGTGTCATTTTTATGGAATACAAATCTAATCCACAAAAACCTCTAAACTTAATAAACAGACAAGGGTAGATCCATATTCACCTGTAACAAATTCTCAGGTCCCTGTGTATTACAATGGTCAAATGACAGTTTATCTTTCAACTGTTAGTTTAGTAAAATTACTGAAATATTACTATACTTATCCTACAATAAACCCAGAGTTCCCACCATAAATAACACAAAGAAAATTTTTAAAGTTTGTTTCTTGAAAAATTGAAACAATTTTAGAATTTTTTGTATAATCTGTAGTCTCTACATTTAAATCTGAAAAAAAAAAATCCACAAAAATACTCATATTGATGTTTTGGTTATTACGTTATATCCAAAATATTCTCATAAACCATAAATGGTGATATCTCAGTCAGAAATTGATTTTCCTAATTCTACTATTGTAATGAAGCACAGAAAGGGCAAGAATAGAAGAAAACATGGATATTTAAAGAAATATATAGATGTGTAATGTAACAATGGATCCTGCTGTTTGTGGAAAGAAATTTGAGTAGTTGGCAAGAAATATAATGATCAGCGTTCATATGGTTTAGGAAGTGACACAATACAATAGGAAGTCAACAGATCAAAAAGCATCAAATTGTGGTGCAGATATGCTCTAAAATGGATAATAGCTACACTTATAAATATTGTAGAAACTGATTATTCACAATGATACTCTAATTAAAAAACGGAATTAAAAAAAAGATTCTGGTACCAATCTTCAGGCTACATCAAAGTTCTAGACCAAGATCACCCTAAATAATGTTATGTCTTCAGTATGTGGTAATTGTTGTAAAATCATGCTAATCATGCATAGGCAAAAATTCAGCTCAAGGTCAGGACTTGAATCCTGGTTAGTTATTTCCACAATGTCATTATCTGAAGCTTGTCTTGTACATCTCAGTAAGTTCTAACCTGAGCCTCAATCAAATCCTAATTTAGACCTTTATCAGTTCCTCTCTGTAAGTCCTTTAGTCAGCATGTCATGATTAGTCCTTATTTTGATTCTTGACAAGTACTCCACACAAAGTCCTTACTTTGACCTTAAACAAGCACTCCACACAAAGTCCTTACTTTGACCTTAAACAAGTACTATACACAAAGTCCTTACTTCGACCCTTGACCAGTACTCTACCAAAACTCCTTGCTGTGACCAGTAGTTCTTACAAAACATGACCTGGAACTAGGCAAATACTTGACATAATAACATGACCTTGAACTTGATTAGTATTTGATGCCGTACAACTCTTATTGGTACTTTGAACCATTATATAAATTTATCCCAACGGTGAAAAGTATTGCATAAAACATATCAAGCATTCTTTTTATAATCTACTGCTACATCAACAATCAGACAGCTAAAGAACTTAATATATGTCCTGTAAACAAATAATATTTAGGGAAATAAGGTTTACAGTAGAGTATAATATGTATAATTCAGATAGTTTAGAAATTTGGAATTTTAGATTACATAGTAGTGTGCAATTGTGTGAAAATAAAACTTTTATCATTAGTTTTTTTTTCCAAAATTTTGAGATAAAACTTGTCATAATCTTTTGACGTGCTTATTTGTGTTTATTACTTTTTTTTTTTTTTTTTTTTTGCTTTTTTAGGAACCGGGACAATCAAAATTTATTTCAATAGTCATCTACACAACAATACAATTTACACAAGTTTTCATGCTGATATTGAAAATTTAAATATAAGAAAATAATTGTATAGCTTCATATATAGGCAAAAGAAAACATGCAAAAAATTGACTATTCAACTGCCTAAAATAACAAAACCTGAATCTTTCAAATTTTAAACTTTCATCAAAAACACCTTTTCATGACTATTTGTTTTCTTTTCTAAACATGTACATTGTGTATAGCAATATGTGGATGTGGTATGTCAACATGTCCAAGTTAGAAATAGCAACAACTAATTTGGCAGTTCACAAAAAATTTACTCTGTTTTTTTGCCTTATAGGAATAAAATCCAATGGTACAATACATTTTATGAGAAAATAACAAGCGTGTTTTTCTGTATTCCTATCAAAACAAAGAATACTGAATCAACACAAAATTGTCAGACATAATAGAGGATGTTTCCAGTCAGCAGAATTCTACTCTTGTCTTGTTAATAATAATTAAGGATGTATGCTACCTTTACTATATATGTATCTCTTTTACAAAACATTTCACATAAGGAACAGGACATTACCTTTTTTATGGTAATTTGGATTATGTGAACCAGCTGATGACACCATTAACTGGTAAACAAAGTATGTACACTGATAACATTCATGTTACTACATGTATATCGAAAGTGTTAACCTCGTAACTCTTACAACATTCTTTGAGGAATGTGTGAGGTAGCATATCTCCTTAAGTGTTTTTAATCTTAATGATTGCTAATAACAACATTTACTCACTGAGATTCAATACTATTAATTGGTCCATAGTGTATAGGTTTTCCAACAACAGATGGATGACTTACATTGCATATAAACTAAATATTCACAAAAATTTAATTTTCTTTTTTCAATCATCGTAATAATGACCTTTCATGAAGATTATATCAACAAAACTTATGTTGATTTTACATGTTAAGTGGGTTTAATGTAATTCAAACCTGTAAAGAGTTTAAAGTATCTTTTAAAATTTTAAGCATTTTGTTAATTAATGCTCTAAGCACCTTAAAACTATCATTACTTATATTCTGTGCTATTTTTCCATGTATGGAATACTTCGGTGAAATATGGTAGCAATGGCAATTCAGCAATTTTTATATTCAATATCAAACATGCAAGTTGAGTGTAATATGTATTCATATGATCACAAATAAGTTAAGAAGGTTTTGTCATTAATGGTGTGTGCACAGAACATAAATTAACAAGATTTTAATTCAACAAAAAATAAAAGTGTGCTTCAATGAGCCATTCTGTTAAAACACATCTTAACTTTGGCATGTCAAAGATTTTTTTCTTTACTAACTCCCCCAGGAAAAAAATTCTAAATTCTCATAATTTTGAAATGGAAAAAACACCCAGTTCATACTTGTATGTCAATTTGTGCATCAGTTGAAGAATATGTAGTACAATTATATACAATTATATAGTAAACCCTTTATACAACCTAACAACCAAAAAGTGACAAACATCCATTTATAAAATTTCATACTTGATTGTAAAATCATTAATTTCTGTGGGGTTAATATTTTCACTGATTTTGTCCCACAATCCTGATGTACCAGAAATTAGCCACTTTTAATGTGTACTGAAGTCTATCTCGATTATTACATTTATTGATTTTTTTTTTTTTTTTTTTTTTGAAAAACACTGTTGTAGGCTTCATGAAAAATATGTAATGGATTAACATTCTTTTACTGTTGGCTGTTAGAGTTAATTATTGAAAGCAAAAACACACCACTATTGCATATATCTTAAGAAAGATGGAGCAGTTATCAGTCAGGATTAAACTTACTTACAATACAGGCTACCTTTCTGTAACAGTCATCACTCAGGACTAACCCTAGTGGTCACCAGTCTGTAACAGTCATCACTCAGGACTGACCCTACTGGTCACCAGTCTGTAACAGTCATCATTCAGGACTAACCCTACTGGTCACCAGTCTGTAACAGTCATCACTAAGGACTTACCCTACTGGTTACGAGTCTGTAACAGTCATCACTTAGGACTAACCCTAATGGTCACCAGTCTGTAACAGTCATCACTCAGGACTAACCCTACTGGTTACATGTCTGTAACAGTCATCACTCAGGACTGACCCTACTGGTCACCAGTCTGTAACAGTCATCACTCAGGACTAACCCTACTGGTTACCCGTCTGTAACAGTCATCACTCAGGACTGACCCTTGTGGTCACCAGTCTGTAACAGTCATCATTCAGGACTAAACCTACTGGTCACCAGACTGTAACAGTCATCACTAAGGACTAACCCTACTGGTCACCAGTCTGTAACAGTTATCACTCAGGACTGACCCTTGTGGTCACCAGTCTGTAACAGTCATCACTCAGGACTAACCCTACTGGTTACGAGTCTGTAACAGTCATCACTCAGGACTAACCCTACTGGTCACCAGTCTGTAACTGTCATCACTCAGGACTGACACTACTGGTCACCAGTCTGTTACAGTCATCATTCAGGACAAATCTTTGTGGTTACCAGTCTGCAGCAGTCATCACACAGGAATAATGTTATGGGTAACTGGATTTTTTTATATGAACCAACTGTTTAACAAACTTGTTCATTCATGCACACCATTTCACAAACTGAAATCTATGCCATACCAGGTCGGCATTGCCAAGTATTCCACAAAATCTGTCCAAAACATTTGTCATAATACATGCATACATATGTGCCTGACCAGACACCATTCATCCCAAGTCAAACAAAACCTATCTGTACCCCCCAAAAAATGCCCTGTCTGTAAAACATTTTACCACATCCTACCAAAACAGCAACTCCTTACTCATTGGATGGCAATAGTTTGATTTTCTACTATTTAAAGACTTAAGTTGTACAATACTCAGAGAAGGTGTCAATATAATGAGTCAACTAATTACATCACTGACATCAATTGATTCATAAAAAAATCTGTAAACTACAAGTTGTATACATAATGGATATATTTACAATTATCAAAATAAAATAAAAAGCATCATGGCAACTTTTTGTCAACCATGTCTCCATAAAATTATAATTCTTCTCTGAAAAATCAGCCAATGAGAAGCTTTGCAGCTACAATATGTCAGCTTTCCCACTTCTATGACATCCAAGAACTGGTGGATTTGTAAGAAATGCTGTGATTGGCCAGTCACACAAATACATCATCTATTAGGAACCCTCATCCTGAGAATTTAAGCGTGGCATTTTGGTTGAAGGAGAATTTGTAGCTTCAGACGAATCTAGACTGGCTTTACTGGAATCCCTTTTCTTACTGACATTCTGTAAAGTAGAAATATCATCATAAGACAAGCAATATGTATTGAATTGAATATTTTCAGCAATTGATAAAGATTGTATATTCTAACATTGAACATCTTTTGTTTAAGATGTTATGATTTTATCGTTTTTGTTTGTTTTCCTCAGTCGGCTCGAAAGTTTCGCGATTCTGGTCTTTAACATCACTGACAAGTCAACTTAGAAGGATGAAATAGGTGCATGATGTAACTTCATTCATTATTTGACTCCACTGTATCTAATTCCCTATTTGTATGGAAAGGTGCTAATTATCACTTGTATGTCTTATGTACAACCTTGTAAAGGTACTGAAAGTCAAACTGAATGCTTAACAAATTGTTCAGACTGTATTCTGGCTTCAGAATGATTGCTAATTGCAGAGATTAACTTACCTTCTTATTCCACTGTTGATGTAGATATCGAAGCAGGATATTGGTCTTTTCTGTGGTGATTACTGGAAACAAAAGCCAGCAATTTAATTTACCATTTATCAATATTTGCTGCCTAGGTACTTTAATTCATGAGTTCTGATGATTTATAGACATAATATATGTGTGCCATCTTTCCAAAACCGTATGTATATATGTATTTGATAAACTATTGCTGGACAGTTTATTGAATTATTGATTACTGCATGAAGAAACCACCTGATTTACCAGAGACACTAACTAGGTCTGTCCTTAGTTTATATCTGGATCTAACAGAGTTACTCCCCTTCATTTCACGGTCAGTGTTGTGTTAAGACTTGACATTCAAGCTAATTTGCCAGACACAAGAAACATCAGATTACTAACTAGGTCTGTCCTTAGTCTATATTCTGATCTAACAGGGTTACTTCCCTTCATTTCACTGTCATTGTCATGATAGACTTGACATTCTGCCATCTGATATGCCAGACACAAGAAACATCAGATTACTAACTAGGTCTGTCCTTAGTCTATATTCTGATCTAACAGGGCTACTTCCCTTCATTTCACTGTCATTGTCATGATAGACTTGACATTCTGCCATCTGATATGACAGAGACAAGAAGCATCAGATTACTACCTAGATCTGTCCTTTGATTGCATTCTGATTTATCAGATTTACTTCCCTTCATTTTACTGTCAAGTGTAATGATGACTTTACATTCAGCCACCAGACCTTACAGCGACCAGAATCATTAGATCCCTAACTAGGTTTGTATTTAGTCTACATTCTGATCTACAAAAGTCACTTCCCTTCATTTCACTATTGCAATAGATTAGAATTTTACTCCTTGAGAAACAACTCTAATCTGATCTTGCTACTACTTGAAACACATCAAAAGAAAGCAGCCATGCAGCATTAGGAAGGGGTTGGGGGAGTGATAAATATCTTTTTATGACAATTAGTGGAAGGCTTTCATGAGGTTGTGCATCACTCTAAATTTTTTTAAGATAATAATCAGAATATATGAATGATGGTTACATTAATGTATTTTTCTAAAATTAATCAGAGAAATTCACAGAATGTCATGCATGTACATGACACTGTATGAAGCAATACAATATAAAACACAGTAAGATTGCTTAATTGTCTTTGTATTGATCGCCTGGCGGAACTATAAAATGAAACAGCCATACAGGAAAAGCCTTAAAAGAAAAACAAAATATAAAACAATTGTTTTAGTTTACAATCTTTGTCTCCTTACCTTGATCTGATGGAAAATCTTTAGTGGAAATATACACCCCTGGCTTCCTAACCTGTCAACAAGAATGTCAGAATAAATGTGACTATTAACAGTGAGTAAACCAAGAAATGGTAAAAAATTCACATTATATAGATTTTGATCAATGAATGGTTGTCAGATTGCATCTTTTTTTCAGAATGAGTGCAATCTAGGTGAGAGATTAAAAGAATGACATACATTAGGACATCATGATTATTTTCTGTTTGTGTCATCTTAAAAATAAAATCTTACCACAATTCAAATATTTCTTTTAGTGAATTCTTGAGTCTATTTTATCACAATAAATTCCCTTTATGTTTATTTACTGGATACTTGGTCAACATAGTTTTGTACTTACTCCTACTTTACAGCTGGAGTCTGTGTGAAACTTGGTAAAATTATTTTCATCATGAGATGGCAAACCTTTTAGAAAGTCAGCCTGCAAGGAACAAAATCAAATGTTTTAGAAAGAAAATTTGCAAAGAAATAACCATTTACATCAATCATCAATCTCTTGTCAATAAAAAGGAATTCACAGCTTTTACACCATGTCTGCATTCGATGAACATTATTCTGTTGATATGTACATGATATAATCAAGTTCTACTTGTACTACTTCTAGCTTCTGATTTATGAATCAACCTTGAATCAACAATTTAGATTTAAAAAAACCACTTTGATAATGCATGCATAATATTGCGACCTTTGATCCTTTATAAGGTGATGAAGGGCAGGGAGATAACTCAGAATTATTTTAAAACTTATTTAATCATATAAATTGTCACAACATATAAAAGCTGCAGCGTTATATGTATTGTACTAAATGTTCAGCTGGATGTATGATCCACACCAGACATGTGTCCATCTAAGTATCTAGTCTGGTATAGGATTTAGATAAATTTTGATTTAAGTAGCTTAGCTCAAGCAAGGAGATACATAGGCATGCATGACTTACTATCAGTAATATATGTGGCCAGTAAAATGTTTTAGCACAGCTAGCCGGGGGATTAACCATATGCATAATGATTTTAAAATGTAGCACTTCGATGAAACCATGAGTGTAGAGTTATTAATCATATTTGACTCGATAACCACATATTACATATCCAGCATGTCCATTATCCAGCTACAACTGCCAATCTAAGAAACATATGCAGTCTAGCAATTTTGACATTTCATTCGTGAGGTAAGGCCCCATTGCCAAGTTAAAGTAAGACATCCCATCGTATTTTAAGAATGAGGTTTTGTTTTTTTGAAAAGATTACTCAATGAAAATGGTACTGTAGAGAGAAAAAATAATTTGTCCTTTTTTGGCAGATGTGTCAAGTGAAAATTCACTCAACGATTTTAGTGTTATCATATGCAAAAGTATGAAACTAAAAATGAAAATTCACACAACGCAATACTTCTTTCCGTAAAATTGTTACTATTGAATGGAGCCATTCTTGTAAGACAGGCAACAGGCTATGGTTTATAGAATTCTTCCAACTGTCACTTACCATCTTCACTGTCCGCCATTAATATGCACGTAATTTTAGACACGGAAAGGTAAACTAAATGTCCGGAAAACTAGAGAGTATTTTGTTTTGTTGTGTTGTGTTTGTGGTATATTTTAATTTAATTAGAAATACTCAACGAAATGATAATGATAATGTTTTTTTTCGGATTTGTTACAGTTCCTACTATACTGTCCTCTTGAAGATATTGAAAAATATAATACTCTATCATATTCACGTACCTGTTCATGTAACAGATTCAAGCATTTGAAATAGATGCATTAATACAGTTACTTTATATTCCTGTTGGACATAGTATATATATGTTAATAGTGATTTTATAAAAATGTCATTGTTTTTTTTTATCTTAAATAATAACCAACCACAACATTTCCGGAAATACCTTGACCGGTTTTTGGCTATAGCAATAAACGTTTATGTCCAAAATCCAACATGTCGGACGAAGATTGCATGTATGATGATGATGAAGAATATGATTTGGTAGGCCTGATATATAACAATACAACTTAAGAACTATCACTAACAACGCATATTATGTTTAATCTCATCTTCAGATCTATTTGACAAAGCTGACATTCCACAAAAAGTGCATATCGCCACTATTAGATTTTGAAACATTCAGAACTGACAGTTTATATACTGCAGACGCAGTAGAACGAACCGATTACCTGCGGGTACAATTCTTGCAGAGGTGAAGCATGTAGCTTAAAATCATGCTTATGAAAATGTGTATCCACTTGTGGATGGGAATCCTCTTAAATTTTGTCTTTTTGTTTCTTTAAAATTCATCTTCTATAGAAATATCAGGATTCTGTTCATTTGGTTCAAATGAAAGCAAGCATGATTGAAGGTGAATTGAATTTCAATTTTGAATAAACAGTAGGTGTTGGATTCCTGGGCAGGAGGGTGCCCATTATGGGAAACAGATTTCTTAAAATCCTATTCCATCTGTAGTTATGATTGGGTTTCCCCAAATTTTACCAGAATAATCCTTTGTTGAATGGGAGATAATAATTACATGTTTAAACAGTGGGTCTTTGGGCCCAGGGCCTAGTAGGGGAAATGGAGAAAAATCCTTATTTAGTAGAAATGATAGAATTCTGTTCGAATTTGGTCTGAAGCATACCTGGATGAAAGGGAATCATTTTTGTACAAAGTCAAACTGTTTGGTATTTCTTGTATATTGGAGTGGGAAGCTAAATCCCAAAAGGAGAAATAGAGAAATTCCTTTGAAATCCATTTTCTGTAGAAATATCATAATTCTGTCCCAATTTGCAATGGCTGGTCTCTGCCCTCTAGGGCATGAGCTCAAGGGGTAAGGCTAAATAGTGGAAATTGGGGGAGTACTCTAAAATCCATCTTTTGTGAAAGCCTTGATTCTGTTTGGATTTGGTCTGAAGCTTACATTGCTGAAAGGAACCTGATTTTGTATCAGCCAGGAGTGACAGAGATTTGGGAATCAGTTAGGGAAATGTATGTTCTTAAAAATCCTTTTTTTCATACAAGGATATTTTCCAAGCTGGTACTGAAGCATTTTCTTTAATGGTGAATCTGACTTCAGTTGACCAAAAGGCCAGGAGCCAGTAGTGAAATTATTTAAGAAATGATTTGTCATGTTTGAAATTCTTTGTTAAATGACTGTTTAGCTGAATAAGCCAGGTGAGTGATGCAGGCCCATTGGGCCTCTTGTTAATATTTCTATAACTTTGAGTACGTAATGATCCTTTTAATAAACCTAAGCCTCAAACATGTATTCTTCTTGTCTTACAGTCATGGAAGAAGTTGATCGAACAATATCTATATATATAAACCTCAATGAAACCTTTGATTTCATGACTTAAAAGACTTATTCATGAATGTGGACAAGAACATTGGTCTACATAAATTGATGAAAGAATATTCCTGAAAATACTTCTTTAGTCATAATTATATATTTCAAGGCACTGACATAATATTCTAATATAAAACATGTATCAAGTATTTATTCAATCATGTTTCTTATTGCCAAAAAAGAAAATCAACTGAAAGTTGAACTATATTTTTTTTGTAGCTACAGGTTTTATCATAGTTCACAGCTGAACCTATGATAAGTATGGAAATTTTAACCCAAATATGTTTTTTTCACCTATCAAATGATATCTTTCACTTCTGCATTTAAGATTTAAATGATTCCTATTAAATCTATATGAATTATTTCATTATGTACAGGAATACTCTGAAGAAAGTAATTCTGAACCAGATGTTGACTTGGAGAATCAGTACTACAATTCCAAGGCTCTGAAGGAAGATGACCCTAGAGCTGCATTGGAGAGCTTCCAAAAGGTGAGAAGATAGGTCAAAATGAGAACAAAACAACATCTTATTGCGGTAAAATAAATGATGTCCTGTTCAGGTATTTTAAGTGTATTCCATTTCCTCTCATGATAATTAGACCAAGGTATCTCCATATATTCATCAACCAAAGAGTGATTGATGGAATTTGAAATAATTTTTTTTTCACAATGGTTATAGAATAGATAAAACTGAGAAAAATGAAATGGGGTTGATCTGATTTAAATATATTGTTTTTCAGGTGTTGGAGTTGGAAGGCAAAGATAAAGGAGAATGGGGCTTCAAAGCTCTGAAACAGATGATCAAAATTAATTTCAAACTGGTAAGTTGATTTCTACTTTATAGCACTAAGATTTTATTACATTGAAGAAAGTATTCAGCTTATCATCAAACTAAAGTTTACTTATCAATGAGATTTTGTCTTAAAAAAGTGTTTCTTCAGTTACTAACTTGGGAATTAAATACAGTTATATGATTAATATACTTTTATTTGTCTAACTTACAATCAGTGATGACTGTAATAAATTAAGTAGATGTAAACCAACTCTCACTACTTTATTGTTCAATATTTCATATTAACAAATGCTGATTATTTTCCCTCTGGTTGGTTCCTGACAATGAAAGGTAAATGTTAAATTTGAATGTCTCTTGATAAATGTTTTTTCAGAGTAATTATGAACAGATGATGGTGAGGTATAAGACTCTACTGACTTACATTAAGTCAGCTGTAACGAGGAATTACTCAGAAAAGTCTATCAACTCCATCCTTGACTATATCTCCACATCAAAACAGGTATGTTTTAAACTACCGGGGGTAGATATGTATAACAATTCACTCCATCAACTCCATCCTTGACCCTATCTCCACATCAGTACAGGTACATTTTAAACTACCGGGGGTAGATATGTATAACAATTCACTCCATCAACTCCATCCTCGACCTTATCTCCACATCAAAACAGGTACGTTTTAAACTACCGGGGGCAGATATGTATAACATTTCACTCCATCAACTTCATCCTCAACTTTATCTCCACATCAAAACAGGTACATTTTAAACTAGATATGTATAACATTTCACTCTCTCAACTCAATCTTCGACCATATATCCACATCAGAAGGTTATATTTTAATCTAGATATGTATAACTACCCGCTTTACTGTACCCTGTACTGTGACATGTACGTTAAGGGTGCTTTTGTAGAATTTGAAAGTTTGCTCAATTGTTATCAAAGTATTGACATATCCAGTTGAACAAGAAACTTTGCCAAATCTTTAGATGTTAAAGTTCTGTTTGTAGATGGAGCTGCTACAAGACTTCTATGAAACAACACTGGATGCCTTGAAGGAAGCTAAAAATGAGAGATTATGGTTCAAAACTAACACCAAGCTTGGAAAGCTGTACTTTGATAGAGGAGACTATTCCAAACTGCAAAGAATTTTGAAACAGTTACATATATCCTGTCAGGTACAATTTTGTTTGTTTTGAAGACTAAAAACAATACGAAAAAGCCATTACATTGCAAACATTTGAATTTTGAAAACTCTCTACTGCCACAATCCATTGAAATAATCTTAAAGTGCTGTTGATGAAAAATCACAACTGTTTTGTATTACAGACTGACGAAGGTGAGGATGATCTGAAGAAAGGAACACAGTTGTTAGAAATATATGCCTTAGAAATCCAAATGTATACAGCACAGAAAAACAACAAAAAATTAAAGGTAAGACGTCTTATGTAAGAAAGATGGATGATCAAATATGTTATGGTAGTTAAAATTTTGATGTGAAGACTGATTTATATGATTGAAATTTAGTTATTTGTATGGTGTCAGCTAAAATTTTATATCATAAATATAATATTATCACTTCATAGACAAACTTAGTTGATACAAGATTTGATGCAGGTTTAAGTGTTTCAGTTCGTAAATGTCTTCATGTGGAAAGAGATATCTGCACTTTGGAAGCTATCTTGATAAATATGCATGATGTGAATTGAGTTTATGTTTTGACTTTGTTATTCCTCAGGCTCTGTATGAGCAGTCTCTCCACATCAAGTCAGCCATTCCCCACCCGCTCATCATGGGTGTCATCAGAGGTATGTATACTCAAGACAAAATCTATTTAATATTGTTTTGTTAAATTAGTAATCCAGTCTAAAAATCATATTAGACATTTACTTTCTGATAATTCATAAATTTAAAATGATTTTTGTCTCAGTTTATTTTTTTTTTTTGTCTTAAGTTTGTGTTTACCTGTATTGAAGTATACATATAGTTACCTGTATTGTAATATACATATATTTACCTGTTTTGTAGTATACATATAGTTACCTGTATTGTAGTATACATATAGTTACCTGTTTTGTAGTGTATACATATATTTACCTGTATTGTAGTATACATATAGTTACCTGTATTGTAGTATACATATATTTACCTGTATTGTAGTATACGTATATTTACCTGTTTTATAGTATACATATAGTTACCTGTATTGTAATATACATATATTTACCTGTTTTGTAGTATACATATAGTTACCTGTATTGTAGTATACATATAGTTACCTGTATTGTAGTAGTATACATATAGTTACCTGTATTGTAGTATACATATAGTTACCTGTATTGTAGTAGTATACATATAGTTACCTGTATTGTAGTATACATATAGTTACCTGTATTGTAGTATACGTATATTTACCTGTATTGTAGTAGTATACATATAGTTACCTGTATTGTAATATACATATATTTACCTGTATTGTAGTAGTATACATATAGTTACCTGTATTGTAGTAGTATACATATAGTTACCTGTATTGTAGTAGTATACATATAGTTACCTGTATTGTAGTAGTATACATATATTTACCTGTATTGTAATATACATATATTTACCTGTTTTGTAGTATACATATAGTTACCTGTTTTGTAGTATACATATATTTACCTGTTTTATAGTATACATATAGTTACCTGTATTGTAGTAGTATACATATAGTTACCTGTATTGTAGTATACATATAGTTACCTGTATTGTAGTGTATACATATAGTTACCTGTATTGTAATATACATATATTTACCTGTTTTATAGTATACATATAGTTACCTGTATTGTAGTATACATATAGTTACCTGTATTGTAGTATACATATATTTACCTGTATTGTAATATACATATATTTACCTGTTTTATAGTATACATATAGTTACCTGTATTGTAGTATACATATAGTTACCTGTATTGTAGTAGTATACATATAGTTACCTGTATTGTAATATACATATATTTACCTGTATTGTAATATACATATATTTACCTGTTTTGTAGTATACATATAGTTACCTGTATTGTAGTATACATATAGTTACCTGTATTGTAGTAGTATACATATAGTTACCTGTATTGTAATATACATATATTTACCTGTATTGTAATATACATATATTTACCTGTTTTATAGTATACATATTGTTACCTGTATTGTAGTAGTATACATATAGTTACCTGTATTGTAGTAGTATACATATAGTTACCTGTATTGTAGTAGTATACATATATTTACCTGTATTGTAATATACATATATTTACCTGTTTTGTAGTATACATATAGTTACCTGTTTTGTAGTATACATATATTTACCTGTTTTATAGTATACATATAGTTACCTGTATTGTAGTAGTATACATATAGTTACCTGTATTGTAGTATACATATAGTTACCTGTATTGTAGTGTATACATATAGTTACCTGTATTGTAATATACATATATTTACCTGTTTTATAGTATACATATAGTTACCTGTATTGTAGTATACATATAGTTACCTGTATTGTAGTGTATACATAGAGTTACCTGTATTGTAGTAGTATACATATAGTTACCTGTATTGTAGTGTATACATATATTTACCTGTATTGTAGTGTATACATATAGTTACCTGTATTGTAGTATACATATAGTTACCTGTATTGTAGTGTATACATATAGTTACCTGTATACATATAGTTACCTGTATTGTAGTATACATATAGTTACCTGTATTGTAGTATACATATAGTTACCTGTATTGTAGTAGTATACATATAGTTACCTGTACATATGTTACCTGTAGTATACATATAGTTACCTGTATTGTAGTGTATACATATAGTTACCTGTATTGTAGTGTATACATATAGTTACCTGTATTGTAGTGTATACATATAGTTACCTGTATTGTAGTAGTATACATATAGTTACCTGTATTGTAGTGTATACATATAGTTACCTGTATTGTAGTGTATACATATAGTTACCTGTATTGTAGTAGTATACATATAGTTACCTGTATTGTAGTGTATACATATAGTTACCTGTATTGTAGTGTATACATATAGTTACCTGTATTGTAGTGTATACATATAGTTACCTGTATTGTAGTGTATACATATAGTTACCTGTATTGTAGTAGTATACATATAGTTACCTGTATTGTAGTAGTATACATATAGTTACCTGTATTGTAGTGTATACATATAGTTACCTGTATTGTAGTGTATACATATAGTTACCTGTTTTAGTATACATATATTTACCTGTATTGTAATATACATATAGTTACCTGTATTGTAGTATACATATAGTTACCTGTATTGTAGTATACATATAGTTACCTGTATTGTAGTATACATATAGTTACCTGTATTGTAGTATACATATAGTTACCTGTATTGTAGTGTATACATATAGTTACCTGTATTGTAGTAGTATACATATAGTTACCTGTATTGTAGTGTATACATATAGTTACCTGTATTGTAGTGTATACATATATTTACCTGTTTTGTAGTATACATATAGTTACCTGTATTGTAGTATACATATAGTTACCTGTATTGTAGTATACATATAGTTACCTGTATTGTAGTATACATATAGTTACCTGTATTGTAGTATACATATAGTTACCTGTATTGTAGTATACATATAGTTACCTGTATTGTAGTATACATATAGTTACCTGTTTTATAGTATACATATAGTTACCTGTATTGTAGTGTATACATATATTTACCTGTTTTGTAGTATACATATAGTTACCTGTATTGTAGTATACATATAGTTACCTGTATTGTAGTATACATATAGTTACCTGTATTGTAGTATACATATAGTTAACTGTATTGTAGTATACATATAGTTACCTGTATTGTAGTATACATATAGTTACCTGTATTGTAGTATACATATAGTTACCTGTATTGTAGTATACATATAGTTACCTGTATTGTAGTATACATATAGTTACCTGTTTTATAGTATACATATAGTTACCTGTATTGTAGTGTATACATATATTTACCTGTTTTGTAGTATACATATAGTTACCTGTATTGTAGTATACATATAGTTACCTGTATTGTAGTATACATATAGTTACCTGTATTGTAGTATACATATATTTACCTGTATTGTAGTATACATATAGTTACCTGTATTGTAGTATACATATAGTTACCTGTATTGTAGTATACATATAGTTACCTGTATTGTAGTGTATACATATAGTTACCTGTATTGTAGTGTATACATATAGTTACCTGTATTGTAGTATACATATAGTTACCTGTATTGTAGTGTATACATATAGTTACCTGTTTTATAGTATACATATAGTTACCTGTATTGTAGTAGTATACATATAGTTACCTGTATTGTAGTAGTATACATATATTTACCTGTATTGTAGTGTATACATATAGTTACCTGTATTGTAGTAGTATACATATAGTTACCTGTATTGTAGTGTATACATATAGTTACCTGTATTGTAGTAGTATACATATATTTACCTGTATTGTAGTGTATACATATAGTTACCTGTATTGTAGTGTATACATATAGTTACCTGTATTGTAGTGTATACATATAGTTACCTGTATTGTAGTGTATACATATAGTTACCTGTTTTATAGTATACATATAGTTACCTGTATTGTAGTATACATATAGTTACCTGTTTTATAGTATACATATATTTACCTGTATTGTAATATACATATATTTACCTGTTTTATAGTATACATATAGTTACCTGTATTGTAGTATACATATAGTTACCTGTATTGTAGTATACATATAGTTACCTGTATTGTAGTATACATATAGTTACCTGTATTGTAGTGTATACATATAGTTACCTGTATTGTAGTGTATACATATAGTTACCTGTATTGTAGTAGTATACATATATTTACCTGTATTGTAGTGTATACATATAGTTACCTGTATTGTAGTATACATATAGTTACCTGTATTGTAGTGTATACATATAGTTACCTGTTTTATAGTATACATATAGTTACCTGTATTGTAGTGTATACATATAGTTACCTGTATTGTAGTGTATACATATAGTTACCTGTTTTATAGTATACATATAGTTACCTGTATTGTAGTGTATACATATATTTACCTGTTTTGTAGTATACATATAGTTACCTGTATTGTAGTATACATATAGTTACCTGTATTGTAGTATACATATAGTTACCTGTATTGTAGTATACATATAGTTACCTGTATTGTAGTATACATATAGTTACCTGTATTGTAGTATACATATAGTTACCTGTATTGTAGTATACATATAGTTACCTGTTTTATAGTATACATATAGTTACCTGTATTGTAGTGTATACATATATTTACCTGTTTTGTAGTATACATATAGTTACCTGTATTGTAGTATACATATAGTTACCTGTATTGTAGTATACATATAGTTACCTGTATTGTAGTATACATATATTTACCTGTATTGTAGTATACATATAGTTACCTGTATTGTAGTATACATATAGTTACCTGTATTGTAGTATACATATAGTTACCTGTATTGTAGTATACATATAGTTACCTGTATTGTAGTATACATATAGTTACCTGTTTTATAGTATACATATAGTTACCTGTATTGTAGTGTATACATATATTTACCTGTTTTGTAGTATACATATAGTTACCTGTATTGTAGTATACATATAGTTACCTGTATTGTAGTATACATATAGTTACCTGTATTGTAGTATACATATATTTACCTGTATTGTAGTATACATATAGTTACCTGTATTGTAGTATACATATAGTTACCTGTATTGTAGTATACATATAGTTACCTGTATTGTAGTGTATACATATAGTTACCTGTATTGTAGTGTATACATATAGTTACCTGTATTGTAGTAGTATACATATATTTACCTGTATTGTAGTGTATACATATAGTTACCTGTATTGTAGTATACATATAGTTACCTGTATTGTAGTGTATACATATAGTTACCTGTTTTATAGTATACACATAGTTACCTGTATTGTAGTAGTATACATATAGTTACCTGTATTGTAGTGTATACATATAGTTACCTGTATTGTATTAGTATACATATAGTTACCTGTATTGTAGTGTATACATATAGTTACCTGTATTGTAGTGTATACATATAGTTACCTGTTTTATAGTATACATATAGTTACCTGTATTGTAGTGTATACATATAGTTACCTGTTTTATAGTATACATATAGTTACCTGTATTGTAGTGTATACATATAGTTACCTGTATTGTAATATACATATATTTACCTGTATTGTAGTATACATATATTTACCTGTTTTGTAATATACATATATTTACCTGTTTTATAGTATACATATATTTACCTGTTTTATAGTATACATATATTTACCTGTATTGTAGTATACATATATTTACCTGTATTGTAATATACATATATTTACCTGTATTGTAGTATACATATATTTACCTGTATTGTGGTATACATATATTTACCTGTTTTGTAGTGTACATATACTTACCTATATTGTACAATATATTATTTCAGAATGTGGTGGGAAAATGCATCTACGCGAAGGAGAATATGAGAAAGCACACACAGATTTTTTTGAAGCATTTAAGAATTATGATGAATCTGGTAGCCCCAGGTGAGCAACAAGTGTCCAGCATTCCATTTAGTATTGGAAATCAACTGATATTTTTAATCAAAAGATTGAATTATGAAAGAATACATGGTGCTGTAAAAACACTGGAACAACTTATCTCTGTTTCACAGATTTTTTTAGACTGTATTTCTTCAAATCTGATTCTTTGAACCTTGAATGTGTGTCAAGGCTATTTTATTAGCCCTATGCAGATGAAACTGGAGGGGACCATAGTGTTTGTTTTCATCTGTCTCTATTATTTTCTGGTTTCTTCCTCTTTCCCATCAAGAAACTATTCGTGGAGAGAGGTCTTTCAGTTGTGAAAATGAGACACCTTTCCATTGGTATCAAGGTCTATGTTGCATAGAAAATTTAATAAACAGCAGGGGACAAGTGTTGCATACAAAGCTGACTGTAAAGCTTGTTTGTAAAAGAATATTTTAGAGAGAACAATAGCTGGTATATTGTAATGTAACGATGATCTGTTACCTGATATTCTGTTATTACAGACGTACGACCTGTCTGAAGTACCTGGTTCTGGCAAACATGTTGATGAAATCTGGCATCAACCCATTTGACTCTCAGGAGACCAAACCCTACAAAAATGATCCGGAGATTCTTGCTATGACCAATTTGGTCAGGTAGGTCATTGTAAGGAAATTTGCCCTGGCCAAGGGTGGCAGCAACTGAATAATCACAAAGCATATCTGAGGCAATATTTATAGCAAGTGGATAACCATCAAGGACTTTTTATGAAGTGTTGCTAAATCAATGAAGATTTATCATGTTGGGTTTGCGGATTGATGAATCATTATTAGAAATAAAAAATTGTAATTCATAACACATCTGGTGTTGACAAACCTTCAATGCTTACAAATTTTTCATAAATATTTCCTTTTATGGCAGTTTTAATTTTTCTCTAGTCAGATGAATTAACTGATATCTCAACATCTTTCTCTCAGATCTGTAAATGAAAAGTAAGTGTAAGTGAATATTTTAAGATAATAGTTCAATGATTCATTAGTAAAAAGTTGAAACACATGGAAGGTTGCATTGTATTGTATAACACACTTTTGTTAGTTTTAAAGAGTTGAAAAATACTGCTTCTTGTTATAATCATATTCAATGTAGCAGTAATATAAATTTTATTTGTTATTAGTGCTTATCAAAACAACGATATTAATGAATTTGAGAAGATTTTGAAAACAAACAGAAGAAATATAATGGAAGATCGATTCATCAGAGAACATATTGAAGGTTTGTAACCTGTATTTGTACAGGATATTAACATTATAGAGGTTGATATTTCCCAGTATATATTTGTAATTTCCAATGAAAAAGCCTTTTAATTTCAAACATCAATGTTAAAATTGGAAGTATTTATTGACTATCAAGGTTTGATTAATTCAGTACTATGGAGTTTCTCTAAATTGGCTATTCCTGGGACAGGAGTATATTGACAGATAAAGGAGATTTCTGTTATTAAACAAAAAGTAGATTTCTTACGATCTGGATATGTCATTTCTCTAATGTCATTTTGTACTTTATATGAAGCAAGAATCTTCGTGATTTATAAATGATAAAAAATATGTTGTTTACTAGTAAATAAATCAAATTGTGTGTTCATGCAAGTTATTGATAGCTTTAATTAACAGGAAAATAAATTGATCAGTAACATTAATACATCCATGAATTTATTTGAAAATTCTATAATGATTTGTTTTGTTGTATCTTTTGATCATGATCAAAGTAATGTTTCAGATTTTTATGTTCTTTATTTATAATATTGTTATACTTTACAGATTTACTAAGGAACATTCGAACACAAGTGCTTATCAAACTGATCAAACCCTATACCAGAATACACATACCATTTATCTCAAAGGTAAGTACTGATCAAACCCTATACCAGAATACACATACCATTTATCTCAAAGGTAAGTACTGATCAAACCCTATACCAGAATACACATACCATTTATCTCAAAGGTAAGTACTGATCAAAGCCTACACCAGAATACACATACCTTTTATCTCAAAGGTAAGTACTGATCAAAGCCTACACCAGAATACACATACCTTTTATCTCAAAGGTAAGTACTGATCAAACCCTATACCAGAATACACATACCATTTATCTCAAAGGTCAGTACTGATCAAACCCTATACCAGAATACACATACCTTTTATCTCAAAGGTCAGTACTGATCAAAGCCTACACCAGAATACACATACCTTTTATCTCAAAGGTAAGTACTGATCAAAGCCTACACCAGAATACACATACCTTTTATCTCAAAGGTCAGTACTGATCAAAGCCTACACCAGAATACACATACCTTTTATCTCCAAGGTAAGTACTGATCAAAGCCTACACCAGAATACACATACCTTTTATCTCCAAGGTAAGTACTGATCAAAGCCTACACCAGAATACACATACCTTTTATCTCAAAGGTCAGTCCTGATCAAAGCCTATACACCAGAATACACATACCTTTTACCTCCAAGGTAAGTACTGATCAAAGCCTACACCAGAATACACATACCTTTTACCTCCAAGGTAAGTACTGATCAAGGCCTACACCAGAATACACATACCTTTTATCTCAAAGGTCAGTCCTGATCAAAGCCTACACCAGAATACACATACCTTTTATCTCAAAGGTAAGTACTGATCAAAGCCTACACCAGAATACACATACCTTTTATCTCAAAGGTCAGTACTGATCAAAGCCTACACCAGAATACACATACCTTTTATCTCAAAGGTAAGTACTGATCAAAGCCTACACCAGAATACACATACCTTTTATCTCAAAGGTCAGTACTGATCAAAGCCTACACCAGAATACACAATACCTTTTATCTCCAAGGTAAGTACTGATCAAGGCCTACACCAGAATACACATACCTTTTATCTCAAAGGTCAGTCCTGATCAAAGCCTACACCAGAATACACATACCTTTTATCTCAAAGGTAAGTACTGATCAAAGCCTACACCAGAATACACATACCTTTTATCTCAAAGGTCAGTACTGATCAAAGCCTACACCAGAATACACATACCTTTTATCTCCAAGGTAAGTACTGATCAAAGCCTACACCAGAATACACATACCTTTTATCTCAAAGGTCAGTACTGATCAAAGCCTACACCAGAATACACAATACCTTTTATCTCCAAGGTAAGTACTGATCAAGGCCTACACCAGAATACACATACCTTTTATCTCAAAGGTCAGTCCTGATCAAAGCCTACACCAGAATACACATACCTTTTATCTCAAAGGTCAGTCCTGATCAAAGCCTACACCAGAATACACATACCTTTTATCTCAAAGGTCAGTACTGATCAAACCCTATACACCAGAATACACAATAGCTTTTTTATCTCCAAGGTAGGTAATGATCATACCCTATATAACAGAATGTACATACAATATCTATTATCTCAAATGTCATTAACAAGAGTGACAAATAAGTGTTCTGTTAATTAGTCTCCAGTAGGCAAATATTAGGTGTTTTATAGAAGAGGATATCAACCTTTAAGCCTCCGTTGTATAGGATTCCTGTAAAGTTAATTCATCATACAAGGTAGTTTAAAACCTGTTAGCAAATAGTCTCAACTATCATTTTATGCAGAGTTATGGTCCTTTTTCATCCTGCATAATAACAGTGAAAGATCATATAAGTGATTGCGATTGGTTAAACAGATCAGATGCTGTTTTGAAATACAGTATCTTGCTGAGAAAGTATTTAAAGTATGTGGTAACATCTTTTATTTCTTATTATCAAGTTTGAACCTATAATCACCATATATTTAGCTGTTATACTGCTGTATTTTCCCATCATTAAGCACATAACTGTTAATAAATCTGCTGATATTTTTAAGTCAGAGACTGTGTTAGCCATTTGGCTTATTGCTGAGTAAATATGATGTATCTTGGTACTTCTAGGAGCTCAACATAGATCCGATGGAGGTGGAGAATCTTCTAGTGTCCTGTATTCTTGACAAGTAAGTTTCTTGGGTATTAACTAAGATTCAAACAACAAGCAAATGATAATGTTGGACAGCTAATATTAATCAAAGATTTCCTCCTTGTTGTATTCATCTATTTTTAGGCTTTTGAATAAAAACATTTGCTGCAAACTATTTAAATTAGAGGAGGAAGTTAGGCCCCTAACAGTAAGAAAAAATTCATGTTTTTGTTATTCTGTGTGGTGCTTAGTCATTGAAATTTACAATGTCTTATGTCATCGATAGTTACAAACAGCTTCAGTATAGGAGAGGATGCTGAGTGTTCCTTAATAAGATTCTCTACCCATACTATAGACAGAGTTATGCACCTTTTCAATTTATAGCCTTTTCACACTACTTTGGGTGGTTTGGACTAAATCTAAACATACTGTAATGGACAAGTTAATTCAGTTAGTTAAACTTATATTCCTGTACTATTTTCTTCACATGTTAAGGGAAAATAGCAATATTATCTACGTGGTTGAGCTTCTTTAATTGTAAGAGTGGAAATAGTAACCAGTTTAAACTTTTGTCAGTAGGACAAAAATAAATGATTGGTCAAAGTATAATGTCAGAGGACCAATTTTGTACTGGGTAAAAACAGTTTTATGCAACAGTTGAAAATAACAACTGGGAGAAAATAGCCTTTCATATGCAGAATTAAATAATTATGTAATAAATATATACCATTGAAATACACATAGGGTTTTCAGTTATTTAAGAATGAATTGAGAAGATCTGGTTTTATAGAATGCTAAATTAACTTCTATGAGATCAATGTACTGGTGATCACAGTCCAACATCTTATTTCAGTGCCATACATGGGAGGATAGACCAAGTGAACTTAGTGTTGGAACTTGATCGGGAGGCAATGGGTACAGCCCGATACAATGCTCTGGATAAGTGGACTGCCCAGTTACAAACAGTGCACCTGGCTGTGGTGAACAAGACAGCATGACACCATGACCACCGACAAGCAACTGACCATTGGGTCTTTTGACTTATTGATGTCATTAATAATCAAGGGAAGTTAGATTATCCAGCAATCGTTACCGCATTTGACAGATGTGTAAACCTGTTATTGGTGTTACGACACAAAGTAAATGTGGCTGCAGTGCTTTAGGCTCTTTGAGGCCATTTAACTTTAAATTTGTCTTTTGACAAGTGTTAAGTCATTGCAATTTGAAACACCACAATTTCTGTTTAACAGAAGGAAAACATTTGATTGCTATCAGTATAGTAAGTTAAGACTTAAAAATTCTATTTAAAAAGTAGGATTTTTTTGTTAGACATAAACAAAGAAATGTTAGCTTCTTTGTTGAAAAGTCATTTGTGCTCAGTTGATGAGATTGTGATGGAATTTTCAATGATGATCTGTTCATACATCTTAAGATAGTGCATCTCCAGAAAATGTTTAATGACCTGTCATCTCTTTTACTACCTATTCACGATGTTTACAAGGATGGATCTTGTTATGTGGACCCAAACTCCTGGGAAAAAGTGCTTCTGAACTTTAACACTTTGGAGCAAAAAAAGTCAGACCTAATAGTGATCTGAGTGCTTATACAATTGAAAAGTTTCAGTTTGGAGAGAGAGAAATCAAAGTGTTTGAACAAGAAATGCAACACAAGATCATGATGTCAAACTACCAGATCATGTAAACATGTGCACAGATGTAATATTAAACTTTTTTTTAACAAAATTATATTTTTTCTTATCCTCTTTTACCACACAGAATTCATACATACAAAATTGAAAAGTTGAAAAACCAAATGAGACTTTTAATAAGAAAAATAAAAGCACATTCATACTCCAACAAGAGATCCCAGTGGGATCTTGGCGCCCACCATTTGAGGATCTGTTTTCAGTTCTTGAAGATCTGCTTATTTTTTTTTGTTTTTTTTGTTACAGGTGTTGTAAATGTTCATGAACTGGTCTTCATTGAATGTACTCAATGATTGCACAAGATATTTTCATTAAGCACCTATTAGCAAATATCATTTGAAAAAGGTCCCAAAGTATTATTAGATAGCAGTCAGTTACAGATGGATAATGGACATGGTCTTGAATCAATATGATAGAATGTCAAAGAAAATAAGCTTGTGCTGTATTACTGTCGACATCCAAGATGGCTGCCTGTGGGCCACCTTGATTTCAAATCAGTCCAAAAAAGGTACAATGCACAATTAGGGACCAAGGGAAACCAATATCTATCAAATATCAGAAGGATCCATCCAGTACTTCCTCAGAAACAGCAGTAACAAGATTTTACTCTCAAAATCCAAGATGGCTGCCTGTTAGCCATCTTGATTTTGGATCAATGGAAAAAAGGTAAAATGCACAATAAGGGACCAAGGGGAACCTGCATATGAAATTTGAGAAAGATCCATCAAGTATTTTCCCAGAAATAGCGATAACAAACTTTTATTTCAAAATCCAAGATGGCCGTCTGTGGGCCATCTTGAATTCGAATCAGTCCAAAAAAGGTACACTGCACAACAAGGGACCAAGGGGAAACTGCATATGAAATTTGAGAAAGATCCATCCAGTACTTTCCAAGAAATAGCGGTAACAAACTTTTACTTTCAAAATCTAAGACGGCCGCCTGTCGGCCATCTTGAATTCGAATCAGTCCAAAAAAGGTACAATGCACAACTAGGGACCAAGGGGAACCTGCATCTGAAATTTGACAAAGATCCATCCAGTACTTTCCAAGAAATAGCGGTAACAAACTTTTACTTCCAAAATCCAAGATGGCCGCCTTCTTTGAATTCGAATCAGTCCAAAAAAGGTACAATGCACAACAAGGGACCAAGGGGAAACTGCATATGAAATTTGAGAAAGATCCATCCAGTACTTTCTCAGAAATGGCGGTAACAAACTTTTCCTTTCAAACTCACAAGATTGCCGCCTGTAAGCAATCTAGAATGCGAATCAGTCCAAAAAAGGTACAATGCACAACTAGGGACCAAGGGGAAACTGCATATGAAATTTGAGAAATATCCATCCAGTCCTTTTCCAGAAATAGCGGTAACAAGAATTGTTTACGGACGGACCATGGATGCAGGGCGATTTGAATAACCCACCATCTGATGATGGTGAGCTAATAAAAACAAAACTGAAACAGTGAATGTAGTTATTTTATTTCAGTTTGTAAACAAAATGAAAATGATTATTCTTACAATAATTCTGTTAAAAATATGAGTTTAAAAATACAATACTGAGGCTAGGAATGATCCTTTATGTAATATCACAGTTAGTGTGGAGTGAATGTATCGGTTCTACATGTGCCGTTATAAATAGCATATCAAAATGTAGTATAAATACTAATCCCAATACAATTATGATCCATAGAATATTCCAAAATAATTTCTAGCTTTGTTCATTTATATCACACATACCGTACAATTGTGATGGTTACTTCAAACAAATGTGACAGAGGTTACAAAGTGACTGTTAGGAATCTTAACACTGACATCTCATTTATCACAATTCATCGCCTACTTGTAGCAAAACTCTCACATTTTTACATTGTACAACAAAGTGAAGAGAACTTGAGCCTCTGTGGATTATGGGTTTGTCTCCCTCTCCACTCTTGGCCGGGTGCCCTGTCCCCATGCTGCTAGACAATCTAGAAATTCTGGGATGTAATTGTAAGGAAGGATGAAGGCAGCTGCACATGAACATTGACTAAATTTCATTCAAAATCATAAACATAATCTTTGCTGACTTATTTATATGTTAATAAATTAAATGCAAATGAGATTTACCAGGTAATTGTGTTACTCGGCATCGTTGAAACAATCATGTGATAAAGAACACCACAATCTGAATTGCTAATTATGGAGTGATCAGTCATTATTTCAGTAAATAATAATCATTTTATTACAAAACAAGACCTGTGAAATTATTTATCAGGTTATATGACTATTGATGGGTCCTTTGATGGGTTCCACAGTATTGTGTACAACTCATTTCTATTGATCAGTTACTATTTAATGCAGAGAATAACAGGGATTTTTTCATTCCAAAATGTCAATAAAACCTCTGCTTTAAGTCCAGATATGATATCGTTTATGCTGGTGCCGACATTATCAACATTATTTGGCATTTAATTTCCATTGACCTTTCAGTTGCTGTTTTTCTCCCCAAAACTTAATTTACCAGACATGTTATTTGATTGAGTTTCTGTGGTTAGGAGCAATAACAATGGTGTACATTAATGGGTCAGGTGGATCTGAAATAGCAGCAATCAAGACTGACATTGAGGATAATTGACAAAACCCCAAAACTTTGCTCTAAGATTCACGCACTACATCACAAAAAACACCAATTCAAACGGCCACATCTAAGAGGTAGTCTGATAGGTTGCAATTAGTGACAAACAAAACTAAATCAGATTTTAACAAAGCTTTAACACAAAGACATGGACAGCACTACGTTAGTTTGTACACTTCAGTGATTTTTTTTCTAATAATGTATCTAGAACTTTTACTCTTAAATATTATGTTAGAAAAATAATATTCTAAATATTTCTGAAATGCTGGTTTCAATGACACTCTGAAGTTAAAGCTTATTTTGATATCAGTGTTGGACATTGTTATGTCCTGGCTGAGGATTTTTATTTTTGAAGTACATGTATCACCACATTTCATTAAGAATCACTGGGCAGGTCTTTTGAAATGATGTGATAATGAATTTCTACAACAGTCGAAACTTTAAATCCTCAATAATTCCTGCAGAACCACATCCCTTGGTGATGCACAGAGGAGTTTGTCCATAACAGAAACAGTGTGCTAAATGTCACCCAATATGCCAACGCTGTCCTAGCTAAGAACAGGCTGAGAGAGTGGTCGTAGAGGCGAGACACTTCTACTGCGTGACATACTGCGGTCCCTGGAGGCAGATCGACTACGTGCCTCTTTCCCCACTTCCACCAGGTTTTTTAACCTTCCTAGATGAACCATAGCTCTGAAAGATAATTCATATAAACACTTTAACAGTAAGTTGGTGTGTGTACTTTTCTTTAAATACAAGTTTACCAATTTATTGCATAGAATTAGGACAGATCAATTAAAATTCATTTAACACAAGAATGAAGCTTTTATGTACATGGGCCTTAACGGTCACCTAAGGTCTTCAGGTCTTTGGACATTTTAGAACCTGTTCATTAGTCCCAGATTTGGGGCAGACAGAACAGAATTGATTTATGCATACTTACAAAGTTTCATCGTTTCTAAGTTTAAAGGCTTAATTTTCAATTAAACATATCTGATAACATTGTCTGTTGTTATAGTTTAGCATATTGACCCCCGTGAACATGAATGAAACATGATAGCCCTTCATCCCAGCATGCTACTGGCCCAATAGGTCATTTGGTTATTGAGAAGAAATTGTTAAAATATTTTAACACATTTGACCCGTGACTTTGAAAATATGTCAAGGTCATTCATTTGAACACACTTGGTAGCCCTTCATCCAGCATGATAAATTTTCTACATAACTGCTTTGCACTCAATATGCTAGGATCTACACTACAAGTAAATCATGTTCTGCGAGTGAAAATTCAATGCAGAATAGGAAAATAAAGTGACTAACTTTTCCAAGGACTGGCCTCCAGGTTCGTCTTGATAATTGTAACCTTTAAGGGCAGGTATCTCCTCCTCAAGTTGTAGGGAGCTAGAACTTGCATTTAGTTCCTTCCTCTGTAACACACAAAGATATTAAGTTTGGGTAGGTTTCAGAAAAGGGTAAAGTATTATTAGCAAAAATTGTAGAAGAATTGCAATTAGAAGAAATATGCTTAAGTACCATTGCAATTATTCTTTATCAAATGTATGATTATTCAAATCTTAATGTGATGCCCAAGGGCCTTAAAGGTCACCTTTATTTGATCTAGACAGTTATCATAGCTGATGTGACACGACAGAAATAATTTCATGCACAAGGTTAGATATCTTTAACTTACAGTGATGTGAGGTAGAAAGTGCTTTTTATCATTACATGATAAAACAAGTGTCAAGGTATAAATAATGTTATTGAAATTTTAGCCAATAGGAACATTTTTAGTCTTAGACCTGGATGCTGGACCAATAAAATAAATCATGAAGGATGGGCCCGTTTTGATTGTGAATCATCCTTGAAGCAGGTTTTTTGTACTTACTGACTCGGCAATGATTTGAGCTATTTTTTCACGGTTAGACGTTTCCTCCGAGGCTTCAGCTTGTAACTTAAAAAGCATGTTCTTCAGTGTCTCAAGACTCCCTGGCTGTGGTCGACCCGTTAGGGTCTCACACTGTTATATAAACAGATAATTAGTTCCAATACATTTTTTTCTCAAAAAATATTAAATAATTTAGAAAAGAATAGGATTCTCAGAAACGAAATCACTCCAAAATAGCATTTATTTTAGATATTAGAAGTTTAGTAATTTACAGTCACAATCACTGAAGGTCATTTTCTTATAAACAATCAGTATGATCTTTAGTAATGTACAACTCAGATTAATATAATTTCTTTCTTAATATTGACAGAGTTGACTTTTTTATCATCACAACATATTCCTTGCTTTTGAGAAATCAATCAAATGCACTTATAGCAGTTTAAATTTAAAATTTAAAATTCTTCACGTCTATCAGAATTAGAACTTTCTCTTCAGTAATAGTTTAACATATTTCATAGCTATGTTAAAAAAATCTTTGCAGTAAATAGTTAACCTTTGCTGAAGAATCTCCTGGCTGGACTCCTGATTCTTCTTCAGACATATAAACTGGGGCCTTACTGTAAAAAAGAAAGACAAGATTACAACATGAATCAACAGGCCCAATTGGCCGAAATCACTTGCCTGTTTTACAGCTTTCACCAAAAAAAATTGTTAAGTCATTAAGTCTATTCCCCATACATACTACTACACTAATACCATGACCAAGGGCATATTGTTGACAAGAGGAAGAATTCTTTTATGTTATTCACACATTTGACCCTATGAACTCCTTCATTTGAACAAACTTGGAAGATCTTTATTCCAGCATGCTACAGCATAAAATGAACTTTCATCATGTTTATTGTGCTACATGTTCATTTTAATAACAGCTTATTAATGTTCCATACCAAGTCAAAACTTGATATTTTAAACCTGGGTCTCGGTCTGAATGTTACAGTTACAACCAAAAGAATTTTCACTTGTAACACCAAAGTCAAGACGAACAATATTTGACATACAATGATGCCAGTGGTTTTTCCCAGGGCCGATCACCATCTAACACCAGGTCTGTGTCCGGAGTTTGTGGTCTTGATCGAGATCGCCTTGGTCTGCTGGGGCTTCCCGCAGGAGATTTTCCTGTCATTATAAAACAATTCAATAACCCCAATTACATGTTAATTTAAAAGGAATTTGTTGATCTACATGTTCATTAAAGATTAGCTAAGTTTTCACAAATACCTAGAAATTTAATTGCTTTTTTTTGGGTATTTTTTCTCCCTTATTTCACTATTTTCAAAACTTTCCTTCGTTATTTTAGAAATTACAAAAAATATCCATTGCATTAAATTTTTTGTGATGCTGACTTGACTTAAAACACCAGGAGCCAGGTAACTATGTTTACTCATATATATCAATACTGTACAGAGTAACAGCTCAGATTTTGTGTTAAAACAAAAATTAAAAAAACAAAACCCATACACATCCCTGTACTGTGTATACTGCTTGATAGAGAAAGTGAATGATTCACCAAACTTGTATTATTATTCAATAGAAAGACTTACCATTCCGTGAAATAGGACTTGCCCCAGTAATATCACTCTTGGTAGGGGCAGACAACCCATTTAATAATGCTGTAGTATCTAGACTGGAACACCTTGGTGCATCATACTGGCTGTCTGACTGGATGCCAGTCACACCAGAAGAGGTTGAGGGCTTGGGTCCACAACCTAACCCCTCTAGATATCGGTCCAGTGCATCACTACTGTCTAGTTTAGTGTTTCCACTCTCTAATACTTCTCTAGGCAATTTACTAGCAATTTCAAACTTCTCTCCAGGTAATGTCCCTGTCGTGTAATTGTTTGAGGACAAATCAAAGTTCACCGTTTTACCCTTAGTGGGAGTCACCATCAGATCTTTAAATGAAAGACCGGGCGGATTTGACAACGTGGAGTTGCCGAGTCCTGACATGTCCATATTAGGAGCTAACAGATTATTGATGTCTGTCTGGTTATTGGACACACCTGATACCAAACTGTTGATGTCTGACCCATCAAGGCCTTGTACCCAACTAGGTGGAGGGCGACCTGCAATGAGGTCACGCTTTGACCATAAATTGTCACTAGGATTAGAAATATCCAAGGCCTCAATCCAACTGGGAGCTTTATGTTTGGATGTATTAGAGTCTAGTCTATTTTCAGGGGCACTTTTCAGATTACCAAAAAGACGGTCATGCTGTCTAAACGAGGACGGTGACACAGAGCGACTCCTCTCCTTCTGGCGACCACTCCCACTGACTGGCGGCCGATAACTAGAAGGAGGTCTATTTGTGTTCAAGTCCTTCTTAGTTTCAGGTTGAACTTCAGAACCTGTACTAGGCCTTTCTCTGCTTAGGGACCTTGAACGTGTGCGTGCAGTCCTGTACGAGTATACGTGGCCGTGCCTCTTGGGCTCTTCAGCCTCTGTAGCAGCAGCCAGTGCTGCTGTATATTCCTTGCTGTAACCACCCACTGGATTCATGGTCAACAGCACATCAGTGGACATGCTGCCGACATCACTGGCTGCAGCAACAGCTGGCTCCTTTTCATCCTTGGCTAGTCTATTCAAAAGCTTTCCAGACCGGTTCAAAGCATCCTCAGCTGTGATCAAGAAATGCAATATGTGTTTAGAAAACAGAAAATCATTATGAAAATAACAGAAACTTAATTATAATGACTGTTTTGAAAACTACAGGAAGTATAGTACAATCAAATTGAATTTAAAATTTACACAGCGAACAGAGTTTAATGGGTCCTTGTCAACCCCTGCCATTATCTAAAAAATAAAGTATCTCTTATACTGTAAAATTGTTCATTTTTGTGGGAGATTAAATTCCATTGATTTCGTTGGTACTTTCATTCCATAAATTCATGTGTCCAGGAATTGTTAAAATAAGTACACCTGATAAATATATTCATTGGGTAATATTTGTCCATGCAAAAGTGTTATGTGAAAAAACATGATAATTGAATCTCCCGAAACTAATTACTGTACTATTTGTCTAGCATCTTACAAGTATCTTTCTTTCAGATATACATGCAATGGTATGTAATAGAGTATATCAGCATATCATTAACGACAGAATCACAGATATACACGCAATGGTATGTAATAGAGTGTGTCAGCATATCATTAATGACAGAATCACAAATATACACACTATGGCATGTAATAAAGTGTATCAGCATATCATTAACGACAGAATAACAGATTTACACACAATGGTATGTAATTAAGGGTATCAGCATATCATTAATGACAGAATCACAGATTAAGTGTACCACATAGTAAATGACAAACCCTGGTCTAGTTTTAGAGTTTTTTCTTCTTCATTTTTTACTCCTTTTTTGTGGGTTTAAATGATTGACTCTGCTGCTTATAGTCAAATCTTTGAAATCAGAACATTAATCAGAAGATTAACACAGCATCAGTATAACAGATTGATTATCTTTTTAATATAGGAGCTTCAGTTTAAATTAGTTAAATAATATTTAATATAATTTAATTTATTTTACATAAAATATTATTTTTTTTACCTCACAAAACACTACAGTGAATTACAACATCTCAAAAAACATGTTGCTGTACATTTTGTGTTGATGATGACAAAACACTGGACAAAATGATTTGAAGAAATCTAACTACACACATTGAAGCTTAAAGTAAAAATAAGAAAAATGATTTATCAAAAGATGAATGAAATGTTGTCATTAATGTATTTGTGTAATAAGAGGTGATGATTATGACAAGACTGATATAGAGGGTTATAAGGATTAATCTAGTCCAATCCTGCTTACTGAAAAAATTATCAGACATGAAATTATAATGTATTCAAATATCTGAAAATGTGAGTGAAATACATAAAAATGTGCAAAACAGTGATGATTAAAAAAAAGAGATCACAGTGTTGAAGGTAATAATAAAAAAAAAAAAATGTGAGGAGTGATGATGAGAAATGATAAAGAAGTGCCCATCCGTGAGAAATAGTGAATATTATATGTATTTATCGTGAATCACATGGTACAATATCAAGAAATACAGATATTAATTTATCAGATAATCTGTAAACCAAAATACACATACCACAAGGTAATATGTAATTTACTAGGGTAATGTAATTATTAATCAAAACCTTTTCAGGCAACGAGATCTTTTACAATGAGTGTAATTAAGATGAATTGAATCATAGCCTGATGAAAATTGAAAAAATGAATTTGGTATTTGGTAAGATATAAGAAAAGTTACCAAAAGATTGACAATTTGGTTAGGTAATTGACAGAGAATAATTTATAGATATCAGATATGTAGCAATACAGAAAATATACATGTTGAAAATAATGTGAACTTAATGCTGTTCAAACACCCAGCCTAATTAATCATTTCTGTTCGAAATAGAATTGAAATAATGATCATGCATCACGTTTATCAAAGTTTTTTTCCCCTTTTTTCGTTTTTTTTCCCCTTTTTTCTAAAGAATAATCGTAGCCAGAAGTTAATGAACTGAGGGACTACTATATGGCCTTATTTATTCTATTAATTTATTTATCTATTTATTTATCTATCTATGTTATCTATTTATGTTATCTATTTATTTATCTATTTATTTATCTATTTATTTATCTATTTATGTTATCTATTTATTTAAACAGACTTATGTCTACTACTACAGCCTTCACTAGATGATTCTGAAAGATCCAAGTACATGCACACTTAACTTGTGGACTTAAAATGCCACTCACAATAATTATACCTGACGCAACATATAAAATAACACCATAATCATTTTAAGACAATGTAAAATAAGCTTAAAACTTCACATACCGTCACCACGCTTGCGGATAGCTTTAACCTTCCTCCCTAACAAGCCCAAAAACAACACACTTATACGTAATGAAGTTTTCCATATATAATGTAAGTTGAAATAACTAAGAAACATTTGTCTTCATTTCATTTTTAAAGTTATATGTATTCAATTGATTTGTGTACTGAATAGAAAAATAAAACCCTAAAAAAAATAATGAATAACAAAAATAAAAATAAGTTGTCAATAAGAAATTCTATTAATCATTTTACAAATAAATATAAATTGTGTTATATCATAAATCTGGATCATAATTAATCAAAACTATTTTGTATACTGTTTATAAAATCTACATGTATCATACAGTAACCAGTTAAATGATGACTGCATAACAATATTAGACAGAGTTCATTCCAAGTTTTGCCCAAGATTCTCTTCAGATCAAAGATTAAATTAGGAACGCAATTTTCTAGTTATGTACGTGTACGGTAAAGGTATAGGACCAGAGAAACATTTTAATAATGAGTACATTTTATACCCTTCTGTCATTTACTTACACAAACTTACACTAAATCGTTAATGAACTTTAATGCATCACTGACCATAAATTTAAATAGAAAAGATTGGAATGAACCTTGTAACATTAATTTAGCCTTTAATAAGTGGTTAAAGTCAGAAAAGTTCACAAAGCATTTTTATGTATTCTATCAACTCACACCATGTAAAATTGCAATATTTCACCTTTGTTTGTAATTCTGATCAAAGCTGAATATGTTGACTGAAAATTTCTCTTTTTTTTCAGTTGACATGTTTATATATATATTTAAATTGCCCTGAAAATTGCTATCTCTGTATTTCTGAATAGCTGTAACAAATTTATGACATAAAATAGATATTCAGTAAATTACCATAAAATGAGCTTTCAGGGACTTTAATGTACACATGGGAGCTAATCACTGATAAAAATGCTTTGTGTTTAGTATATATAATATCATCCCACAGACCCTGCTAAACTGTAAACCAACTTAGCTGTATCTCAAAACAAGGTGGCATTATGATGGGTATTTTAACCAAGATATCTAAATAGTAATAATATCTTTTTTACTGAGATTTGATATGACCAGCTGTAAGTTGGTTGACAGTATACTATATAATTACTGAATCACAATACACATCTTACCCCTTGAACGCTTCCCAGTGGGTCCTAGACATGCGGCGAGTAAATATAGGAATGGCTCATCAATGATACAGAGGGAGAATATAAATAGCTTACACCACCAAAACCATATCACTAAAACTTCACCTCTAAAGTGCATGTATTCTACATATATAGTAAAGTTGTCTATTCTTTTTCTATATTTTCCTTACACATGAATTAAAACAAATTTTACAACGTATACCAAGGAATTAAATACTGATTAAGACAGTACTGATAATAATAATGGCATACATGGTTTTTGGAGGGTTATTTCCTGTTACCTGATCACTAGATCTACAAAATGTCCATGCATTCTCTACTAAACACTAAATCTAAACCAAAGAATACAGATGAACAGAGCTTAGAGTACTTTAAATCACTATAGTGGACATACTGCCTGACCAATTAAGCCCTCAACTCTCTATATACGTACCTTCTGCCCTCAAGGCACTGGATTTGTTCATTCTGTCATAGGAGTTATTAATGGAGTCCTTTGATTGGGCTAGCTTGAGTTCTGTGGGTGTAGCTCGCACCCCAGTCTTGAGGGACCGTTCAGCTGTCAGGTGCAACACAGACTTGGGATCTAGTAAATCTGTCACGTTCATGTCATACTTATCTCCCTTGGGCTTCAGGCCAGTGTATTGGTCCATGTATGCCTGTAGGGCTTCTGAAGCAGAAATGAATTCCCGATCTCCAATTTGGATCCTGGATCCTTGGCAGCGAATCCGACAATTAGGTCGACAGCCATTGGTCAGTAGCCCTTCTGGTGTACCGTTGAAACTACTGAAATCCATGGTTTAACCATAAGGCAGTATCTTCTATAATGCTGGATAGACCTATCTACTCCAAATAGCCATCTACATTGTTATACGCTGTGTATGTGACAAGTTCTTCTTGCATCCAATCTTTAGCCAATCACACTGAAAAAGTAACAATAACATCAATCTTATAATCAAAGCTAGCCATCTGGCTGACAAACATATACATGTCATCTGAAAAAGATTAATTCAGTACTTTCTGAATAACAATAACAATATTTCCTATCTCCTAGTCAGCCTCCAAGTTGAACTTATATTAGTTATCAGTGACTATGGCTCATTCAGTCTTTATTTCTTGAAAAAATGTTAAAAGACCTCTTCAAGGGCCGACTATAAAAATCTGAGACTTTTAATTTGACACTAAAAATGAATATCAGTGTAAAAGAGCATGTTTCTTCAGCAAGTGTCAGCACACTCACTGGTCGTCTGGTCTTTACAGATGAACTACTGCTACTTTCTTGATTACACTCTTTATCAAGTACCTGTATTCAAAATCTAAAAATTGATCAAATACTTACCGAAGACTTCTGTACCCATCTTACCAAAGCTGGACTTGTTGACGCACTGAACTATGGTCACATCAGCAACTACCTGTAATAGTAAGGAATATTTAAATTCACATTCAAAAACAGACATGCCTTAATCTTGTAAGATTACAGTCATTCATACACAAATATGACTTTTATATAAAATCTTAAAAGTACATCTCACTTCTTTCTGCTATGACCCTGTCAACTGACATATGTAAATTTTCCCACCACAAAAGTGCAAGCATTTTGTTAAAATGAAGCTTCTGTGAATAACAACAGCATTGACGGATAGACTGAACCAGTCAAACTTATGAATTTTTGACACACAAACCTTGAGATGCACCCATGTGGACAATACCATTAGAAATCATGAATATACCTCTACAGATCTGGACTTGCCTCGCCGTGGAGTAACAAAACAAAATATGACTGTTCATATATAGATTAAATACAGGCCTCCTGACAGACACTCTTGGAATTTGACTTGAATGACAGGTAAAGAGAACACAGCCATAGTAAACATGCAGTATTGAACCAACAATACGTTTACACCTTTAATCTGAAAATTGGGCACAAGTCTATTAACTAGAGACGGTAATGGGTTTCAGAAAGCATTGTACTGTGTATATTTTGTAAGCCCCACTTACAATGAGGTATTTTAAAAATGACCCAAGCTTTTCTTATAACAAGACTTTTATTATCAAACAGCAGTTTATGTCAGCTCATGACTAGATATCATTGTTGAAGAATAAGACGTCAAGATCACAATTTCAAAAGGTTAAAATAGGTTAATCTTTTTGCATGTACAGTACTGTATAATTCTGATTAATTTTTCCTTTTAAATTTGGTACAAGAAATCAAAGAGATCCTGAAAGACAGGACAGAACAAATCTGAATGTTAGAAAATGAAAATGGTGTATGTGATTTAAATCTTACATTGTATCTAGTTTTACCAATATATCATTTCAGGAAAACTTTATAATATTGCTTTTAAGGTCAATAGACTGATCATAGAATGAAGCTGGACACAATCATACCTTGAACACATGGTTCAATGGAAAAATATCAATTTTTGCTTTATTAATAATTTCTCTTTAATTTTTTTTTTTTAATTTCATGTTGTATGATTGTTTGCTTGTTTATTGGACTTTTATTCTGTCACCAGGCATTATGAGCTAGAGTCTAGCTAGATTTCCTTTCTCATTCAACATCATGACGGGATGCCCCCTACATGCTATCCAAAGCAATCAGCAATAAGTGATTTGCATAAGGTCATGATCTCATCAGCTTCCTTAGAAACAGAGAGGGTTTTACATTTCAGAAATAATTGTCCTTACAATGTACATATTTAGAATAAGCTCTACCCTACAGATCCTAACCATTGAAAACACTGAAAATTTCCAGGTTCCCTGATAAATGATCTACTGAGCCCAAACATTACCTTTAAAACATATAATGTACATCAGTGTATTTTCAAAGTATCGTTACACTTTCCTGTAGTATTATAGAACAGTTAGCTGTTGTGTTTATATTAGCTGCATTCCACACCAATAATGATGTATTTGTAATAAAACCACTAAGGAATGTATAACTGTGAGAAGGACAGGTATATTTGAACCCATTTCCACAGAAGCTACCAGCTGGTATATATACATTTACTTCAAAATGCATAAACTAACTACATTATGTATTATATTCTACTGATCTAAAACTATAGTCAGTTGAATGCATCACTAAACACAATGTTTCTGTGTGTATTTATAACACTGTCTAGTATATATCCGGTCTGATCATAAGATTTACTGACTAGATAGATCAATATAGGTAGCTAGGTGGGTAAGTACAATAAAATTGACCTGACATTATGGTACCCTGAATTCTACCTCAAACAAAATAACCATATCTCTAATCTAGTCACTTGTTTCCTCCACAACCACACGCACAATGTAAAGACTTTCAGGTGAAGGGCACAGGTAAACATATCAATCAGGGTAACTTAATATTTAACGTAAATTTGGAGCCCATTTAAGATCCATCAGTAGATTTCTTGCCTTACAAGTTTGATCTGGACTAACACTCTCTAAGACAACCAAGGCCATTACTCAAATCAGGAAGATTCCCTCCTACTTAATACATTTATCAATAATAACTTTTTAAACAAGAAACACTATAATTATATAATACTGTTCTCCAACCAGGAAGATTAATTCAAAGTTAAACAATACTCTAAAATATACTGAAAAAAGGATTTCAATAAAATTAGTGAACAGATTTATCAAGAAAGTTGCAAACAAATTATTTCATGCGTAAAGTTTGAAAAAATGAGACATGCAGCCAGAATCAACTGCAGTGAACTTTTTATTCACAATATACAGGTAGATCACAATGATATACACTCTTTAAGTTTAATTTAAGGCAAAAATCGCAAAACATTCATCAATAAACATGCCTAAATATTGAATTACTTTAACCTTTAAACACATGTCATTCCTATTGATTTACTTTTAAACTTTAAATACATGTACCTGCATATACCATGTCATCAATAAATTGTATCCTGAATCATCTAGTGTACAGGTATACCACACACCTTGACCTTAAATGTGTCATAACTCCTTGAAAGAAATGGAGTCTTTCAGATTCAAGTTAAGTTTAATGTGATTCAAGAACTCGTAACAGATTTATGACTGACACAACCTAAGGTAACGCAACTTTACAAGTGCATGTAACGATCGCTACAAGGGTAGAACAGAGTTAGTGTGGTGATCAATTTTGCTTGGCACTGATCGATAATAAATGTTAAATTCACTTTAATTAATTTCCACTTACTACAAATGGAATAAATTTGATAAGTGAAGATTCCACTTTTTGAACAACAATGCACTTTCATACTTAGGTGAATCAAAATAAGTCTGAATACTATGTAAATCAAGCCTTTCTGACTACTTTTGTGATACATATGTATGAGCATGGTTGCCACTTAGTGCATTTAATTTATTAAATGCCATCTACTTCCCTGGTAGAATTACTTTATCAACATAAGAATACATACAAGGGCTAATAGGTTGTCAAACAAATAAGCAGTCATTAAATGTTAAAGTGACATCAAGATATTCTAACATAATAAAACAAACACAGATTTAAATGACATATGTCAGAGCACTTATCTATGAACAGTGCAGTAAAAATAAGAGCTTATAGTGACCACGATTAGCCAATTAACCAAACCTTACTGAGACATGTTGGAAATGAAGGACATATTTCTAAAAGCTCTATAGATAGTTTCATACAATCTACTTATGCAAGACTCCCTGCCCCCCTCCCCCACCCCCAAATTACAATAAGACAATGAAATTTAATTCTGTGTGAATGCTAGTAATTTATGTAATATGATAATAGTTTAACATCAAGGTGGGTGTTTTTAATTCCTCAGTGTTACCAACAGCAAAAGATGGGTGTCACTGAAATCATGATCATGCCAGTTGCAAGTTTCAATATTAAAAACACAAATAATCTACCATACTTAAAAGTACATGTATGTATATGAACATTCAAGTATATGGTTTAATAAAATTCATTCATAGATTCGTGAAATAATACTGGCCAGTAACACATTTCATTCATAAACCTGCATTGGAGTACACAGAAATAAACAGCACATATATATGTTTGTTTTTGTTGTATCACCTCATCAGGCAGTATCATTATGTTGACTTACCGAAATACACTATTGATAATGTAGCCTGGCAAATAAACCAAAGTAAACCTAAACACAGCCTTTTACACCCAGATGCTAAATCCTCTCGCTGAAAGTTATCTCAGATAACTTTAAACCTAACAACAGAATGCCTGTGACTTATCTTTTAGACAAGAGTAAGTTAAATGTAAATTTCTATCTAGAAAGTTATGTGTGCTGTCATACTGTATTAAAGTTGTGTCAATATCCAAAAATCTCCTAGACCTGGTACCTTAATACAATATTGCCCTTTATTGGGGCACTTGAAAGCTACTTTCATATGTTTATAACCTCCATCTTAGACTGACAGGTACACACATGGCAACTTATACCTTGTGCATTTTCTAGATTGAGGATTTTTTCCCAAAGCACCATTTACGTTTCACATTTACTAACCTGATATGATGTATCATCTGAGTGATCCCTTTTAAGGTTTTCACTTTACTCTTAAATCCTACCAGCCTTATCTATTTAATTTTCCATTAATATTTATGACATATAATGTCTATTATCTACTTCAGATTTCAAAGAGCGAAAAGCAAATCTGTGTTAGTTTGCTTTTAAACAAAATGAAATTATGCACATATATCTATGTAATGTAAACTGACTTTAATTGAATAAATACTGAAACAGACAGGAATAATAACAGATAGAAATTAATACATACTATAATTCTTATTTTCTCTTTTTTGTATACTACCTTGGATATCTGGTGTAAAGTGAAAATTAAAGTGTTCTCAAAATAAAGTAATTGCAAAAGCATCAATGACATACTTTACTTGCTTTAATCTTCTGTAATCAGAAGTTTCCATCACTTTCCAACAGTTGGATTTCACAAAAATAATCTATTTCAAATTCTTCTTATATGTTTAAATAAATCAATCAATCTACTTATAGATGAAGTGTAGAATCTGCTGGAATATATATCATAGTGCTATTTTAGTATACTATAAAAGTAACACACAATAAAAACTGAAGTAAAAATTGATGATAATCAGCTTGTTTTCACTTACAGATCTGTAGCAGAAAAGAAATTTAGAGCACCTACATTCTAAAAATTGGGCACTTGAAAATTTTACCATTTGATCGGTCTGCTTATGTTATACATAGCATCTTTTATCAATTTCCCATAAAAATCTAAAGCTGGGGCATCAGCAAAGACATATTTGAAGCCAATACAAGGAGATTATGTACAGATAAGTTTACAGAATTTTCTGAACATTTCTTTCAACATCAACATGACCATGCAGCACAGAGTAGCATAAATCTTCAGGTTAAATAAAACCATGCCTTATAAAATAAATATTATCATATGACACAAAAGTATCACACGTTACTCTGACCTAGAGTGTTTAGTGTTTGGACACAAGATTAAGATCACAAGCAATCAAGGCATAAACATGACTGCACAGTGAACTTATTTAATTTGCGAATCCTACTTCAGTAGCTTTGTTATTCAAAACAAGACATTCATATATTCAATCAATAACTTATTACAAAGCGCCAGAACAGAATGTTCATAAACGACCATATCTATAAATAATTGATAGTATAATTTGTACGGCAATTTGCCACGCGCGTCTGTTATAGATGTAGGGCCAATGGTGAATTACCTTAAAATATTGATTTTCTAAACGTTACACTCTCGATAATAATTATTTAAATTTACCTATCAGAAATGTCAGTTTAACACACTGACATGTTACAAATATTATAAGTTTCGGAAGCGTTAAACAAGCCGCCAATACATTGGGTAATTAGTTCTGAACGCGTATACATTAGCCTCAGGCCCAGGTAATGTTTTGACAGGAGTAGGAGGTCGTGCACCGACTTGTCACCAGCATCAAATTATGTGTTTTTGAAACGAATTACGACAGAAATAATTATCTTCTCACAAGTTTGGTAACATATTAATGTTTCTAAGTCTCTCACAGAACATACATCCTACAACATTCTGTTTTAAGTACTTACGAGTCATGTCTTGATGGAAACGGCGCACAATACAAACTTGCAGACAACCGGAAATATTTCAAAGATGCCGCATTGCGTTTGCGCTTTGACGGATTCAGGGGGGCTAATCCATGTACAAAATATTATAGGCCACACACCACCAAAATATCACATTCTGTATTCTGTGAAAGTGAACTCCTGTCCGTATATCTGCCCTTTTTATTCATGTACCAGGGTTACATTCATTATAAAAGTTTTTTCGCCGTTTGGTATTCTTAGCAGCAAAATCCCTGTATCTGCCAGGAAAAAAGGTTGTTTTTATCATCTTGATATACGTTGCTACTTAATTGTACATTAAATGTAAAATCAAACCTAGATTAACTCAGGATCCCGATGTTTTCTATCATGTGACTTTTGTTAGTTTTTGTAAGTTGAATGTTTTTCTTCTTATTTGTCCTTTTTGTTTCTAAAATCAACCCTAAAAATGCTAATGCACAACAAGAGGTTATATACTAGGGTCTATATCACTCACTTTGCCTTGTTTGACTGAAATTGCTTCATCTATGTCTGAACTAAAGAATTTCTATTGGTTAATATCTATTTCCCCTTTGACCCCAACCCCTCTTATGTAATGAGTTAATGAAACCATTAACATACAAAATGCCTCTTTCACCAAAAATTGCTTCAAATCAAATTGGGTATTCCTACAGAATGTAATGTATGACGTAATGTATGACTGGAACTCTCCGGTCTCGAGAGGCAATAATAAATTTTGGCTAGCAGTCAGCATGGCGTCACGTTTTGAATATACAACACAGAAGAGGGCTTTTAAAGAATTTGCTCGAAGACTCCTCTTGGACCCACCCCTCCTACTCCAGAGAGCAGAAACCCACCATACGTGTAAAATTCTTCTGACCGAATCCGTGGTCATTCAAGACTAGTAGTGTTTTCTTCTGATTGGGTGAGCTAACTAGAATATGCACCTAATATCTAATCGTTCCAAAATAAACAATGCATGAAAAGGACTGAAGGATTAAGAAACATACACATCTCTTGATAATGGTCCATCCAGTAGTTTTCAAGGAATGTCAATACCAAACTTTACTATCAAATTCAAAGATGGCCAACTGTCAGCCATTTTATTTGTATTATTGACAAGATAAAAGATATAGTGATAGGTGTACAGTCATGTATTTTCAAATTCATTCTGGCATGATTGTGATAAGCAGAGTTATATACTAGTATGTAATAATTATGTTGTTAAAAACACTGCCAGATATTTCCCCATTAACTTCCCAAGGTAATTAATGGGATATTAAAGTCAATGTAATTGTGTCTTACCAGTCAAGGACCTGGTCATGTAAATCCGTCAACAAGAAAGTACAGCACACTATATTGTCTCTATCAATCAGAGTAACAATAGCTAACTCGCCAAGAAAAACAATAATCACACTATTTTGAATTACAAAGGTTTCTTTTTATTCATGAAATGCCACCTGGTTCTTTCAAATGTTTACACAATTCATTCTGATTTCTTATGCACTATTTATAGCTCTTTTCTTCAAGCATTTACTCATTTCACACAACTATAAAACATAACCTGCTTTCATTTTGCAGAAAGGAAAAGCAAATAGCAAATATCACAGATAAATCAAACCTACTCAATCACATATTCAGATTTTTCATTATAAATACTTACAAATGGTCTCTGTCTGATTAACTATAAAATGAAACAGTATAATTTATGTATTCAGCGGATTCATGGAATGACAAATAAAAAAAACACAAAAAAATACACAGTGAGACTAGTTACTATTTAAGGCAGAAATTGAAATACTAACGATCATAAAACTGTGCACCATGTTATTAGACAAAAGCACTTTAAAACTTTCTCATTAAGGTACATTTACAATGATGAACTCAATATCCTCCACATTTTAAAATACCTTTCTAACAACACTATCAGGTGATCACATCCTGTTCAGCAGTGAAAGTTTTGCAATTAGCTCATAAAAAAACAAAGTGTACTCTAAACAAAAATGTGTCAAATGGAATGATAATTAGATCACAAAAAATGTATTTCATGCTTTAATGACCTAGATAATTAATATCTCATTTGGGAGCACCACAACGAGGTAAAATAATATTTATACTACCCCAAAAAATTGGTAAGAATAACTTTCGGAGGCTTAAGTCAATCATTTGGATTTCACATTAATCCTCTTCATTGGTTTCTGGTTCTCTGCATATTTCCAAAAGGTCCTCGATCTGTTTTTGTTCAATACATTAGTAGTGGGTCTGAAATGTCCCACAATATTTTTGTTCTGATTTCAATTGCATTGTGATTTTTTTTAAATGAAGAGAACTACATAAGTAATGTTCAAGCAAACTCTCACATCTGATATGTAGTTTATATAGCTAAATCTCATTTCTTTAAAGGTTGGCCTTGGATTGGAACAACTCTCCCAGTTTCTGAGCCAGCATCAGGTTACCCTGGATTTTCAGTAATCCTTTCATGAAGGCCTACAACAGACAGAAAATCAAATTTGTAATAACATATCAATATGTTACAGAAACACAACTCATATCCATTATTAACTAATGTACATTTGGTGGGTAGGTAATAATCACTGAATTTTCATTTCCATCGAAGATGGAGAAATCAATGAACAAACCTACATTGAAATATAAAAATGCAGAATTTTCATTGTAATTGCTTACAAAAATCAAGGACAGGCTCCTAAACTGTGTTTCTGGTCTCTCAATTAATTTTAATCCATTACAGCTTTTAAGTCAATATTACGAAAGCAGAGGAAAGCTTACATGATTTTTCTATATACATTTACAGGATGAAACTAGAAATACACAATAAAAGTTATCATTAGGAGTGTAACGATACACCGTTGTACCACAATATATGGATCTGCTATGTGTATCAGTTGTAAAAAATACAATCATTCATTTAGCATTCATTAAAAGCTTATGTACACATTGCAACAATTAAATTTTAAAATAATGTATTCATGTCTTTTGTTCTGTCATTCATATCAAATTTGGAAATCTTTTTTTGCGAGAGGTAAGAGAAATCATCAACCATTGTCACTGGTATGTCGTGCAAAAATGGCTGACACAGAAGTTTTGCTATCATCGGTGCCAGCATCACTCGAGTCTAGCACTTGGCCCAAGATTGGGTTCATAATAATGACAGAAAACAACAGATAGTATCAGGAGTTATTTTGGTATATAGAATAAGTCATATCACACTGGAGGGATGATAAATATGCCTTTTTATTTGACTCACAATGGGCATATGAGTTCCACTGCAACATTACAGTGATAAACACCCAAGGAAACAAGACATCATTGTGACTGTGTGCCCTTTATAATGTTTAGACATAGTAAACAAATCTAACAAATTGTAGCTCAGTGTATCGTTACACCTCTATCTATCACACCAATGATTCAACTTTCATGAAAACTAAATCAAGATTCTATAATTTTACACTAATTTTTACAAATATGTAGTAAAAATATAATTCAATATTGATCCCGACTTCCATAGAAAATAATGAAGCTCTTGTAGCAAATTCTACCAAATTAATACAAAAATATGCATTTCCAGATTTAATGTGATGGGAAAAAACCAACAAGATATGCACCAAAATATACCAGATATAGTGTAAATTGTATTATATTCCTGACAGAAACATTTGATTTCTTTCTCAATAACAGTATTTGTTTAATCTAAGTAATAAATATTGAGGTACATACATCCTGTCCATTGAGTTTGCCGCTGACCATATCACCAAAGTTATCGTCGGAGATGGTGAGGGTACAATCAGCCTTCCCTTGTTTAGGACTGCCCTTGTATACAGCACCACCAGGAGTCTTCATGTCAGTGGCTGCAACATAAGAGCTGGAATCTCAGACAGTTATCATCAAGATTAGTATTACATTCACCAATTTTGATATCATCAAAGTTCATCGGACTGGTGAATTTTGTTTTGATGAAATATGTCTGTACTTTGTTCCCATACTTGGTTCATTATTGCTTTACCTCCTATTAACAGCCATGGTCATTTAAGGATGTGCCAGCTTTGGATGGTGAAGTAGAAACAGAGTTTCTAGAGGAAAAACACCCAGAGGTGGAGGTCTAGTCGGTCACTCGACCACCGCTGACCAACTGTTCTTAGGTACATCCCTGGTTATCGAAGTTTGATATATTTCCATAAATAGTAACGGTGAAATTGGCCTTAGCCTTGGAACCTTGAAATATTATCCCATCTTAGGTAGTGTTGCCATTGGCATTAGTAAAAAGTTTTATCAAAACCCCTTTCAAAATGAAATTGCCAGAGTGACAACATTGATTATGGATAGGACTTGAGGCCTGCCACAAGATATACAGATCAATGACTTGCCTTAGAAGACAATCAGGTCAGCAAAATATTTTCCTATATCTTTGCTTCCTGCAAAGCACAAACCACCATAGGGAGAAAATTGTCCCAATACATACCTCTGATAATCACCTGAGGTTGCATGTTCCAATTCTCTACCGACAGGGCTATAGCAGTTCCATATGAAATGGAAACTAGTGTTATATTGTATAAATATCAAACAGATACAATCAAACTTTTGTATACAGAGTTTCATCCTCTTGGTGAACTGTGAGTGATGACATCACTGCTTTCCTCAATCACTCAACCAAAATCATGACAAAGGGATACAACCAGCCCCACACTTACTCCACACAGTTGCTGTCTTTCCATCCTTGGTAATGTTGAACTGGAACACACTGTTTATCTTCTTCACCATCCCTGGCTCATCTTTGGCACGGCGACCAATCTCCTCAAATATCATGTCACTCTTCAATCCCGAGACCTACACAGATAGCAGAAGAAAGACAACTTCCCATCATCATGCATCAGAGATATTGAAGGTAAATTTACGCAATAAATGCTGGTAATATTTCATCTTTTCTAATAACTAGAAAAATGGCCGTAAATGTTCAAAATAGTTGCTTTACTACATTTACAAAAAAGAAATATACTAAATAATTCTTCTCACTCAACCTATTACGCAACAGAAATGTAATGTTATCAAATGCCAACTTGCCAACACTTTACCTGGGGAGGGACTGCTGAGGCAGAAGCTGCAGATGCTGCATGGAAATCCATATATCCTCCAGATAGACAAATATCTCCCGACTCTGCTACCTGTAATAATGGTTACAAGAAACAAGTTGACATCCTCGGTTCATGCATACCTCATATACTGTATACAAGGAAACTAACTTTGGCCCATTTCCCTCTTTCACTGGTATTGCAAAAAGTTGTTAAGTTAAAGACATACTGTATGTTCTTATGATCTAAAGCGATTTTACACAAGTCAAAGACATATATACTGATGTGAGGGCAAAAATAGTTCTGAGCTAATGCATTGTCATATACAAAATATGTCTAGATTTGTGAAAGACATTTTTAGTTCAGTTTGAATATCACTAACAGACACTAACCTTACACTGACCAATATCCTATATACAGACAACAGACACCTTACACTGACCAATATCCTACATATAGACAACAGACACCTTTAACTGACCAATATCCTATATACAGACAACAAGCACCTTACACTGACCAATATCCTACATACAAACAACAGGCACCTTACACTGACCAATATCCTACATACAGACAACAGACACCTTACACTGACCAATATTATACATACAGGCAACAAACACCTTACACTGACCAATATCATACATACAGGCAACAGACACCTTACACTGACCAATATCCTACATACAGACAACAGACACCTTACACTGACCAATATCCTACATACACACAACAGGCACCTTACACTGACCAATATCCTACATACAGACAACAGACACCTTACACTGACCGATATCCTACATACAGACAACAGACACCTTACACTGACCAATATCATACATACAGACAACAGACACCTTACACTGACCAATATCATACATACAGGCAACAGACACCTTACACTGACCGATATCCTACATACAGGCAACAGACACCTTACACTGACCAATATCATACATACAGGCAACAGACACCTTAGACTGACCAATATCCTACATACAGACAACAGACACCTTACACTGACCAATATCATACATACAGGCAACAGACACCTTACACTGACCGATATCCTACATACAGGCAACAGACACCTTACACTGACCAATATCATACATACAGGCAACAGACACCTTAGACTGACCAATATCCTACATACAGACAACAGGCACCTTACACTGACCAATATCCTACATACAGACAACAGACACCTTACACTGACCAATATCCTACATACAGACACCTTACACTGACCAATATCCTACATACAGACAACAGGCACCTTACACTGATCAATATCCTACATACAGGCAACAGACACCTTACACTGACCAATATCATACATACAGGCAACAGACACCTTAGACTGACCAATATCCTACATACAGACAACAGACACCTTACACTGACCAATATCCTACATACAGACAACAGGCACCTTACACTGACCGATATCCTACATACAGACAACAGACACCTTACACTGACCGATATCCTACATACAGACAACAGACACCTTACACTGACCGATATCCTACATACAGACAACAGACACCTTACACTGACCGATATCCTACATACAGACAACAGGCACCTTACACTGACCAATATCCTATATACAGACAACAGACACCTTACACTGACCAATATCATACATACAGGCAACAGACACCTTACACTGACCGATATCCTACATACAGGCAACAGACACCTTACACTGACCAATATCATACATACAGGCAACAGACACCTTAGACTGACCAATATCCTACATACAGACAACAGACACCTTACACTGACCAATATCATACATACAGGCAACAGACACCTTACACTGACCGATATCCTACATACAGGCAACAGACACCTTACACTGACCAATATCATACATACAGGCAACAGACACCTTAGACTGACCAATATCCTACATACAGACAACAGGCACCTTACACTGACCAATATCCTACATACAGACAACAGACACCTTACACTGACCAATATCCTACATACAGACACCTTACACTGACCAATATCCTACATACAGACAACAGGCACCTTACACTGATCAATATCCTACATACAGGCAACAGACACCTTACACTGACCAATATCATACATACAGGCAACAGACACCTTAGACTGACCAATATCCTACATACAGACAACAGACACCTTACACTGACCAATATCCTACATACAGACAACAGGCACCTTACACTGACCGATATCCTACATACAGACAACAGACACCTTACACTGACCGATATCCTACATACAGACAACAGACACCTTACACTGACCGATATCCTACATACAGACAACAGACACCTTACACTGACCGATATCCTACATACAGACAACAGGCACCTTACACTGACCAATATCCTATATACAGACAACAGACACCTTACACTGACCAATATCCTACATACAGACACCTTACACTGACCAATATCCTACATACAGACAACAGACACTTACCTTACACTGGAACATGACTCTGTTACCCTCCTTCCACATGTCTGTGTGAATTGTTTGGCCTGGAAGCACTGGTTTGGCAAATCTCGCCTATAATGTAACATTTAGAACCATTTCTCATAAATTATTTTATCTTTTACAAAATTGTATGATTATATTTGGACTTATTTGGTATTGGGAAGGAAAGCATTTACCTTACAAGCTGTGACGTCATAGTGCCACTGTTTTCAGATTAAAACATGGAACTGACATAGATGGACATCATCATTTTCTTTCTCCGAGAATCACAAAACAGCTATGAAATTTAAATTGATGACAGACACATTAGAATAACTTTCCGTCATGAAATTTTTTAGGTGAGTATACACTACTTAACGATAACAATTCAAATGTGACCTTCACCTTAATAGCCTTGACTGTAGTCACATCATTGTTGCCGTATTTTTTTAGCACGTGGCGAGTTGCATGGCCAAAGCTACACAGACCATGCAGAATTGGTTTGTCAAATCCTGAAATTCAAAACTTAACCTATTAAAACTCCAACATCATCCATTAAAATATTCAGTGAAACATTTTAAAACACTCTATATGACATGAAGTACTAAGTAGTAAAGGGTGTTGGAGAGCAGAACAGTTCACCTCTAATTCCAATACTGAAATTACTTCTTATTAAGAGACCTGTGGCAACACTTTTCAAAACAAGTTTACAATCTTCCCAGACATTAATTACTAGCTACCTTACATACATACTAGCTCATTCTTCTTCAATGAATTGATTTAAAACCCAAATCATAAATAAAACTACTTGTTTAAGTGTTTTTTCCAAGACAGAAGTCCAATGAGTTTCCCATATTTCTTTGTGAATTTATATTTTCTTTACTGATAGCTTAAAAGTTTGGTTAGAAGAATTACCTCCCATTGCAGCAAAGCTTGGATCAATGTGAAGAGGGTTCCTGTCTCCACACAGTCGGTACAGGGCTGCCTGAAAATAAGCCAAACATGTTCTTTCATTCAAAAGAATAATTATCTGACAGGCAATTTTTTTTCAATATTCAATTCAAATTTCTATTTATTTGTATATAATTATATAATTGTTAATTACCTTCACTTGTTCAATTTAAACACTACACATTAGAAATAACATGAAGTGCTAATAAAAATCACAAAATGACTTTTGAGCAAAATGGAGCTTACTGATAAAGAAATTAAGGTTTTTTGAAAATATATCCATCATTATTACAGTTTCTGATTATTCCATGGGAAATTAGAAAAAAAACCTCTTGAATTTGAATAGGAACTAATTCCTTCATTTTAATGATGTAAATGTATCTGATCTGATATAATCAAATTTTAGCACATAATCACTTTAAGGCAAATTAGCACATTGTTAGCTTAGCACATCTACAATTATTGCAACCTTATCTTAAATTCATTGCAAAGTGTGCTAAAATTAAAATAAACAAAACAGTCTCAAACAGACGAGAATTTTTACTTATTACTGATAAAAAAATGATTTCCATTTTGTTTTTCATGCTTCTACCTGAGAAAATAAATGTGAATATTTCAAAATTCTAACAGCTGTTGAAGTTATCAGACATACATTGTTAAGTCTGTTTTTGAGGTCGTTTCAATTTCCAAGTGGCTGCCTGGAGCAAAATAGATGTATTTCATAAATGTCATGAAACTACTTATGGTTTTCTCTATTCATTTTATTTTGAAGGTATCTTTATTTAGCAAATTTGAAAACAGGGAAAATGAAAACCTCTTGAAAATGACAACCTTTACACTCTGACAATGTACCTGATCCACACTGGTCGTCTCCACCATAAAAGAATCTGGTTTACGAGACGGCATTTTGCCAGGAGCCTTAGCAGCCTCGGAGTTTCTGTTTCCACCGAACTTTCCATATCCAACAGCAAATATGTTAAACTGGTTGAAGCATACTTTTTCCTTCTTCTCATCAAAGGTTGTAACTGTAAATAAGTAGTGATTAGTATTAGTACAAGCTATATGCAATGTATTACTAAAGTCTGATACAACAGAAAACTAGAATAATGACACATACACCAGCAACAGCCCCATAATGACTTTGTGAAAAATATAGGAGTAGTAATGTCTGTTCAGCTCCAAAATACTTACGTTTCCCATGGTTTAGATATAGGCTAAGCCTTTTATGACACCACAATTTCAACTGATGTTTGACAGAACTTTAATAATCTTCTAAATATGAAATATATATATTGCGCATATTGCTGATGAAAATGACAGACACAGAATCTTATCACGTAGTAGAGAGCTTCAGATCCTTTGTCTGGGTTGCCATGGATACTTACTGATGAGGATGACAGTTCTTAATCCTTTGTTCAGGTTGTCATGAATACTTATTATTGATTAAGATGAAAGCTCCAGATTGTTTGTCTAGGTCGTCATGGATACTTACTGTTGATGAGGATGACAGCCCCAGATCCTTTGTCCAGGACATCTGCAATGCTGACTTGTGAGGTCAGGGTTCCACTTGTAGGTAAAGGTTTGTACAACTCAACATACTGCTCACCATGTAGGATCTACATACAAAGATTAACACATCTTAGTCATCACAAACTCAAGGTCACAAATTCGGATATGTTTGGTCTTATAATACAAGATTGTCATTGTCTTTGTTCAGTTTATTTTATTGATAAATCTTCAACACATTCTCAGCTTAATTCTATTCAAATGAACTTTAACTGTTTTTTGTTCGTTTATTTAATTATAACTTAGTTACATTTGATTATAGTTATTATACATTTTAAAACAGGTTGAAGCCAAAAGATATGGCACCAACCACAGATAGAAACAATAAAGCTTAGTGCCAGTGGCACAGACCACAGAGAGAAACATTAAAGCTTAGTGCCAGTGGCACAGACCACAGAGAGAAACATTAAAGCTTAGTGCCAGTGCGCCAGACCACAGATAGAAACATTAAAGCTTAGTGCCAGTGGCACAGACCACAGAGAGAAACATTAAAGCTTAGTGCCAGTGGACCAGACCACAGAGAGAAACATTAAAGCTTAGTGCCAGTGGCACAGACCACAGATAGAAACATTAAAGCTTAGTGCCAGTGGCGCAGACTACAGATAGAAACATTAAAGCTTAGTGCCAGTGGTACAGACTACAGATAGAAACATTAAAGCTTAGTGCCAGTGGGCCAGACCACAGATAGAAGCATTAAAGCTTAGTGCCAGTGGCACAGACCACAGATAGAAACATTAAAGCTTAGTGCCAGTGGTACAGACTACAGATAGAAACATTAAAGCTTAGTGCCAGTAGGCCAGACCACAGATGGAAGCATTAAAGCTTAGTGCCAGTGGCACAGACCACAGATAGAAACATTAAAGCTTAGTGCCAGTGGCACAGACCACAGATAGAAACATTAAAGCTTAGTGCCAGTGGGCCAGACCACAGATAGAAGCATTAAAGCTTAGTGCCAGTGCGCCAGACCACAGAGAGAAACATTAAAGCTTAGTGCCAGTGGTACAGACTACAGATAGAAACATTAAAGCTTAGTGCCAGTGGGCCAGACCACAGAGAGAAACATTAAAGCTTAGTGCCAGTGGGCCAGACCACAGAGAGAAACATTAAAGCTTAGTGCCAGTGGGCCAGACCACAGAGAGAAACATTAAAGCTTAGTGCCAGTGGCACAGACCACAGATAGAAACATTAAAGCTTAGTGCCAGTGGGCCAGACCACAGAGAGAAACATTAAAGCTTAGTGCCAGTGGGCCAGACCACAGAGAGAAACATTAAAGCTTAGTGCCAGTGGCACAGACCACAGAGAGAAACATTAAAGCTTAGTGCCAGTGGCACAGACCACAGATAGAAACATTAAAGCTTAGTGCCAGTGGCACAGACCACAGAGAGAAACATTAAAGCTTAGTGCCAGTGGCACAGACCACAGATAGAAACATTAAAGCTTAGTGCCAGTGGCACAGACCACAGAGAGAAACAATAAAGCTTAGTGCCAGTGGCGCAGACCAAAGATAGAAACATTAAAGCTTAGTGCCAGTGGCACAGACCACAGATAGAAACATTAAAGCTTAGTGCCAGTGCGCCAGACCACAGATAGAAACATTAAAGCTTAGTGCCAGTGGTACAGACTACAGATAGAAACATTAAAGCTTAGTGCCAGTGGCACAGACCACAGATAGAAACATTAAAGCTTAGTGCCAGTGGGCCAGACCACAGAGAGAAACATTAAAGCTTAGTGCCAGTGGGCCAGACCACAGAGAGAAACATTAAAGCTTAGTGCCAGTGGCACAGACCACAGAGAGAAACATTAAAGCTTAGTGCCAGTGGCACAGACCACAGATAGAAACATTAAAGCTTAGTGCCAGTGGCACAGACCACAGAGAGAAACATTAAAGCTTAGTGCCAGTGGCACAGACCACAGATAGAAACATTAAAGCTTAGTGCCAGTGGCACAGACCACAGAGAGAAACAATAAAGCTTAGTGCCAGTGGCGCAGACCACAGATAGAAACATTAAAGCTTAGTGCCAGTGGCATAGACCACAGAGAGAAACATTAAAGCTTAGTGCCAGTGGCACAGACCACAGATAGAAACATTAAAGCTTAGTGCCAGTGGGCCAGACCACAGATAGAAACATTAAAGCTTAGTGCCAGTGGCACAGACCACAGAGAGAAACATTAAAGCTTAGTGCCAGTGCGCCAGACCACAGATAGAAACATTAAAGCTTAGTGCCAGTGGCACAGACCACAGAGAGAAACATTAAAGCTTAGTGCCAGTGGCGCAGACCACAGATAGAAACATTAAAGCTTAGTGCCAGTGGCACAGACCACAGAGAGAAACATTAAAGCTTAGTGCCAGTGGCACAGACCACAGAGAGAAACATTAAAGCTTAGTGCCAGTGGCGCAGACCACAGATAGAAACATTAAAGCTTAGTGCCAGTGGCACAGACCACAGAGAGAAACATTAAAGCTTAGTGCCAGTGGCACAGACTACAGATAGAAACATTAAAGCTTAGTGCCAGTGGTACAGACCACAGATAGAAACATTAAAGCTTAGTGCCAGTGGGCCAGACCACAGAGAGAAACATTAAAGCTTAGTGCCAGTGGGCCAGACCACAGAGAGAAACATTAAAGCTTAGTGCCAGTGGGCCAGACCACAGAGAGAAACATTAAAGCTTAGTGCCAGTGGGCCAGACCACAGATAGAAGCATTAAAGCTTAGTGCCAGTGGCACAGACCACAGAGAGAAACAATAAAGCTTAGTGCCAGTGGGCCAGACCACAGAGAGAAACATTAAAGCTTAGTGCCAGTGCGCCAGACCACAGAGAGAAACATTAAAGCTTAGTGCCAGTGCGCCAGACCACAGAGAGAAACATTAAAGCTTAGTGCCAGTGCGCCAGACCACAGAGAGAAACATTAAAGCTTAGTGCCAGTGCGCCAGACCACAGATAGAAACATTAAAGCTTAGTGCCAGTAGCACAGACCACAGATAGAAACATTAAAGCTTAGTGCCAGTGCGCCAGACCACAGAGAGAAACATTAAAGCTTAGTGCCAGTGGGCCAGACCACAGAGAGAAACATTAAAGCTTAGTGCCAGTGCGCCAGACCACAGATAGAAACATTAAAGCTTAGTGCCAGTAGCACAGACCACAGATAGAAACATTAAAGCTTAGTGCCAGTAGCACAGACCACAGATAGAAACATTAAAGCTTAGTGCCAGTGGCACCAACCACAGATAGAAACATTAAAGCTTAGTGCCAGTGGCACAGACCACAGAGAGAAACAATAAAGCTTAGTGCCAGTGGGCCAGACCACAGATAGAAACATTAAAGCTTAGTGCCAGTAGCACATAGAGAGGAGGAAGTCTAATGCTATATAATCAACCATAGAAAAGTAAGTTGAAACCTTGTCCTAAGGGACAGGCCTGCGATAGACAGACTAAAGCATAGTGTTATGGGCCAGATCATAGATAGATCGGATGAAGACTTGTGCAATAGGACAGACCACAGATAGATAGGTTGAAACCTTGTCCTATAGGGCAGGCTAGAGATAGATGGACTGAAGTATAATGTTAAGGACAGATCATAGATCACATGAAGCCTAGTACTGTGAGAAAGACTAAAGATAGATAGGCTAAAGGTTAGTGTTATGGGACAGATCACGGTTAGATAGGCTAAAGGTTAGTGTTATGGGACAGATCACGGTTAGATAGGCTAAAGGTTAGTGTTATGGGACAGATCACGGTGAGATAGGCTAAAGGTAAGTGTTATAGGACATATCACGGTGAGATAGGCTAAAGGTTAGTGTTATGGGACAGATCACGGTGAGATAGGCTAAAGGTTAGTGTTATAGGACATATCACGGTGAGATAGGCTAAAGGTTAGTGTTATGGGACAGATCACAGTTAGATAGGCTAAAGGTTAGTGTTATGGGACAGATTACGGTTAGATAGGCTAAAGGTTAGTGTTATGGGACAGATCACGGTGAGATAGGCTAAAGGTTAGTGTTATAGGACAGATCACGGTGAGATAGGCTAAAGGTTAGTGTTATGGGACAGATCACAGTTAGATAGGCTAAAGGTTAGTGTTATGGGACAGATCACAGTTAGATAGGCTAAAGGTTAGTGTTATGGGACAGATCATGGTTAGATAGGCTAAAGGTTAGTGTTATGGGACAGATCACAGTTAGATAGGCTAAAGGTAAGTGTTATGGGACAGATCACGGTTAGATAGGCTAAAGGTTAGTGTTATGGGACAGATCACGGTTAGATAGGCTAAAGGTTAGTGTTATGGGACAGATCACGGTTAGATAGGCTAAAGGTTAGTGTTATGGGACAGATCACGGTTAGATAGGCTAAAGGTTAGTGTTATGGGACAGATCACGGTTAGATAGGCTAAAGGTTAGTGTTATGGGACAGATCACAGTTAGATAGGCTAAAGGTTAGTGTTATGGGACAGATCACGGTTAGATAGGCTAAAGGTTAGTGTTATGGGACAGATCACGGTTAGATAGGCTAAAGGTTAGTGTTATGGGACAGAGGTTAGATAGGCTAAAGGTTAGTGTTATGGGACAGATCACGGTTAGATAGGCTACAGATAGGCTAAAGGTTAGTGTTAGATCACGGTTAGATAGGCTAAAGGTTAGTGTTATGGGACAGATAGGCTAAAGGTTAGTGTTATGACAGATCACGGTTAGATAGGCTAAAGGTTAGTGTTATGGGACAGATCACGGTTAGATAGGCTAAAGGTTAGTGTTATGGGACAGATCACGGTTAGATAGGCTAAAGGTTAGTGTTATGGGACAGATCACGGTTAGATAGGCTAAAGGTTAGTGTTATGGGACAGATCACGGTTAGATAGGCTAAAGGTTAGTGTTATGGGACAGATCACGGTTAGATAGGCTAAAGGTTAGTGTTATGGGACAGATCACGGTTAGATAGGCTAAAGGTTAGTGTTATGGGACAGATCACGGTTAGATAGGCTAAAGGTTAGTGTTATGGGACAGATCACGGTTAGATAGGCTAAAGGTTAGTGTTATGGGACAGATCAGTAGATAGGCTAAAGGTTAGTGTTATGGGACAGATCACGGTTAGATTGGCTAAAGGTTAGTGTTATGGGACAGATCACGGTTAGATAGGCTAAAGGTATGGGACAGAGTAGGCTAAAGGTCAGATCAGGTTAGTGTTAGATAGGCTAAAGGTTAGTGTTATGGGACAGATCACGGTTAGATAGGCTAAAGGTTAGTGTTATGGGACAGATCACGGTTAGATAGGCTAAAGGTTAGTGTTATGGGACAGATCACGGTTAGATAGGCTAAAGGTTAGTGTCATGGGACAGATCACGGTTAGATAGGCTAAAGGTTAGTGTTATAGACAGATCACAGTTAGATAGGCTGGGACAGATCACGGTTAGATAGGCTAAAGGTTAGTGTTATGGGACAGATCACGGTTAGATAGGCTAAAGGTTAGTGTCATGGGACAGATCACGGTTAGATAGGCTAAAGGTTAGTGTTATGGGACAGATCACGGTTAGATAGGCTAAAGGTAAGTGTTATTATGGGACAATCACGGTTAGATAGGCTAAAGGACAGATCATATCACGTTAGATGAGATAGGCTAAAGGTAAGTGTTATGGGACAGATCACGGTTAGATAGGCTAAAGGTTAGTGTTATGGGACAGATCACGGTCAGATAGGCTACAGGTTAGTGTTATGGGACAGATCACACTTAGATAGGCTAAAGGTTAGTGTTATGGGACAGATCACGGTTAGATAGGCTAAAGGTTAGTATTATGGGACATGGGACAGATCACGGTTAGATAGGCTAAAGGTTAGTGTCATGGGACAGATCACAGTTAGATAGGCTAAAGGTTAGTGTCATGGGACAGATCACGGTTAGATAGGCTAAAGTTTAGTGTTATGGGACAGATCACGGTTAGATAGGCTAAAGGTTAGTGTCATGGGACAGATCACGGTTAGATAGGCTATAGGTTAGTGTCATGGGACAGATCACAGTTAGATAGGCTAAAGGTAAGTGTTATAGGACATATCACGGTGAGATAGGCTAAAGGTAAGTGTTATGGGACAGATCACGATTAGATAGGCTAAAGGCTAGTGTTATGGGACAGATCACGGTTAGATAGGCTACAGGTTAGTGTTATGGGACAGATCACGCTTAGATAGGCTAAAGGTTAGTGTTATGGGACAGATCACGGTTAGATAGGCTAAAGGTTAGTATTATGGGAAAGATCACGGTTAGATAGGCTAAAGGTTAGTATTATGGAACAGATCACGGTTAGATAGGCTAAAGGTAAGTGTTATGGGACAGATCACGGTTAGATAGGCTAAAGGTAAGTGTTATAGGACATATCACGGTGAGATAGGCTAAAGGTAAGTGTTATGGGACAGATCACGATTAGATAGGCTAAAGGCTAGTGTTATGGGACAGATCACGGTTAGATAGGCTAAAGGTTAGTGTTATGGGACAGATTACGGTTAGATAGGCTAAAGTTTAGTGTTATGGGACAGATCACGGTTAGATAGGCTAAAGGTTAGTGTCATGGGACAGATCACGGTTAGATAGGCTAAAGGTTAGTGTCATGGGACAGATCACAGTTAGATAGGCTAAAGGTTAGTGTCATGGGACAGATCACGGTTAGATAGGCTAAAGGTTAGTGTTATGGGACAGATCACGCTTATATAGACTAAAGTTTAGCGTTATGGGACAGATCACGGTTAGATAGGCTAAAGGTAAGTGTTATGGGACAGATCACAGTTAGATAGGCTAAAGGTTAGTGTTATAGGACAGATCACGGTTAGATAGGCTAAAGGTTAGTGTTATAGACAGATCACGGTTAGATAGGCTAAAGGTTAGTGTCATGGGACAGATCACAGTTAGATAGGCTAAAGGTTAGTGTTATAGGACAGATCATGGTTAGATAGGCTAAAGGTTAGTGTTATAGACAGATCACGGTTAGATAGGCTAAAGGTTAGTATTATGGAACAGATCACGGTTAGATAGGCTAAAGGTAAGTGTTATGGGACATATCACGGTGAGATAGGCTAAAGGTTAGTGTTATAGACAGATCACGGTTAGATAGGCTAAAGGCTAGTGTTATGGGACAGATCACGGTTAGATAGGCTAAAGGTTAGTGTTATTGGACAGATTACGGTTAGATAGGCTAAAGTTTAGTGTTATGGGACAGATCACGGTTAGATAGGCTAAAGGTTAGTGTCATGGGATAGATCACGGTTAGATAGGCTATAGGTTAGTGTCATGGGACAGATCACAGTTAGATAGGCTAAAGGTTAGTGTCATGGGACAGATCACGGTTAGATAGGCTAAAGGTTAGTGTTATGGGACAGATCACCGTTAGATAGGCTAAAGGTTAGTGTTATGGGACAGATCACGGTTAGATAGACTAAAGTTTAGTGTTATGGGACAGATTACGGTTAGATAGGCTACAGGTTAGTGTTATAGGACAGATCACGGTTAGATAGGCTAAAGGTTAGTGTTATGGACAGATCATGGTTAGATAGGCTAAAGGTTAGTGTTATAGACAGATCACAGTTAGATAGGCTAAAGGTTAGTGTTATGGGACAGATCACGGTTAGATAGGCTAAAGGTTAGTGTCATGGGACATATCACGGTTAGATAGGCTAAAGGTTAGTCTTATGGACAGATTAAAGTGTAATTCTATGGGGCAGACCACAAATAGTAAGGCTGAAGCGTAGGGATATGGAACCAACCACAGACTGTAAGGCTAAAGGTTAGTGTTATGGGACAGATCATGGTTAGATAGGCTAAAGGTTAGTGTTATGTACAGATCATGGTTAGATAGGCTAAAGTGTAATTCTATGGGGCAGACCACAAATAGTAAGGCTGAAGCGTAGGGATATGGAACAGACCACAGACAGTAAGGCTAAACCCGAAAGATATAGGTCTGACCATATGAAGCAAGGCTAAAGCCTAGAGATAAGGAACAGACCACAGACCTTGGCTGGGTTTATAGTCATGCCAGGGATGCCCTCAGTTACAATATTCTGCATTCCCATCTGTGCTGGGATTACAGCAAAGCTGGGAAGCACTCCAAAGTCTTCTGATCCCTCATACAAAAACTTAAGGTAATCCGGTGCACGAGTAGAGGAGCCAACTACAAGGAAAAGTAAAGGTCAACACAATAATTAAATCCAATGGCAATAAGAGGTTTAATAGAAATCAGGAAAATACCAGACATCCCTTTTAATACCTTTGCTGACTGGATATGATAACAGAATGTAAGCTCCCATAGATCCATATCACTTCAGAAACCAGTTGGAGTTATGTGCATTATTACTGCAGTTTTACAACAGTTGTAGATTATAATTTCAGGAAAACTGACACCATACAAAATTTCCACATCATTATGATAAGATTGAACAGCATAAGTGTGGACATTTCTAAATACAATATCTACAATTTACATCAGTTTTCTTAATTCAAAATGATGTCATCTGTATTATTGATGCTGAATCTGCACATTTTCCCCCTGAGTAGTACAAAGCACTTCAGTACAATCAGGAAAAGATTGTGATTACAAGAAGCAAAATCGTGAAATCTTTCATTTCCCATAATTACTTTTCGCCTTTTTTATTCAACACTAGGGTTTTTCACAAAATTTGGAATGAAGCAAAATTCTGACACTACAAGCAGAATTCTGACACCACAAAACAATAGTCCTGTGTATACATATATGATAACAAAAACATTCCAAGTCATAACTGCATTATTTATCTCACATAGCAATATTTTGAAAGTTTATTAATGTTATGGTATCAAATTTGTTATTGTAATCTGAAAAGTGGATTATTACAAGTTTTAACAAGTATTCTGTCATCAATATATACTGCATAAAATTATTTTTTAAAGTTTGTGACAACCCTGTTTAATGTATAAATATCTAATTCATTAAAGTGCAACCTCAAGATTTTAAATGACATTAAACTACATGTAGGATTAAGGTATTTTTTAGTGATTAAAACCATATTACCTTTTAATTTATTATAAGTAATCAAATGTTACTCACCTCCGAGAGCATACAGCATTACATCCCGAGCCGAGTATGTAAACTTAATTGGTTTGGGTTTGTATGCTTTAGCTGCCTCCTGGGGAAAAAAGGAATAGAAGATGGGTTTACGTAGGTCAATATTAATGTAAGCTTAAGCTGATCTTTGATTAAAACTAAACAAATTAACAATATCAATAATCATTTTACTCTGATATACTGTATTGTTATATCATGATATGTTTGTATGCACTTTCTTTCGTGGTTTGAAGCTTTCAAATTATTTCATGGATACAAACTTTTATGGTAAGCCCATTAAAAAAATGTATCAATTTTCATGTTTAGTCATGCAGAATGAAGCATATTAATTTTCACAGAGCAATAACAAGTTTATTTCACTGCATAGAAAATTAGTTTGAAGATTTGATTCAAAGAACTTGAAATGAATGCAAATTTTAACAAAACATATCATACTTACAATGTCTGGTCCACTGCCTGAGGATGCTGATCGCCGTGAAGGCTTTGCTGGGCCACTATCTACATTTCTGAGTGTTTCCATCATTATAGCGGATGAATCTGTTCCAACAATATTTAAGGTAAATTTACTGATATTATATGACATAATATTCCTTCCTTCAGCTGTAACACCGAGAAGAAAAAAATTGTACTTATTACAATCTTTATGAAAATCCTTAATTACCTTATCTTAATTTTGATACAGGACATGGGTTTCCAGTACTGACTGATTGGAGGAGGACATGGGTCTCCAGTATTGACTGATTGGAGGAGGACATGGGTTTCCAGTATTGATTGGAGGGCATGGGTCTCCAGTAATGACTGATTGGAAGAGGACATGGGTCTCCAGTACTGACTGATTGGAAGAGGACATGGGTCTCCAGTATTGACTGATTGGAGGAGGACATGGGTCTCCAGTATTGACTGATTGGAAGAGGACATGGGTCTCCAGTATTGACTGATTGGAAGAGGACATGGGTCTCCAGTATTGAGGAGGGCATGGGTCTCCAGTACTGACTGATTGGAAGAGAACATGGGTCTCCAGTATTGACTGATTGGAGGAGGACATGGGTCTCCAGTATTGACTGAATGGAGGAGGACATGGGTCTCCAGTATTGACTGATTGGAAGAGGACATGGGTCTCCAGTATTGACTGATTGGAGGAGGACATGGGTCTCCAGTATTGAGGAGGGCATGGGTCTCCAGTAATGACTGATTGGAAGAGGACATGGGTCTCCAGTATTGACTGATTGGAGGAGGACATGGGTCTCCAGTATTGACTGATTGGAGGAGGACATGGGTCTCCAGTATTGACTGATTGGAAGAGGACATGGGTCTCCAGTATTGAGGAGGGCATGGGTCTCCAGTACTGACTGATTGGAAGAGGACATGGGTCTCCAGTATTGACTGATTGGAGGAGGACATGGGTCTCCAGTATTGACTGATTGGAAGAGGACATGGGCCTCCAGTATTGACTGAATGGAGGAGGACATGGGTCTCCAGTATTGACTGATTGGAAGAGGACATGGGTCTCCATTATTGACTGATTGGAGGAGGACATGGGTCTCCAGTATTGAGGAGGGCATGGGTCTCCAGTAATGACTGATTGGAAGAGGACATGGGCCTCCAGTATTGACTGATTGGAGGAGGACATGGGTCTCCAGTATTGACTGATTGGAAGAGGACATGGGTCTCCAGTATTGACTGATTGGAGGAGGACATGGGTCTCCAGTATTGAGGAGGGCATGGGTCTCCAGTAATGACTGATTGGAAGAGGACATGGGTCTCCAGTATTGACTGATTGGAGGAGGACATGGGCCTCCAGTATTGACTGATTGGAGGAGTACATGGGTCTCCAGTATTGACTGATTGGAAGAGGACATGGGTCTCCAGTATTGACTGATTGGAGGAGGACATGGGTCTCCAGTATTGAGGAGGGCATGGATCTCCAGTAATGACTGATTGGAAGAGGACATGGGTCTCCAGTATTGACTGATTGGAGGAGGACATGGGTCTCCAGTATTGACTGATTGGAAGAGGACATGGGTCTCCAGTATTGACTGATTGGAAGAGGACATGGGTCTCCAGTATTGAGGAGGGCATGGGTCTCCAGTACTGACTGATTGGAAGAGGACATGGGTCTCCAGTATTGACTGATTGGAGGAGGACATGGGTCTCCAGTATTGACTGATTGGAGGAGGACATGGGTCTCCAGTATTGACTGATTGGAAGAGGACATGGGCCTCCAGTATTGACTGATTGGAAGAGGACATGGGTCTCCAGTATTGACTGATTGGAGGAGGACATGGGTCTCCAGTATTGAGGAGGGCATGGGTCTCCAGTAATGACTGATTGGAAGAGGACATGGGTCTCCAGTATTGACTGATTGGAGGAGGACATGGGTCTCCAGTATTGACTGATTGGAGGAGGAAATGGGCCTCCAGTATTGACTGATTGGAAGAGGACATGGGCCTCCAGTATTGACTGATTGGAAGAGGACATGGGTCTCCAGTATTGACTGATTGGAGGAGGACATGGGTCTCCAGTATTGACTGATTGGAGGAGGACATGGGTCTCCAGTATTGACTGATTGTAAGAGGACATGGGTTTCCAGTATTGACTGATTGGAAGAGGACATGGGTTTCCAGTATTGACTGATTGTAAGAGGACATGGGTCTCCAGTATTGACTGATTGGAGGAGGACATGGGTCTGTAGTATTGACTGATTGGAAGAGGACATGGGTCTCCAGTATTGACTGATTGGAAGAGGACATGGGTTTCCAGTATTGACTGATTGGAGGAGGACATGGGTCTCCAGTATTGACTGATTGGAGAAGGACATGGGTCTCCAGTATTGACTGATTGGAGAAGGACATGGGTTTCCAGTATTGACTGATTGTAAGAGGACATGGGTTTCCAGTATTGACTGATTGTAAGAGGACATGAGTCTGTAGTATTGACTGATTGGAAGAGGACATGGGTTTCCAGTATTGACTGATTGGAAGAGGACATGGGTCTCCAGTATTGACTGATTGTAAGAGGACATGGGTCTCCAGTACTGACAGATTGGAGGAGGACATGGTTTACCAGTATTGATTGATTGGAGGAGAACATGTGTTTCCAGTACTGACTGATTGGAAGAGGACATGGGTTTCCAGTATTGACTGATTGTAAGAGGACATGAGTCTGTAGTATTGACTGATTGGAAGAGGACATGGGTTTCCAGTATTGACTGATTGTAAGAGGACATGGGTTTCCAGTATTGACTGATTGGAAGAGGACATGGGTTTCCAGTATTGACTGATTGTAAGAGGACATGGGTCTCCAGTATTGACTGATTGGAAGAGGACATGGGTCTCCAGTATTGACTGATTGTAAGAGGACATGGGTCTCCAGTACTGACAGATTGGAGGAGGACATGGTTTACCAGTATTGATTGATTGGAGGAGAACATGTGTTTCCAGTACTGACTGATTGGAAGAGGACATGTGCTTCTAGTTTGCTCTGAGTTCATCAGACTATAATTTCTTACTTTACACTGATTTCTGCAGAAGATATATTACTATATAAACAGGACATGAGTTACTTCAGTAGTTAACATCAATTCCAGCACATGAACTGTAGGTTTGTCTGTCTTGATTAGCACCTTACCTTGAGTGGAGGTGGGTATTTGAGAACCAGTGAAATCTGCAATAGCATCCCAGTTGTCTCGCACTAGAACACAATTACATGGACAGAATTAATCTGACACTCCCAATCAATCCAATTTTCTCAATCAAAAAAAAACAAAAATAGAAATTGAACTAATAATACAATCATCTCTCTGTTTCCATAGACCACGAATACTTTCAAGTTAATAGGTTCATCATATCATCAGGGAACAATGATTTTGATATCAACTCTGCGACTAATACATCAAAAACAAAAGGAATCTTTTCATGATGCAGGCATACCTGAAAAAGTTCAATGTACCTTTAAATTCATAACGGCATTGTTCCACGCAAAGTTATTGATTATCATTCAAATACTTACAAACCATGAGAGAAAACTTAAACTGAAAGCTTCAATGCACATATGATGAAAAAAATGGGTCCTAAGAGTTAATAAACCTGACAATGTCAATGTGAATCACCACTCATTACTTGTACAATTGTTATATGACTGTCAAAGAAATTTTAGATTTCTTCATTTATAACATTTTATTTTTGTAATCACATGGCCTCTTTTGTCACTCCTAACTACATGTAACTGTTTTAAATGCAATAAAGGCAATAATTTCTCATTGCCATTTTCTTTGTAGAATGTAAAATGTAGATTAAAAATTGGTCAAAATAAAAACAAAAGTTGTTATTTGCCCAATTTTGTTTCCATATTTATCGGCAAATATTTGTCTAGTAATTCTATTTCTAGTATACTGGAGATAAGGAGTAGAAAATGAATCATTTTCTAGCTTAAGGGTATGACAAAGAAATTTGTACCCTTGGAGGAGATACCTGACAGTCTAACCCTGGATACAACAAAGAAATATGTACCCTTGGAGGAGATACCTGACAGTCTAACCCTGGTATGACAAAGAAATATGTACCCTTCGAGGAGATACCTGACAGTCTAACCCTGGTACGACAAAGAAATATGTACCCTTGGAGGAGATACCTGACAGTCTAACCCTGGTACGACAAAGAAATATTTAACCTTGGAGGAGATACCTGATAGTCTAACCCTGGTACGACAAAGAAATATGTAACCTTGGAGCAGATACCTGACAGTCTAACCCTGGTACGACAAAGAAATATGTAACCATGGAGGAGATACCTGACAGTCTAACCCTGGTACGACAAAGAAATATGTAACCTTGGAGCAGATACCTGACAGTCTAACCCTGGGCAAGACTTTGGGATAGTCATGAATCTCCTCCTCAGATAGAGATTTCTCTGGCCTAACCTCAAGGAAGGAAAAGATTCTATGAACCTTTTTTCCCCAAAAATCCCAGCATACACTAGTGAAATATGGGAGAAATAGCAATCACTATGCCATTATTCACCATAAAAGTGATAATGTCAAAAAATTTGACTGTACCAAATTGAATATATTGACAGTATATATACATTTTTATTAAAAATAGATAATACAAATAAGACTGCAGTCTTACCAGCTTCCGGTGACATGGATGTGTTCTTTGATCTACAAACCACACCCTTTGTTCTTTCCCATCGTACTGAAACATAATGAGTACTACAGTCAAAACAATGTAGGCCTGATTTTATGGGTAGTAATGACCATTAAAACTCATTTAATACACACCAAATTCACAAACTTCTTTTACAATTTATAAGTAAATTTTTTGACACAAGATTCTCAACATTTTAACATATTTAGAACACCAACTTGAAAGGACACTACTGTTGAATATGTAGAGCTAATGAATTTCTGTTCACTGTACCTGTCTGTAACATTTGTTTTCACTGTGACAGGCCTACTATAGAGTTATATCTTTTCATGAGAACAGAATTTCATGTTTTTGTCAGAATGTCAATAGAAGCAATTGATTTTGTGGATAAGCAGTATTCGCAAAATCCATTGATACCAAAAATTTGTGTCAATTTTAACTGTTCATGGGTTAAGTGTATCAACAAATTCAATGAAAATATAACCCAGGGAAAATTAATGACTTTACAGTACATAACGAGTCATGCTCAATGTTTCATGTTGTACAATACAGAATTTGAACTTTTTATCGGAGAACTTTCTGATTATAAAGTTCAGAATTCACCCATGACAATAACTCTTTGATATCTAACTTTTCAGAGAACAATTCTGTTTAACTAGTAATTAACTGTACTTACAAATATACCACACATTTTGTTACTTCTGTCCACATTAATAATACATAATAAATTGTAAAACTGTAAACAGTTTGGTGATGTGTCTTACATTTTCCTATCCATCCAGCTCCAACTTCAAAGAGGGAACCACTGTCCTCACAATCCTCATGGGCCAGAAACAAAACCAGTGGGGACACAAACTCTGGTTTAAGAGCATCCACCAATTCTGTACAACACCGACCATGCATCAATACAACATACCAAAGTGAACTATCAATTAAGGATACTTTACACAGGGAACCACCAACCTTGATTAACTTTTTGCTTGTTTCACACTTTTGTCAAAAAGGTGAAAACTGAAGTGGGATATAGTTTGATAATGATTCTAAAATCAACTTTTTGTGTATTTTAGGGTTAATCTAAGACTGGACAAAAATGAAAAGCTTTCTTGGATTAAAATAAACCAGAATTAATTTTGCACTATTGAAACAAGTGAGTAGTAGCAACCAAATGACTATGAATTCATTTTATATGGTTATCTCCCTTATGAATACTCTTCAATTATTTTTATTCCAGCAAGTTAATTCTCAATTTTACAACAATGATTTTTCATTCCACTTTTCAATCTTACCAATAGTTTTAAGCATAAATAGTTATTTCAATGAATCCATGATATTAATTATGATTTTTCAAGGTGTATGATTTATGTGATTACGTTTCATCATTGAAAATAGCAAAATATCAAACCCTTAAAAATAACAATCTTGTCAGTACTCGGCGATCTTTTTCAAAGTGAATATTTCAATAAATTATCATTTGTACCTTAAGAATGAAATATCACTGATAAAATGCATTTCCACTCCACTGATAATAAATTGACACCTTTTTTATATTACAACATTATAACTCTAGATAGACACATTACCTGGGGGCATGACAGTCTCTGTCATACGAGAGCCTGCCATCGGTGCGATGATGTTACATTTGATGTTGTTCTTTCTTCCTTCTATAGCTAGGGTGTTACTCAGACCCACCACTCCAAGTTTAGCTGCAAAATCATAAAACTGACACATCAAACATGTTCTTACACTAAATCTTATCTATCATGTATCATACTTCACACAGCCAAGCATATATATATATATATCATAAATAACCTATCACAATATTACAGACACAGATATCAATAAACAAGAGATCCTAGAGGGATCTTGGCACCAACTATTGTTTGATATTTATATGCTTTTTGAAAGTTGGACCTTTCCCGTCTTTCTCTTCTCTATTTTAGCTCCCAAAATCAAATGGGCACAACTGATGACCAAGAGGATCCTACATATGTAATTTGAGAAAGATCCAGCCAGTTCTTCTCAAGAAATAGCAATAACAAAATTTGTTATGGAATGACCATGGATGCAGAGCAATTTGAAAAAACAAAATAAGCAATGAAAAGTATTAAAAACATAAGTCCTTCCTGTTGTTAGAAGAATAAGCTATTTGCAGAGAAAATCTAGCAACTGTGAGACACAGAGCAATCTATATAATGCCTGGATGAAGTGGCGTTCTGTTTTATTCAAATAACTCAATTACTCTAGATTAGAAAAAAAAGAATACTCTAGATTAGAAAAAAAGAAAAGGAGAAAAATCTATTTTATTTCTCCATAAGACATGCAAATTAAAACTAGTGTAAGAACAGAAGTATCCTTCTTCTTTTAATACTGATTTTAACAATTATACTAAATTTTCATTATTTTCCATCTGAAGTATTTATTCAATAATTGTGAGACATATATATATATGGAGATGTGTTTTTGATGAAACTATCATTGGTGATAGTAAGTACAGCTCTGTCATGTGTTAGAATATACCTACCAGCATTGTAGTTAGCATGTGTTAGAATGTACCTACCAACACTATAGTTGGCCTGTGTTGGAATGTACCTACCAACACTATAGTTGACCTGTGTTAGAATGTACCTACCAACACTATAGTTGGCCTGTGTTAGAATGTACCTACAAACACTGTAGTTGGCCTGTGTTGGAATGTACCTACCAACACTATAGTTGACCTGTGTTAGAATGTACCTACCAACACTATAGTTGGCCTGTGTTAGAATGTACCTACAAACACTATAGTTGGCCTGTGTTAGAATGTACCTACCACCACTGTAGTTGGCCTGTGTTAGAATGTACCTACCAGCACTGTAGTTGACCTGTGTTAGAATGTACCTACCAGCACTGTAGTTGACCTGTGTTAGAATGTACCTACCAGCACTGTAGTTGACCTGTGTTAGAATGTACCTATTAACACTGTAGTTGGCCTGTGTTAGAATGTACCTACCAGCACTGTAGTTGGCCTGTCCAAAGTTTCCATAGATACCAGCAGCTGAGGTCACATTGATTATTCTACAAAATCACAACAAAAGAATTTCAAAAATCTTAATTCATTTCAGTGGCCATCATCAGCCAATCTTAACATAATTTTGTTTCTTAAAACAGGTTTTCAAATTAAAAGTAAAATCATATCAAAGTTCCCTTCAAGTTATCATACATCACAAGCCGTGATAATTGAGACATCTGTATATCTTAAAATTATGAATTATATCAATATTTTCAAACATGAATAAACTGAAACTAAAGTCAGAAATTATTTCAAAATCTGGTGGGCAAAATAGTTCATTTATTACATACAGTCAGAACCTACCTGCCATAATTCTGTTTCTTCATGTGTGGCCATGCTGCTCTGCTGACCTGGAATGCACCTCTCAAGTGAACTTTCTGGATAAGGTCTGAAATAAAACAGTCAAATTCAAATATTCCTTTCACATGTACCGATACTTCACAGTATACATCTATATATGATGCGATTCGAATTTAGAAATGTTAATTTACTATATTCAAACAAAAGAAAATTTAAATAAAACATTAACATTGGTCAATATGCAAGAAACAAAAGTATCCAATGTTAACTTTATAAGAAGGGTAGGTTTCTCTTTTTATATCAAATCATGAAAACAAGGGGTTTTGTTTGCTGGGTTGATCATCCCATAGATAGCCAGGGTCATTTTAAGTGTTTGCTGGGTTGATCATCCCATAGATAGCCTGGGTCATTTTAAGTGTTTGCTGGGTTTAACATCCCATAGATAGCCAGGGTCATTTTAAGTGTTTGCTGGGTTGATCATCCCACAGATAGCCTGGGTCATTTTAAGTGTTTGCTGGGTCGATCATCCCATAGACAGCCCGGGTCATTTTAAGTGTTTGCTGGGTTGATCATCCCACAGATAACCCGGGTCATTTTAAGCATTTGCTGGGTTGATCATCCCATAGATAACCAGGGTCATTTTAAGTGTTTGCTGGGTTGATCATCCCATAGATAGCCTGGGTCATTTTAAGTGTTTGCTGGGTTGATCATCCCATAGATAGCCTGGGTCATTTTAAGTGTTTGCTGGGTTGATCATCCTATAGATAGCCTGGGTCATTTTAAATGTTTGCTGGGTTGATCATCCCATAGATACCCAGGGTCATTTTAAGTGTTTGCTGGGTTGATCATCCTATAGACAGCCAGGGTCATTTTAAGCGTTTGCTGGGTTGATCATACTATAGATAGCCCGGGTCATTTTAAGTGTTTGCTGGGTTGATCATCCCACAGATAGCCAGGGTCATTTTAAGTGTTTGCTGGGTTGATCATCCCATAGATAGCCTGGGTCATTTTATGGTGGGCTGCCTTGTAGAGGTTGGTAGCTTTCTCACTGGACAACATACAAGAAGCTTTGTGTATGCCTCCACAGCAATAAGGGTGAAGTACCTTGCACAAAGAAATTTCTAAACTTAGTGAGAAACACAAACTGTCACAGGCAGATGGCGTCAAACGACATAACATGGATTTTCATCCAACATTCTGAAGGCCAATACTTTAATCAAATGAGTTATCATGGCCCCTCTCGGAAAAAAGGGTGAGCAGTCCTAATAGCTGATTGTGTATTAACCACAGCATCACAGTTACTCAATTTCTCAGTCTGTATCAAGACAGTCATGTTGATAATGACAGCCACTTTTTGTCAGTATACGCTGTATACCAAACTCACCCCAGTCAGTGTCGCTGATCCTGGCGAAGGATCTGTCTCGCAGGATACCAGCATTATTGACGATAACATCTGAAACATAATACCATTAATGATACCTCACAATTCATGTAAGCTCAATTTCATCAAGTTTTCTCATAAATCATGAACAAAGAACATGGGATCTATCTTTGTTGTATAAATAGATCATTCATTGTACACTGGAATTCAGGATCTCCCCTCTCTGCAAATTTAAGTAACAACATGACCACCTAGGTATATTCATCTACAAAATGTCTTCCTCTGATTTCAGAAGAAGTTATTTTAGAAATAATAAAACAAAATTAAACAAGGGTGCACATAGATCCCCCTCCTGATTCCAATCTTGTACATCAATGTATTATCCGTGAAGGTGACCTTTGACCCTTATCCAAATTGGGACCACCGCAATCTATCTGGTGAATGATGCTATGTGCATGTGAACCAAATCTGGTTATGGATTTATGAGATATCTAATGCATGGTGATATCCTGGACACATGCACTCTCACTTAAACAAGTGATTACTACATGTGTATACTTTCCTACCTAACTGACAGAGATGTAAACCAAATACACCTATTACTAATGTAAAAGCTTTGTTTGTCATTATCCTTACAAGAAATCATTATTCTAAACAGATAGTTTTTCTATCTGTACTATTACTACAATTTGCTGTTGATTTCTATGGCCAAATTAAAACCTGAAAGCTGTAACACTACTTGTAAAACAAAAATTTTGGTAACTTGGTACAGAGCATTAAAATATCACAGCAGTAATAATCTGTAGAAATTATTGTACCTTAACAGTAATGTACCAAAACACAACAATGGCCAGACTTCAATGCTGAAAGTAGAATGATTTCTACACATCATTTTTAAAAGTGATTTAAACAAGCAAAGCAGGGGAAAATTCTGTTTATTTCTACTTACCTATCTTTCCAAAGTTTTCAAGAGCTGTCTGCACTAATTTCTCTCCCTCTTCAACAGAATCTATGAAAAATTTATCAATATATTAAATTACAATATTACAATAAACTAAAGCATTCACATGATAACAAAGTTTATAAAAAAGAATAAAGAGAAGAAATTAAAAAGCAAAAACCTTAATTTGCTCAAAGGATGATATAACATAAAAAATAATAAAATAAAAGATAATTGCCCCAATCTAAACTCTTCAAGTTCTTATGAATACTTTATTACTGGAAATCCAGCATCCAATTGCTGAGAGAGTGTGAGTGAAAGATATTTGAAATTGATAGATGAACCACAAACGAAGTGTGATTTAAAAGCACCTGACGAGGATGCATATTCCTCACTATTTTACAGTGTGAATATTAGTGTACGGGACATAAAAATTGAAAACAGAGAATTACTGTAGTTAGCGACAGCCTTTCCACCCTTAGCCTTGATTTCATTGACAACAACATCAGCAGCTCTGGTCCCTGAACCTTCACCCTTGAAGTTTCCACCAAGGTCATTCACTAAAACATAAAGGTGAAGATTTCAAAAGAACAGTCTTGAAAATTATGTCATTCATACAGGTGGATTTACGGACTTTCCTTAAAACACAGATCATTTCTATACATTGTGACTGAAATCTTTTTTTTTTTTTTCATGACAAACAGCAAAATCACTAACCATTTATGCATCTCCTTAAATGTGGTATTAACAAACACCATCCCCTACTTACTGTTCTTCTTAACCAAAACACAGAATTCTTCCATGCCAAGTTTGGGGAAAATGGTTTGCAATTTACCAGACTTCAATTGTGTTATGAATATGTTAAGTCACAAAAATGATTAATCTGATTTATTGTTCTAATGTTATTTACATATTATCAACAAAATACATGTACTGTTGTATCATATTTTGGTGACTATAAACCAACTGACATATCACATTGAATTTTATACAGAACTTATACATCTGACAATCAAATATACATTATATTTTTTCATGTCTCAAGTTTATTATCATAGACAGGCAAAATTTCTTGGGCTCAATTTTCCAAGGTGGTTGCATTTTGAAAAAAAAAATTGTCATACATCCTGCCCAGGCTGTTGTATTTGTATCTGCACACAGTCTAACACTGAGTCTGGTAGATAAATATACCAGATAACTAATATTCCATGAATTGTATGAAAAAGAATTTTTCAAAATTACAAAACATTTTTTTGTAAGACACATCTTGTGCAAGCCAAGTGATTCAGGATATGTGTTCAACCTTGGGCCCTGTCTAGTCAGTAAATCAGTATAAAAAAACAGCACTTTTAATAATATTTCTTGTTAAATGTTATTTTATATAATAACAAATCTTTTACCGACAACTGAAGCACCGCGTTGCGCAAAGTCCAATGCATACTGTTTCCCGAGACCTGTAAATAAAGTTAGTGCTCATTAACATAGTACATTGCACTTCAGTATCTCGTCTGTGATAAAGTCTTGATAACAGCCAACATCAAGCTTGTACCAACATAAAGTCTGCATAACAAGTAAAACTATTGCCCAAAAATGATAAAGGTGTCCTTTTAATTGCTTTCATATTTAAAGTTTAGACACTGCTGGTTGTAGTTAGAATTTGATGACATGAAAGCCTGGATATATGCATGCATGTCTACTACTTTTTTGTCTGCAATGCAGTCATGATAAAAAAATGTCTTTTCTGTACATACTACCACAGACTCTATAATTTACAATTTTCTATCATTGAACATTATCGTACATAAATAACCAAAATGATTTAGATATATCAATAGATGTTGATGATTATGAATGAGACTTTATATGCAGGCCTATTGCTGATATCTCGTCCTATTTTGTGACCTGATCTAATCTCAACAGCTTTAACTGTTAACTTGAAAAATGCATACATGAATTGTATATCTCGTCCTATTTTGTGACCTGATCCAATTTCAACAGCTTTAACTGTTAACTTGAACAATGCATACATGAATTGTATATCTCGTCCTATTTTGTGACCTGATCCAATTTCAACAGCTTTAACTGCTAACTTGAACAATGCATACATGAATTGTATGAAAAAAGCAGACAGTAAGTCAGACATGTAATATTAAACATACATTTTCTGAAAGGGAATTGTTTAAATGCGTTTAAAAACATGTCACTATCGTTGATTTCTGCCAGGGGCCAAGATGGACTTTGGTCAAATCGTCCAGCTCAGTTTGACGGTCCGACGTATATGTAGCCTAAATCGAAAGTATCATATCCTCAAGGATGCACATCGATCACTAGATTCACTTCAAACGGTATTAAATCGCCGAGGTTAAAATTAATAAAACTATGAAGAAAAGAAGCAAACAAATTCTTCTCATTTACACATTGGACAGTGGACTGACTTCTTGTCACTTGACTGATAAAAAAAAGACAGCTTCGAGGCAATAGCCTAGATTTCGGTGGACTAAAGTCCATTAGAAGTTATAACAATTTTTTAAAATGAGTATGTATTTTGTGTATGATTTGAACATCATGTATTACACTTTAATCCAAGATTTTAAAGGAAATCTTACCATTTCCTGCACCTGTCACCAGAACCACTTTCCCGTCAAACCGTATGGGCGCTGCCATCTTGAAAAGTGACTGAACTATGAACTTTGCCCATGATAGTTAGAAAACTCTGATTGGTTGCTAATTTTCATGATCCCACGACCTATGACCTTTGAACCATAAAATACAGCTGTTTGATTGGTCCGTGTTGCGAACTTCTATTGGACTAAAACATATAACCACGTTTAGCTGTATTGCTTGACATTTACACTGTACGGTATGGCAATGAACTGCCTAATTTATTTATTCATCTTTATTTCCTCGGCATTTTGCAGCGATGAGAAACTTGTGGCCTCAAGACGGTTCAATATTAGACCCGATCCTGCACCGAAATCAATAACAGTAGATTGGGTAAGAAAAAACGTAGGCTTAGGGCAATCAGTTGAGGTGTCCGGTGTCGCCTCAAATTAAACCCCGTATACTTGTCAATGACCGTGAATGGCTACTGGCCAATGCTTTGAACGTGCATTGTTATGTTTTACGAATGATCACTTTTGGAAATGTTACTAATTACCACAAGCATATTATTCATTCCTACGTTCACTACAAATATCTGTTCTATCCTCTTTGACAACCCCTAGCTCTTTCCAGAGACGTTATATACGTGTCTGCTCTTTCTAATGTCTAAACTAAAGATCCATTTTTTTCTGTGTAGCTCAATGTTGATGTCCTCAACACTCAAACTTTATAATCACTCCCATTTATAACCCCTCCTTTGGCAATAATCATCACTCCGATATAATCATAGCCATGTATATGTATCGTTCCTCCAGTTAAAACCACCCCTACTGTAATTAGAGTAAGGCTATCACCCCACCTGTTATAGGCCTAATCACCTCTCCTGTTCAAATCGCCACCCTCCTGTAATAGTTAAATCCAATAATATTAAATCATTTCTCCTGTAATAATCACCCTTCCTGTAAGAGGCCTAATCATCCTCTTTTTGACATGCCACCTCTCCTGTAATATAAAAATCTGCCCCTGCTGTAAAAAATTGACCCCACCCTTTGTTGTAATCATCTCCTTTAATAATATGTCTTTGAATTTATGTTCCTCGTGTAATATTCACCCCTTCTGTTGAAATTGACACCCCTCCTGTAATAATCATTTCCTTTAATAATCCGTCCTCTCGATTTCTAATATACTCTTCTTGTGCAATAAACATGTTGCTACTATTAAGGATCTAGAGATTATACAAAATCTTCCATGTTTTTACATCTGTATTGATATTGTCTGTATCAAAAGATGAAAGTGTCAAATTCCTAACTTGTACTTCTCAGATCCATGTTAATGGTTATGTACAGTCATGATTAAATAAAAAGGGAACTCATAGTAATTAAGCAGTGTTAATATTTTTCAGTGAATTAATTTTCCATCTACATATGTCTGAGAATATCTTAAAGTGTTCCATTGTGTTTGATAGGGTAACATCCAGTATACATTTACCTACCAAGCCATGGGAGGAACCAATGAGGTACGTATAATTCCTCCGTGAAATTCGGAACCTGGAAATAACATGTTAATAAAACTTTTCATACTGCCAGCATTTGTTCTTAAGATAAAGAGATTTGACTATGTGTTTTTTTTTTGTACTGTTAAAAAATCTTCAGAGAGTCCACTTACTTGTGACTTTGTTCCTCTTTCTGTTTGCCCTTTTCATACCTGTACATAATTTTGACAACATTTAAGCAAGGATCATAAGTGAAATATACAGATCTATCCTTGGGATTTCGTTCCCTTCGACATAAAACATCTAATCTGCAAGTTTACTCATCACATCTCAAACAAATGGACAAATTATATAAATGGAATAAATACAATGAATATCTATGGCTATTGTTCCATAAAACTCATCTTCAGAAACCTTGCTGGGCAGGCAACACACCAACTTCTGTGGAATTCTTGTTTAGATAGAAGTTGAGACTTGATGTGTGTGATTACTTGAGGGTACGTGCCCTGTCTATAAAGCAATTAGCCCAAGCAGCTAACAATTTCTAACTTTAGAGATGGATAAAACATCAGCATGATGTCTCTCCTCAACTACAGGAAGTTCTGCTTAGGCTTATCTCTGGGCATGGATATTTGGCTGGTATCGAGGTAGATGATACAACTTTTCAATAAAATAATGTATGAATGGAATCTGTGGTAATTATTGTTATAAAGAATATTGACAGTGTCTTCCTATCGACAATGTGTTTCAGGACTGGGAAATCGGCATTTTTCATGCTAGTGAAAATCAGGTGTCCTGCATGGTCAACAGAGCAGATGGTATGACAACTTACTTCATCTTCCAAAGCTTCTCCCTCGAGGTCAAAGGTGCAACCTATGCTGTTGGACAACCATATGTAAGTTATATTATCGTTTAGTCTTAAATGGATGATCTGGACAAGTTAGATTTTATTAGAAGCTATGTCATAAAAATTTTACAAATCTACATAGATCTAGCTATACTAATTTTCAAGTTGTCCTGATTGGACCCAAACATGTTTACACCTGTGCAGTTAAGTATCTTTTAGCTGTATCATATGTAGGATACCGTAAATTTCCGCGTATAGAGCACACTTTTTCAAGCTAAAACTGACATGTCAAAAAGGGGGGATGCACATTATATGCAGGAACATGCCATTCTTGGGGTTATCATTCCCGAGTTCTGCATCCGCCATATTGGATTACCTCCCTTCACATAGTTATATGTAAAAGTCGTCGGTCATATATGATAGTTTGGAGATAAAAACAACAACAAAAAATAAAAATTTCGAATGTTTTAACCATTGACCATACACGCTAGCATTACAGTGAATCTATTTATTTTTTTCATCTTTATCCGTCATTCGAATAGTCATGTTCTCCTCCAGATACTCAGCATGTATGTGTTCTAGATAACTCATACAGAAGAAATTGATCTCTTCACAGTTTAATTGTACTGTCGCTTGGATTCAACACTTCTAGCTTCATTTTCAAAATGTTCATTTGATAAATGTGCTATATTTAAGCAGTCCAATTTTTAATTTGGCAAGAGAATTTCTGTCAATTTTGTCTGCCCCATTGACCACAGGAAAGCTATCCTTGTGCTGAAGATACAATGAAAATTCATTAGAAATGGTTCTTAAAGAAGAACAAAACATGCTATATCTAGAATTTGCATATTGTCCTGAGTATCCCTTTAAATGTTTTTAGATCAAGCAAGATTTATTAACAGCATAATTTCAAACTTTGTCTCAAAGAATTAATGTATTTAAAACAAACCCTTATCCTTTAAATTGAAATTAAGCATACATGTATACATGTTATACATGTGATCTAGCCAGCATCTCGTGTGGAGTTTGCACTTCCCATGTGTTTTAAAGTTGGGTAGAGGAAGTCTGCTTGTAACAATTATTGTTAACTTCATTTAGTTATGAAATGTTTGACTTTGCATTTAACAAATACTTATTTCTACTTTCAGGACTCCAAAAATAAGGATCTTTCGCCGGCGGAGTTTGATGAACTGCCAAAGAAAAATATGGGTAATGAAGATGTTATCTCCCTTCCCTTGTCTCCTATCAGTAATTTCAATACCCTCTTAAGTCCCTGTTGTTGAGATCTTGTTTATATAGGCCGATAGTCTCTCTGATCTGATCCTCATTCAATTTCAATTTTATTATTTGTTTTGATTTCAATTTTTCACAATCCCTTCCAAAAAAATCCTGGAAAAGCCGGTATTTATTTGATATGAAAAACTTAACATGAAACAGCAGCTGTCATTCAAGTTAGCCATTTCCGGAGTCGGTTTCATGATTAGTTTCAACCTTTGCAAAATTTTGTTATCCTGACCTACTTCCAGTTCCGGGAATCATGTGTTTACAAGATTATTACAGTATTTTTACATTTCAAAAATAGTTTCAGCTTATTCTGTATAGAGATTTTAAAACAATTCTCAAGTAATAAAACCATGTCACATAGTTATTTAACTGAAACTTGGCTGGATGAACCTCTGTTGTAACACTACCAAATGTTCTGAATAAACCTTTGTGGTAACACTACCAAATGTTCGGAGTACCTCAGTAAACCTCTGTTGTAACACTACCAAATATTCTGAGTAAACCTCTGTGGTAACACTACCAAATGTTCGGAGTACCTCAGTAAACCTCTGTTGTAACACTACCAAATGTTCTGAGAAAACCTCTGTTGTAACACTAACAAATGTTCTGAGAAAACCTCTGTGGTAACACTAACAAATGTTCTGAGAAAACCTCTGTGGTAACACTACTAAATGTTCTGAGTAAACCTCTGTGGTAACACTACCAAATGTTCTGAGAAAACCTCTGTGGTAACACTACCAAATGTTCTGAGTAAACCTCTGTGGTAACACTACCAAATGTTCTGAGAAAACCTCTGTGGTAACACTACCAAATGTTCTGAGAAAACCTCTGTGGTAACACTACCAAATGTTCTGAGAAAACCTCTGTGGTAACACTACCAAATGTTCTGAGTAAACCTCTGTGGTAACACTACCAAATGTTCTGAGAAAACCTCTGTGGTAACACTACCAAATGTTCTGAGAAAACCTCTGTGGTAACACTACCAAATGTTCTGAGAAAACCTCTGTGGTAACACTACCAAATGTTCTGAGAAAACCTCTGTGGTAACACTACCAAATGTTCTGAGAAAACCTCTGTGGTAACACTACCAAATGTTCTGAGTAAACCTCTGTGGTAACACTACCAAATGTTCTGAGTAAACCTCTGTGGTAACACTACCAAATGTTCTGAGTAAACCTCTGTGGTAACACTACCAAATGTTCTGAGTAAACCTCTGTGGTAACACTACCAAATGTTCTGAGTAAACCTCTGTGGTAACACTACCAAATGTTCTGAGAAAACCTCTGTGGTAACACTACCAAATGTTCTGAGAAAACCTCTGTGGTAACACTACTAAATGTTCTGAGTAAACCTCTGTGGTAACACTACTAAATGTTCTGAGTAAACCTCTGTGGTAACACTACCAAATGTTCTGAGTAAACCTCTGTGGTAACACTACCAAATGTTCAGAGTACCTCAGTAAACCTCTGTGGTAACACTACCAAATGTTCTGAGTAAACCTCTGTGGTAACACTACCAAATGTTCTGAGTAAACCTCTGTAGTAACTCTACCAAATGTTCTGAGTAAACCTCTGTGGTAACACTACCAAATGTTCTGAGTAAACCTCTGTAGTAACTCTACCAAATGTTCTGAGTAAACCTCTGTGGTAACACTACCAAATGTTCTGAGTAAACCTCTGTGGTAACACTACCAAATGTTCTGAGTAAACCTCTGTGGTAACACTACCAAATGTTCGGAGTAAACCTCTGTGGTAACTCTACCAAATGTTCTGAGTAAACCTTTGTGGTAACACTACCAAATGTTCTGAGTAAACCTCTGTGGTAACACTACCAAATGTTCTGAGTAAACCTCTGTGGTAACTCTACCAAATGTTCTGAGTAAACCTCTGTGGTAACTCTACCAAATGTTCTGAGTACCTCAGTAAACCTCTGTGGTAACTCTACCAAATGTTCTGAGTAAACCTCTGTGGTAACTCTACCAAATGTTCTGAGTAAACCTCTGTGGTAACTCTACCAAATGTTCTGAGTACCTCAGTAAACCTCTGTGGTAACACTACCAAATGTTCTGAGTAAACCTCTGTGGTAACTCTACCAAATGTTCTGAGTAAACCTCTGTGGTAACACTACTAAATGTTCCGATAAAGTTTTTATTTAACCTTAGATTATTAGGGATTTGAAATGGAAAAAATAACTCACTTTTGATATTTGATTTCTTCTTTTCAATTTATTGTCTTGATTACATGATCACTGCAGAATAATTCATTGATACTTGAAATTTCCCCACTTGTAACTACCGGTATCAATTGACAGGCCGGAATGCTAAGGGCTAACGGAGTTGTAAAATTACTTGACTAGAGTGTCTGGAATTAAGAAAACTTCAATTTTGGATCTAACTCGAAAGGCTTCATTTTCAAGAAGATGAAATTTATACATTATGTATCATTTCTCTACTAAATAATCTTATTTTCTTTTCTACGAGATGAACATATTAAAGAATTAATGTTTCCTTTTGCAGTGAAAAACAGCAAGAATTTCAAGAACTCAATCGGAAAGGTTATATTATGGGCTAAATTCGATGTAAAAGAAGAATTATAATGAACAGCTACAGCCATGGACAGCATTACTTAGCAGCTAATAACAAGAGAGTGTACACATTATAACTAGCTTCCATATGTATGTGTTATTGAGTTCAGACACAACCAACAACCTCTCCAAGGTTGTGACCTGGGGGTGACAATGCACTAACGGGTATGTTAATGGTATATGATGGAAGTATTTGGTGTAAGACGTGTGGTTAGGTGCAAGTGTGAGAAATGTGGTGTTACGTGCCAGAAATGTGGTGACAGATGTGAAAAATATGGTGTCACATGCCGCAAATGTTGTGTTAGGTGTGAGAATGGTGGCATTATGTGCCAGACATGTGGTGTTATGTGTGAAAAATATGGTGTTAGGTGTGAGCATTTTAGTGTCACATGCCACAAATGTTGTGTGAGAATGGTGGCATTATGTGCCAGAAATTTGGTGTTAGGTGTGAGAATTTTGTTGTGTGCCAGAAATGTGGTGTTAGTGGTGAGATTTGTGGTGTTACATGCCAAAAATGTGGTGTTGGGAGTGAGAAATATACATGTAGTATTAGGTGCTGGAAATGTGGGATTAGATGTGATAAAGTAATTTTTACGAGTCGTTGGTATATTCTCAAACAATTTTCACCAAAAATATTTTTTTTTCACAAATAATTGTTCAAAGTTTTGCATATTTGGTTTTGATTATTTCATATCACTGCAAAAAAAAAACTGTGACATTTCTGACCTGATGATGTAGTATATGTAGTAAAGTGAGAAATCACGCAGATGAAATGAACAGCTTCACACACATGTATCTATAACATAGCTGTATGTCAAGTAGATACAGGATCTTAAATTAGATTTTATTTCATATGAAATTTTAGGATACAAGTCTTTGAAGTTAATTAGTTTTGAGAGTCTTAATGAGCAAAAGTAAAAATTAAGACTTTTTGCATAAAATATGAGCTGATAATAAACTTAAGATATTTTTTCTCATATAACTCCGAGAAGTTGTGTCTTAAAGTCAAGTTTTGAGGAAGGGATCAAACAGAGACAGCAATTTGGATGTGTCATGTTCAATTTGTGACATGATGTCATTGTCTTTATCATGACACCACAATCAATTTCTGATTGGTACAGCCAATGAAAAATGTTCTGAGGTATATAACATGTGTGGTTGCATATGCAAAAAGCTTACATGGGCAAATTCACTGGATAACAGTCAGATTATGTGATAAATAAGGATGCTGGTCGATGTATTTCATAAGATAGGGTAAGATTAAGAACATATTATTTCATACACAATACACTATAAATACTGGTAATACGTGGTAAGTCTATACAATCAAAATCACGTGCTGTTATATCTGTTCCTATAGTTAGAGTAGTAAATGTTCAATCTTTAGGGAGAAATTTGGTGTAAATTTCAGAAATTGTGAACTGACAAATTACATGGTTACTTGCTCATTTCTTACAAAATGTATTTTGCAAAGGTGTCATAATAAATAGGATTTTTTCCTGATATTCTGATGCCCACTAAACTTATTCTGATAGAAAGTCAAGCTAGATAAACCTGTATATAATGTATTACACTGTTTTTAGCTATAACATAGCCCTTTAAGATGATTACCAGATTAGCATTGAAGAGTGAGTGTGGTGATGGTAAATTTTCTATTTATTGAATAAATAAAAAGTGGCTATAAACTGTCGAGTTTGTGTCATTTATATCTTCATGATTGTCGTATGGCCCTCTATATAAATATAAATATTTCTCTTCTGATCTTTAACTTTTTAATCCTTTTAAAAAAAAAATGTTTTGGTTGAAAATGTTATTTTTTACTATCTTCCGAACAATACTGTGTCCTTATAGGCCTGTATTGGTCATCTGGCAAATTCAGTTATTATTTAATAACAAATTTCAAATATGACAAATTATTTCTGAAATAATTTTTTATTGGGTCCCAACTTTGTGGTCAAACAGAAGTCACATTAACTGTTCAATTGCTTCAGACAAAACTTTGACACTATACTTGTACAAAAGGAGGTTTTTAGGTCACCTGAGACAAAGTCTGATGGTGATCTATCCTAATACCCTTCATCTGGCGCTGTGCGTCAATAAACAGTTTTAACACTTTCGACTTCTCAAAAGCCCCTGATCCAATTTCAATGAAATTTTGCAGAAATTTTCTCTGGCCTAAGATGAAAGAAAATGTGAATTATACAGTCCCCATTCCCAAGGGGCCAAAAGGGGTCAAATTGAATCCTCATGAATGCAAGCATCTTAAGATGCTTGCCAAATTTGTGAATTTCATGGCCTAAGGGTCTAACATATTTGCTATTAGGGCCAGATGGGCTACAACAGATACATGTAGTTTTATTTTTGATACCTATTAGGCTTAGAGATATCTGTAGGTGTTTTATAATTTGTACCTATTAGGCTTAGTGATATCTGTAGGTGTTTTATAATTTGTACCTATTACGCTTAGTGATATCTGTAGGTGTTTTATAATTTGTACCTATTAGGCTAAGAGATAGCTGTAGGTATTTTATAATTTGTAACTATTAGGCTAAGAAATATCTGAAGGTGTTTTATAATTTGTACCAATTAGGCTAAGAGATATCTGAAGGTGTTTTATAATTTGTACCTATTAGGCTAAGAGATATCTGTAGGTGTTTTATAATTTGTAACTATTAGGATAAGAAATATCTGAAGGTGTTTTATAATTTGTACCTATTAGGCTTAGTGATATCTGTAGGTGTTTTATAATTTGTACCTATTAGGCTAAGAAATATCTGAAGGTGTTTTATAATTTGTACCTATTAGGCTAAGAAATATCTGAAGGTGTTTTATAATTTGTACCTATTAGGCTAAGAAATATCTGTAGGTGTTTTATAATTTGTATTAGGCTAAGAAATATCTTAGGTGTTTTATAATTTGCTATTAGGCTAAGAAATATCTATATAATTTGGCTAAGAGATATCTGAAGGTGTTTCATAATTTGTACCTATTAGGCTACGAGATATCTGAAGGTGTTTTATAATTTATACCTATTAGGCTTAGTGATATCTGTAGGTGTTTTATAATTTGTACCTATTAGGCTAAGAAATATCTGAAGGTGTTTTATAATTTGTACCTATTAGGCTAAGAGATATCTGTAGGTGTTTTATAATTTGTAACTATTAGGCTAAGAAATATCTGAAGGTGTTTTATAATTTGTACCTATTAGGCTAAGAAATATCTGAAGGTGTTTTATAATTTGTAACTATTAGGCTAAGAGATATCTGTAGGTGTTTTATAATTTGTACCTATTAGGCTAAGAAATATCTGAAGGTGTTTTATAATTTGTACCTATTAGGCTAAGAAATATCTGAAGGTGTTTCATAATTTGTACCTATTAGGCTAAGAAATAGAAGGTGTTTTATATAGGCTAAGAAAAGGTGTTTCATAATTTGTACCTATTAGGCTAAGAGATATCTGTAGGTGTTTTATAATTTGTAACTATTAGGCTACGAGATATCTGAAGGTGTTTTATAATTTGTACCTATTAGGCTAAGAAATATCTGAAGGTGTTTTATAATTTGTACCTATTAGGCTAAGAAATATCTGAAGGTGTTTTATAATTTGTACCTAGGTGTTTTATAAATACCTATTAGGCTAGGTGTTTTATAATTTGTACCTATTAGGCTCTAGGTGTTTTATAATTTGTAACTATTAGGCTAAGAAATATCTGAAGGTGTTTTATAATTTGTACCAATTAGGCTAAGAGATATCTGTAGGTGTTTTATAATTTGTACCTATTAGGCTAAGAAATATCTGAAGGTGTTTTATAATTTGTACCTATTAGGCTAAGAAATATCTGAAGGTGTTTTATAATTTGTACCTATTAGGCTAAGAAATATCTGGTGTTTTATAATTTGTACCTATTAGGCTAAGAGATATCTGTAGGTGTTTTATAATCTATACCTATAAGGCTAAGATATGATATGTCTAACAAGAAAATCTGAAGGTGTTTTATAATTTGTACCTATTAGGCTAAGAGATATCTTCAAAATGTGTTTTATAATTTGTAACTATTAGGCTAAGAATATCTCAAGGTGTTTTATAATTTGTACACTATTAGGCTAAGAGATATCTGAAGGTGTTTTATAATTTGTACCTATTAGGCTAAGAGAAATATCTAATAGGTGTTTTATGATATTATAAAGGTGTTTTATCATCATGTTGTCTGTATTTGTACCTATTAGGCTAATAGAATCAGTTCATGGAAGGATTCACAAAATTGTTTTCTTTATCAAAATTTCTAAGTCTGGACAAGGTTTGGTTAACCATAAATTATGAAGTCTATCACACCCTAGGGTAGGATTCTCTGTCACCCACTAGGGTATGATTCTATGTCACCCACTAGGGTATGATTCTCTGTCACCCACTAGGGTATGATTCTCTGTCACCCACTAGGGCATGATTCTATGTCACCCACTAGGGTATGATTCTCTGTCACCCACTAGGGTATGATTCTATGTCACCCACTAGGGTATGATTCTATGTCACCCACTAGGGTATGATTCTATGTCACCCACTAGGGTATGATTCTATGTCACCCACTAGGGTATGATTCTATGTCACCCACTAGGGTATGATTCTATGTCACCCACTAGGGTATGATTCTATGTCACCCACTAGGGTATGATTCTATGTCACCCACTAGGGTATGATTCTATGTCACCCACTAGGGTATGATTCTCTGTCACCCACTAGGGTATGATTCTCTGTCACCCACTAGGGTATGATTCTATGCCACCCACTAGGGTATGATTCTCTGTCACCCACTAGGGTATGATTCTCTGTCACCCACTAGGGTATGATTCTCTGTCACCCACTAGGGTATGATTCTCTGTCACCCACTAGGGTATGATTCTCTGTCACCCACTAGGGTACGATTCTCTGTCACCCACTAATGTGAGATTCTCTTGTCACCCACTAGGGTATGATTCTGTCACCCACTAGGGTATGATTCTCTGTCACCCACTAGGGTATGATTCTCTGTCACCCACTAGGGTATGATTCTCTGTCACCCACTAGGGTATGATTCTATGTCACCCACTAGGGTATGATTCTCTGTCACCCACTAGGGTATGATTCTCTGTCACCCACTAGGGTATGATTCTCTGTCACCCACTAGGGTATGATTCTCTATCACCCACTAGGGTATGATTCTATGCCACCCACTAGGGTATGATTCTCTGTCACCCACTAGGGTATGATTCTATGCCACCCACTAGGGTATGATTCTCTGTCACCCACTAGGGTATGATTCTCTGTCACCCACTAGGGTATGATTCTCTGTCACCCACTAGGGTATGATTCTCTGTCACCCACTAGGGTATGATTCTCTGTCACCCACTAGGGTATGATTCTCTGTCACCCACTAGTGTATGATTCTCTGTCACCCACTAGGGTATGATTCTCTGTCACCCACTAGGGTATGATTCTCTGTCACCCACTAGGGTATGATTCTCTGTCACCCACTATGATTCTCTGTCACCCACTAGGGTATGATTCTCTGTCACCCTCTATTGTATGATTCTCTGTCACCCACTAGGGTATGATTCTCTGTCACCCACTAGGGTATGATTCTCTGTCACCCACTAGGGTATGATTCTCTGTCACCCACTAGGGTATGATTCTCTGTCACCCACTAGGGTATGATTCTCTGTCACCCACAAGTGTGAGATTTTGTCACCCACTAGGGTATGATTCTCTGTCACCCACTAGGGTATGATTCTCTGTCACCCACTAGGGTATGATTCTCTGTCACCCACTAGGGTATGATTCTTTGTCACCCACTAGGGTATGATTCTCTGTCACCCACTAGGGTATGATTCTCGGTCACCCACGAGGGTATGATTCTAAGTCACCCACTAGGGTATGATTCTATGTCACCCACTAGGGTATGATTCTAGGGTATATGTCACCCACTAGGGTATGATTCTCTGTCACCCACTAGGGTATGATTCTCTGTCACCCACTAGGGTATGATTCTCTGTCACCCACTAGGGTATGATTCTCTGTCACCCACTAGGGTATGATTCTCTGTCACCCACTAGGGTATGATTCTCTGTCACCCACTAGGGTATGATTCTCTGTCACCCACTAGGGTATGATTCTATGTCACCCACTAGGGTATGATTCTCCGTCACCCACTAGGGTATGATTTTCTGTCACCCACAAGGGTATTATTCTCTGTCACCCACATGATTATGATTCTCTGTCACCCACTATGGTATGATTCTATGTCACCCACTAGGGTATGATTCTCTGTCACCCACTAGGGTATGATTCTCTGTCACCCACTAGGGTATGATTCTATGTCACCCACTAGGGTATGATTCTCTGTCACCCACTAGGGTATGATTCTATGTCACCCACTAGGGTATGATTCTCTGTCACCCACTAGGGTATGATTCTCCGTCACCCACTAGGGTATGATTCTCTGTCACCCACTAGGGTATGATTCTCTGTCACCCACTAGGGTATGATTCTCTGTCACCCACTAGGGTATGATTCTCTGTCACCCACTAGGGTATGATTCTCTGTCACCCACTAGGGTATGATTCTATGTCACCCACTAGGGTATGATTCTCTGTCACTCACTAGGGTATGGTTCTCTGTCACCCACTAGGGTATGATTCTCTGTCACCCACTAGGGTATGATTCTATGTCACCCACTAGGGTATGATTCTCTGTCACCCACTAGGGTATGATTCTCTGTCACCCACTAGGGTATGATTCTATGTCACCCACTAGGGTATGATTCTCTGTCACCCACTAGGGTATGATTCTCTGTCACCCACTAGGGTATGATTCTCTGTCACCCACTAGGGTATGATTCTCTAGGGTATGTCACCCACTAGGGTATGATTCTCTGTCACCCACTAGGGTATGATTCTCTGTCACCCACTAGGGTATGATTCTCTGTCACCCACTAGGGTATGATTCTCTGTCACCCACTAGGGTATGATTCTCTGTCACCCACTAGGGTATGATTCTCTGTCACCCACTAGGGTATGATTCTCTGTCACCCACTAGGGTATGATTCTCTGTCACCCACTAGGGTATGATTCTCTGTCACCCACTAGGGTATGATTCTCTATGTCACCCACTAGGGTATGATTCTCTGTCACCCACTAGGGTATGATTCTCTGTCACCCACTAGGGTATGATTCTCTGTCACCCACTAGGGTATGATTCTCTGTCACCCACTAGGGTATGATTCTCTGTCACCCACTAGGGTATGATTCTCCGTCACCCACTAGGGTATGATTCTCTGTCACCCACTAGGGTATGATTCTCTGTCACCCACTAGGGTATGATTCTATGTCACCCACTAGGGTATGATTCTCCGTCACCCACTAGGGTATGATTCTCCGTCACCCACTAGGGTATGATTCTCCGTCACCCACTAGGGTATGATTCTCTGTCACCCACTAGGGTATGATTCTATGTCACCCACTAGGGTATGATTCTCTGTCACCCACTAGGGTATGATTCTCTGTCACCCACTAGGGTATGATTCTCTGTCACCCACTAGGGTATGATTCTCTGTCACCCACTAGGGTATGATTCTATGCCACCCACTAGGGTATGATTCTATGTCACCCACTAGGGTATGATTCTCTGTCACCCACTAGGGTATGATTCTCTGTCACCCACTAGGGTATGATTCTCTGTCACCCACTAGGGTATGATTCTCTGTCACCCACTAGGGTATGATTCTCTGTCACCCACTAGTGTGAGATTCTCTGTCACCCACTAGGGTATGATTCTCTGTCACTCACAAGTGTGAGATTCTCTGTCACCCACTAGGGTATGATTCTCTGTCACCCACTAGGGTATGATTCTATGTCACCCACTAGGGTATGATTCTCTGTCACCCACTAGGGTATGATTCTCTGTCACCCACTAGGGTATGATTCTCTGTCACCCACTAGGGTATGATTCTCTGTCACCCACTAGTGTGAGATTCTCTGTCACCCACTAGGGTATGATTCTCTGTCACCCACTAGGGTATGATTCTCTGTCACCCACTAGGGTATGATTCTCTGTCACCCACTAGGGTATGATTCTCTGTCACCCACTAGGGTATGATTCTCTGTCACCCACTAGGGTATGATTCTCTGTCACCCACTAGGGTATGATTCTCTGTCACCCACTAGTGTGAGATTCTCTGTCACACCCTAGTGTATGATTCTATGTCACCCACTAGGGTATGATTCTATGTCACCCACTAGGGTATGATTCTCTGTAACCCACTAGGGCATGATTTTCCATCACACCCTTCGGTATGGCTCTTTGTCACTCCTAGTGTGGGATATTTCTGAAATTTCTCATGTTGGTTACCTTTCTTTAGTAGATTTGCCAGAATTAAAAATAAAAATAAAGAAAAATGTCATAATCTACAAATCTTAATGTAAATATTCTAAAAATATCTCAACCCTTAGAATGGAATTGTCCTTTACTTTCTCTGAAATATAACACTTTATATGGATTTATAACTTCTGTTCCCTAATGTTATACAAGATGAGTTTGTTATCTATTACAGTTAACATCAGTTAACATCAGTTTATTAACTTAAGTTGGTGACCTATCAATTATTCAATGCCATCATATGTTTTTAATTCATGATACATACAAATTTGTACACAGTTGAACGTATATGTTTTGATGATGAAACTCAGTTCTGCAGCAGGTATATTTTATCCACTGGACTATATATCTGGTCCCTTAACAACCAAGCTCTCTATCCTTTGGGATAGTTCATGGCTGTATTTATCAGGTCTGACGATGTGTACCGTAATTAACTTCCTGGTCACATGACATGCCAGATTAAATTATCCACCAGACATAACTTATCATTATAGATGATATCAGCATCACTATAAATTACAGCATTTTACAGTACCATCACAGCTAGGTCCCAGCTCTACCGATGCATTAATGTTTACATTAATTTCGATTACTTCCAAGCCCTGGCTGAATTAAACAAGTCTTCTTCTTTGGACAGTAACAGCAGGCCCTACAAAATCCAGACATCACACTTCAGTTGAATCAAACTGTTCTACTGCAAAATCATCAATTTTTAAGTGGAGGTTTACTTTGTGGTGACCTTTTTAATCAATGAATTAATATTTGTCCCCTAAATTATAAATAGATCGGAATTGAAATAGATTTTAGTATTTATGGATGTTTTAAGATTTATCCTCAAAATCTAGACAGAAGTCCCATCGAAAATGCAGTTTTCTTGTAAATGGCCTATGGGCTTGCAGTGCTAACCTGGTATATATGTACCAGCCAAATATATGCCTCTAGGCATTTTAGTTAATGAGAATAAGTTAAATGTTTTAACAAATTTTACCCCTATGAATATGAGTCAAGGTCATCTGTTTTCCCACACTTTGTTGGGTTTCAACCTAAAAACATATCATCCAAATACCATGCCTCTAGGACTTTTAGTTCATGAGAAGAAGCCATTTAAAGGTTTTAACAAATATGACCCCTATGACCTTGAAGATTGGTCACAGCCATTTATTTTCACAAAATCAGTCGGCCTTCATCCAAAGAACAGCCAAATACTTGGTTCAATGGTTATTGAGTATTTCTTGTAAATTATACAGAATAGTGGTTATAGGGTGGGCTTATACCAGACATGGGCATATTGCCTTAACATGATAGTTGTTTGGTGAAATATAGAGATTGAACAATGTAGTCTTACCATGCTGGCTGATGATTCATAATGTAAGGCACTGTCTCATGGCCTAAAAAAATTAGGATCATCACATCAGATTTGCAAGTAAAAGCTAGTCAATAACTTAGCTTAAGTGTTATTCTTTAGAGAGTTGGAGAAAACTTTATTTCATTTTCTGAGAGAGCCAAACTGGACAATATTTCATTTCCATCATGAAATCATAGGACACCATTTTTTCTGACAGTATCAAGCCATGTTGGATTACATGGCTGAACAGGAAGTTATATGATAAATGCAGTTAATGTAATGACTCAGATGGAACAACACTGACGTTCGTTGGTGAGATAACGCCCAGCCACAGAAATAGTCGTGGAGTCAAAAAACTTGTAGCGAACCAGCAAATCAGGTTTGACCATAAGACAATATACAGAATTTAGAAAATGTCAACATAAACACCAAGTATTTAAGAAATTAAACGTACCTTGGTGGCAAACTTCCATACATGATCTGCATATCCCTGAAACATTCAATCACACAGTTGGATGATAAGTATATGTTTAAATATATAACTGAAAGACCTATATATGAAAGAGGCCAAATAGGCCTAAAATTAATTGCTCAACTACTCCAAAGCTTACAAAGAAGACACTTTTGGTTCATAAAACATTTTCTCCAAACTTAAAATCATATTCTCAATACATGCTACTACACAAATCAATACATGCTACTACACAACTCAATACAAGCTACTACACAATAACTCCAGACCTTATGCTAGTTGAAAAAGAAATTGTAAAATCTCAACTCACTTAATCCAAGAGATATTGTTATATTATTTGAACAAATTGGTAACCCTTCATCCCCTGTGACCTTGAAAGCAGGTCAAGGTCATTCATATTGACAAACTTAGTAGTCATACATTCCAGAATGCTACAGGCCTACTATCAGCACCCTGGGCCTTTTGGTTATTTATTGAGAAGATGTTGTTCAAAGATTTTGACAAATTTGACCCCTGTGACCTTGAAAGCCAGTCAATGTCATTCATATGGACAAACAGCCCTACATACTTGAATGCTACAGGCCCAATATCAGTACGGTGGGCCTTTTGCTTATTGAGAAGAAGTCATTAAAAAATTTTTTTTAAATATTTGACCCCTGTGACCTTGAAAGCAGGTCAAGGATATTCATACTAACAATGGTAGTGCGTCATCCTATCATGCTACAGGCAAAATATCAGATCCTTGAAAAGAAGTAATTTAAATGAAAAGTTTACACACGGCGCATGACGGACAACAATGGAGGACCTTCTAATTTACATTTTAAGCAAACGGTACATATAATACTTCTTCACTTTGTTATTTTCACAGCAAGATAATTTGAACTTGCTTGAAAATTTTTCATTAGTTCTGGTATTTTCTTTAAATTTCAGAACTAAATGAAACAAAAAATATTACCAAAACTGTTTTAGATTTTCTGAATTGTGAAATGTTATTTTTTTTAAATTCAGATTGAAACCACTTTAAATGATTGACACTCACACTGAAATCCACATCGTTTGCAGCAAAAATAGTCAACAGATTGGGGTTTGCCTTCCTGAAAAGTTTGTCGGAAACATTGCTTAGGCATATCACTTTCCAGGACTATCTTACCATAAATGGCAATCTCACTTCCTGGTTTCTACAATTGGAAAAAGATCAGTGATTAAATGATGAAAGAAATTGTTCTATGAACAGATGATTATAATACCCACATAATAAAAGATAATAATAACAATATCTGTTTATATAAAGAAATTTCAATCCAGAAATTTAAAACATTGTTTGAGGCTTTGCTAAGACAGAAACTACAATACACTTATTCTGGGGATTGAGATTTGTCCACATCACAATGTGGTGATTGTTTTTTCTTTTTTTTCTTTCAAAGTTTCATGCTGTGTCTGTATTCTTTACCAGGAACCCCACACTACCAATAATGGCATGTGATAAAATGAACAATGCTAATGTATTTAACGACACTACATCTATTTTGAAATATTTTGATGCTGAATAGAAGTTTCTTGGAGACATTTGCTCATAACAGAAAAACCAGTATAAAGTTTCTGTCCTGTAAATTTATGTGTACAACAGTAAAATTGTACTAAAAAATATCTATTGTCACTTTTATCAAATCTTAAATCATATGAAGTTTTAGTTACCATGGAATGTTCAAGGACAGGACGACTGTGTTTGTCTATCACTGTGATGTCACAGTATACCTTCCCATCATGCAGTATTTCTCTCACTATCTGCTGCATTTCAAAATGGCTACACTTTACAAAAGGCCTAAAATACAAAATTCAAGCAAAACTGATTTGGTAAAATACATAAAAACATTCTCATCAACCCAACACATTTGTTGTCTGTTTTTTGGTTGTACCTGGTAAATTGCAAAGTGTTCAGTTAAACAAGCTACCAAGTACTTGAGTTTGTACATGTATATGACATGTACTTTCATGTGCTCTGTACAAAAGGCAGTGGAACAGTTTCAGGTTTAAAAATATTGATCACAAAAGTTTATAAATGCAGTAATATCAATCAAATTTGAACTTCAAGTTTCCTTTTATCATTTTTGCTCCTCGAAGAACTTTTATATATGTAACAAATAAAAACAGGTTATCAAGATTTGTATTGGTGACAGCTATGTTGGGCTAAAGTGAAATATGGTAAATGTGTGTTTAGTAGGATGTCATGAACATTTAAATGCCAAACCAAAATCCGTTACGGTTTGTTGATTTTTTGTGATGCACCAGACATATTGTAGTCATGTCTCTAAGAACCCTGTTAGTAACAGATGGACCATCATTGGCTAGGATCACAGCATTACAACCCAGTGTATAGAGCCCGTTTATCATCAAATAGTGTGAGACAGGATGGCATTCACTTCCTCATTCAATGCCTGCACAAGTTCCTATAAGACGGAAGGTGGATTCAACCGGCACTAGCCTCGTCTTCCAAGAACATCCCAGATGTGCTCTATTGGGTTCAGATCGGTGGATTTTGTGGGTTTATCCAAACTTTGGACATTGCTCTAGTCACCTGATGGGTGTGGGATGTCGCATTATCAAAATGGACCCTAGATCCTTGATGCTGAAAAAACAGGAAGACAAGGGATGCTGAAATTTCATCCCCATGCTACCTCTATCAAATCTGTCAAGCTTTCACAGCAGGCTGTGAAGCATTACTCCCAACATCACCATACTTGCTGGCATCCATCATTGTACACGAAACAAAATCTCGACTTATCAGTGAACAAAACACTGTAAGAATCATTGTTGGTGTCGCCGAGCCAAATCAAAGCAACTGGTGAAATCTTAGAGCAGGGCCTGTGTAAGACCTCCCTGCACACATTCGGTGACATTTCAGTCTGTTACGGATGGTCTGGCTGCTTACTGTCGATCAAGCAAAGTCCTTGCTAGATGCAAGAAGAAACCAATTCTGTAGACGCTGCAGCAGTATTAGACAGTCTTCAGGAGGGGTGAATACTATTTGTTGACCACTCCTTGAATTAGAGTTGGATGTTGGAGCGGTTACATTCAAACAATGCCATAAACAACATGCTGTCTTTTGGTAAACTATCTTTCAACCTCACATTGCAATGATAGCCTTTTCTGTCTCTTCTCTCAACAGAGACAGAATTGCATTAATATATACAATTTTCATACCAAATGATTTTCAAGTGATAAAGGTTTTTAGGCAATCCATGAAGTTTTTGAGGAAGTGCATGAATTTTTTGAGTTAGTCCATGATTTTGAGATAGTCCATGAAGTTTTTGAGATAGTCCATGAAGGTTTTGCAACAGTCCATGAAGTTTCTGAGGTAGTGCATGAAGGTTTTGCGATAGTCCATGAAGGTTTTGCGATAGTCCATGAAGGTTTTGAGGTAGTACATGAAGTTTTATGAATTTCAACTAAACAAATTTCTATTAAAGGGAAAAAAAATGTTATGTTCTTTGAAATAATCTTCAAATTTACACTTGACTGATTTCAGTAAATGTCGACGACTAATCCAGAGATTCCCAAAAAACACATTAGTAACTGAAAAATATCTATATAATCAACCAATGTTTGGTGTATAGCAAGATAACTTCATAAATTTTTTATTTGTTCAGTATATATTAAGAAATCCTATCAATAAACACATTCCCAAGGCCATTAAATATCGTTGGCAACAAAAAGCCTTCAAGCTTGTTTGACAGGAACTCTTTATCAGAATACAGAACAAGATATCATTTATTACTGATGAATTTCATTGTGGTGAAAGATAACTTACCCAAACAACACAAGATGAAGCTCCTCTGGCCATTCACCCACTGGATCATTTCTGGCTGCCATGGTAGCTTCTACAGAGGCTTTCACTTTGTCCCCAATCCTTCAACACAACATGCATATATTTGTGTAATATTATCTTCCAGTAAAATGGACTAACAAAGTAGGAATTGAAAATTTTGATTGTTTATTTACTGGGCCTTTCACCCCATGAACAGCAAGGGTCATTTTGAGGCAGTGACTCCTTGTGGTAGCTAGTGGGTCCCTCAGTGAACAACATACAGGAGGCCCATTAAATGTCTCAAAAATGTGGCTCCTTAAATGAAATGGAATATTATTAAACCAATAACATCATTTACATTTATTTTATTTAGTTATTTTTTATCTTTTAATCTTTTATTTATTTTTTTGTGGGAGGGCAGGGCATTTGAAAGTACATCAGGGGCACATCATTTAATGAGGATGCAACAGTAGTATCTATATGTAGTATCACACAAATTCATCCTACACCTCTTGGTCAGACGGACATGCTGGAATTAGCAACCTCAACGCTCACCTGGTATGCATATACCAGCCAAATATCAAGCCTCTCAGCCTTTTAGATCATGTGAAGAAGTCATTTAAATGTTTTGAAAAATATTATCCCTGTGACCTTGAACATAGGTCAAGGTCATTTCTTTTCGTAAACTTTGTCAGGCTTCATCCTAGGAACATATCAGCTAAATATCAAAACATTTGGTCCATTGGTTATTGAGAAGAAGTTGTTGCCCTTTGAGCCAGGTGAGCTAAAAACTGGGAAGAGAGTACACTTACCTGTCAGTTGGTTTGAAAACAACATCAGACACTTTCATGTTTTTGTCCAGTATGGTGATGCCCACCTTGACAGGGAGCACATCTAACTGAGGAATGTGGGTCGTCAGGTATCTGTGGGAAAGGAAAAACTCATCTTTTTAACAAACGTTACCATAGTCGTGATCTTGGATATGATACAAGTGTCTATGTGACCTGCCATTGTTGATATGATACAAGTGTCTGTGTGACCTGCTATTGTTGATATGATACAAGTGTCTGTGTGACCTGCTATTGTTGATATGATACAAGTGTCTATGTGACCTGCCATTGTTGATATGATACAAATGTCTATGTGACCTGCTATTGGTGATTTGATACAAGTGTCTGTGTGACCTGCTAATGTTGATATGATACAAGTGTCTGTGTGACCTGCTATTGTTGATATGATACAAGTGTCTATGTGACCTGCTATTGTTGATTTGATACAAGTGTCTATTTGACCTGCCATCGCAAGTATCTGTGTGACCTGCTGTTGTTGATATGATACATGAGTCTGTGTGGCCTGCTATTGTTGATTTGATACAAGTGTCTGTGTGACCTGCCATTGTTGATATGATACAAGTGTCTATGTGACCTGCCATCGCAAGTATCTGTGTGACCTGCTGTTGTTGATATGATACATGAGTCTGTGTGGCCTGCTATTGTTGATTTGATACAAGTGTCTGTGTGACCTGCTATTGATGATTTGATACAAGTGTCTATGTGACCTGCTATTGGTGATTTGATACAAGTGTCTATGTGACCTGCCATCGCAAGTATCTGTGTGACCTGCTGTTGTTGATATGATACAAGTGTCTGTGTGACCTGCCATCGCAAGTATCTGTGTGACCTCCTATTGTTGATTTGATACAAGTGTCTATGTGACCTATTGTTGATTTGATACAAGTGTCTGTGTTGATTTGATACAAGTGTCTATGTGACCTGCTATTGGTGATTTGATACAAGTGTCTATGTGACCTGCTATTGGTGATTTGATACAAGTGTCTATGTGACCTATTGTTGATTTGATACAAGTGTCTGTGTGACCTGCTATTGCTGATATGATACAAGTGTCTATGTGACCTGCTATTGCTGATATGATACAAGTGTCTATGTGACCTGCTATTGGTGATTTGATACAAGTGTCTATGTGACCTGCTATTGGTGATTTGATACAAGTGTCTATGTGACCTGTTATCACTCATTCAATGTTTGTACTTATCTATATGACATACCTATTGTAGGACTCAGCCACCAGTTTTGTACACAATTTTAGTTCTTCTTGTAGTGCCTCCTTCTGATGTGACAGTCGATTCTGCAGGTCTGTTGTCTGCTTTGTTATCTCTGATAAAATTAAGAAGCCTTGATATGTTGTCTGCACATTTAACATTACAATTTTTGCAGAAAAAGGATGATTTTATTGACATAAAAAAATTCAGAAATATGACAAAATGTGCTTTGATGTGACAAAAAAACAATGGTTTATTTTTTTACAATAAACTTTCAGGCAAAAATTTATTTGATGTGAAAATGTTTAGCTTTATCTGATAGTATTTGAACCTGTGTCGATGTTTACCTTGGTCGGACAGAGTTTACCTTGATTCAAAGATTGACTTGTTTTGACATTTAACATAACTATGACAACAGTTTACCAATGCAACTGCTTTGAAAGTTTTCCTTATTCTCACAGAGTTTACCTTGTTCTGACAAAATTGACCTTATTCTGACAAAGTTTACCTTGTTTTGAAACAGTTTTCCTTGTTCTAACAGACTTTACCTTGTTCTCACAAGAGTTTACCTTGTTCTGACAAAGTTTACCTTATTCTGACAAAGTTTACTCGTTTTGAAACAGTTTTCCTTGTTCTAACAGACTTTACCTTGTTCTCACAGAATTTACCTTGTTCTGACAAAGTTTACCTTATTCAGACAAAGTTTACCTTGTTTTGACACAGTTTACCTTGTTTTGAAACAGTTTTCCTTGTTCTAACAGACTTTACCTTGTTCTCACAAGAGTTTACCTTGTTCTGACAAAGTTTACCTTATTCTGACAAAGTTTACTCGTTTTGAAACAGTTTTCCTTGTTCTAACAGACTTTACCTTGTTCTCACAGAATTTACCTTGTTCTGACAAAGTTTACCTTATTCAGACAAAGTTTACCTTGTTTTGACACAGTTTACCTTGTTCTCACAGAGTTTACCTTGTTCTGACAAAGTTTACCTTGTTTTGACACAGTTTACCTTGTTCTCACAGAGTTTACCTTGTTCTGACAATCCATGTGACGTTAGATCATTGACAGCTTTTACACATGATAACTCCAATCTCTTCTCTTGTTCAGATAATTCTTTTTCCAGCTTCTGGAACATGTACGTTTAATATCATTATTGATAACATCCCTGTTTGTGAACAGTTCATTTTATTGAATTGTGTAGATCAAAAGCAATGTTACTTTAACATATCATATATTTCTCTTTCACTTTTATTTCAACACAGTAAGTATCTCTAGCTTGAGTGCAGTTTTAATCTGATTTCCTAAAATTTCGCTAAGTCACTGTTACAGCTAAAGTACAAAATTCCTGAACAAACCTGGAAATACCTCTCATGGGCAGCCAAACTCTCTTTCAGATGGTCTGCAAGTAGACAGATATAAATACATTTCATTCTACTGGTTTTCAAATCTTGAAGTTTATATCACTCAGCATCTCTCACCATGTTCCATTAATACATGTAAAAGATGTTTTACTTAAAACTACATTGTAATCTATTTCAAAATCTCTGCAATGAGAAAGTTAATGAATGACTAAACAATAGTTTTTCTTTCAATTCATATTTGCATTCTATTGTAGCAGCAAACAATGTTACACATTATATACATTTTTATATATAATCAAGCCACTCAAACAAAACAACTAGTGTACAGAATGTTAATATCAAATACCAAAACATCAGAGGTTCATTAATTGAGATTAGGTAATGTTATATACCTTTTAGAACAGTTTCTATTGGAGACAGTTGCACTGAGGCTTGTGACTCACTCACAGCTACAACGAAGAAAGTATTATATATGTAATAAATACAATAAATTTACATCAAGATCAGGGACCAACTGTGATTATATATATAAATATTTTAAAATTTGATCCTAATTTGTTACATATGTAAGCCTATCAATGCTTTACTTTTGAAGCCTAGCTGTGTGGATGACCCACGCTGTGACATCACTGAACATGAGACAACATATAATAGCTATCTAAGAAAGGTAGTTTTGTAATTTGATTTTTATTCATATCCACACTACTAACTAAAAAAAGGCTAAAATAATTTCTCATGATGTAAATTCCAAGTAATTTGTTTTAACTTGTTGAACTTTCCATAAGAAAGAAAAGTCATTATCCCAACAGATCAAGAAAATGCAGTATAAATCTTATATATCTAATATCAGTATATTACTAATACTTTGTTCATGTTTTTGATTTTATCTAAAGAACTTTACATCTTCTGTAGGTAAATGTACATATACAATAAGACTGGTATATATCTCGATTGGATTCTTTTTCCCAAACCTACCTGAATTAATTAAGGACTCAAAGTATTTGGCTTCTGAGTTCGCCTTCTCATTGCTGATGGCGTCTGATGAGAAAAACAGTATTTATATCAGTTAAAATCATATTCTATGTTTTTTTCAATAAAGGGGCATATTTTAGCAGCATCATATCAGTAGTAGTGCTGTCTAGATTCTGATGTGACAGAATTTAGCAAAAAACCAAAATCTTTGCCACGACCTTTTAAAAATGCCCCAGCGTCTTTGCAAATCAGGATCTGATCAGAAGTAAAGCTTGATGGTATAATACAATGAGAATAAATATGAACCAAATCTGATGAAAGGTTCCCAAACTATAATACATGATTCAGAATTGGACCCAAGATGGACATTAATTTCGACACAAGTTTGTATTAAGAGTTTATTTTGTCTCCTGCTATTCAACATAGTCTTCCTCAACTCTCAAGGACACATACAACAAGACTTGTCATTCAGGCTACAGTTTGTACACAACATATCTAGCATATCCCTCCCAAATAACCATTTACAGCAGAGTAAAGTAACATGACAGTCAAACATGGTTCTTACCTACAAGACAGTCAAACATAGTTCTTACCTACAAAACAGTCAAACATGGTTCTTACCTACAAGACAGTCAAACATGGTTCTTACCTATAAGACAGTCAAACATGGTTCTTACCTACAAAACAGTCAAACATGGTTCTTACCTATAAGACAGTCAAACATGGTTCTTACCTACAAGACAGTCAAACATGGTTCTTACCTACAAGACAGTCAAACATGGTTCTTACCTACAAGACAGTCATTGTTCTTACCTACAAGACAGTCAAACATGGTTCTTACCTATAAGACAGTCAAACATGGTTCTTACCTACAAGACAGTCAAACATGGTTCTTACCTACAAGACAGTCAAACATGGTTCTTACCTATAAGACAGTCAAACATGGTTCTTACCTACAAGACAGTCAAACATGGTTCTTACCTACAAGACAGTCAAACATGGTTCTTACCTACAAGACAGTCAAACATGGTTCTTACCTACAAGACAGTCAAACATGGTTCTTACCTACAAAACAGTCAAACATGGTTCTTACCTACAAAACAGTCAAACATGGTTCTTACCTACAAGACAGTCAAACATGGTTCTTACCTACAAGACAGTCAAACATGGTTCTTACCTACAAGACAGTCAAACATGGTTCTTACCTACAAGACAGTCAAACATGGTTCTTACCTACAACACAGTCAAACATGTGTCTTACATACAAGACAGTCAAACATGGTTCTTACCTTCAAACATGGTTCTACAAAGACAGTCAAACTGATGGTTCTACAAGACAGTCAAACATGGTTCTTACCTACAAGACAGTCAAACATGGTTCTTACCTATAAGACAGTCAAACATGGTTCTTACCTACAAGACAGTCAAACATGGTTCTTACCTATAAGACAGTCAAACATGGTTCTTACCTACAAGACAGTCAAACATAGTTCTTACCTACAAAACAGTCAAACATGGTTCTTACCTACAAAACAGTCAAACATGGTTCTTACCTACAAGACAGTCAAACATGGTTCTTACCTATAAGACAGTTAAACATGGTTCTTACCTACAAGACAGTCAAACATGGTTCTTACCTACAAAACAGTCAAACATGGTTCTTACCTATAAGACAGTCAAACATGGTTCTTACCTATAAGACAGTCAAACATAGTCAAACAGAAGGTTCTTACCTATAAGACAGTCAAACTGATGATCCTTGAACACCTCGGTCATGTTAAGGGCTTTATTACAGCATGGACACTTGTGGTTACGGTCGACCCATTCCTTGATACAACCACTGCAGTAGCGATGGCCACAGCAGGTCATCACCGTCTCCTTCATCACATTCATACATATTGAGCAGCACAGGTAATCAGAGAGTGCAGATACCTAGGGTTGAATAATACAACCAATTGATAATACCATTACACAAGTGACTGCTGTACATTTTTTGAATGCAATGGTGTCACCATCCCTTCTTTGATCCAGTGAAATTCCATGATTTAAATTTCTTTAGAAAAAATATACAGTTTAATTTATGTGATGGTATTTTTATAGCTGTGAATATAATCTGTAGCTTCATTAAATTGTTATGTTAGTTATCAAAACAATAATTAAGATATTTTCTGGTGCATCAAGCTACAGACACATGAGAATATATCATATTTTTGTAAAAAATAGTTGTGTTTATGATACTAATTATGGAGACCAACATTTGGTAAAAACGTCATCCTGGTTGGCCTTTTCGGTGACATTTTCCATCATTTACTAAATTTGCACCTCATATAGGGATTCCCTTTGTACAGAATTTTGATCTAACATCCCAAAACGTGTGATAAAAAGGATGAAGCACGTCCCCTTCATCTGTTACATGTTAACATGTCCCAATGCGTATTTTCCAGGATTGGTGGCTTCTCGTGAGATGTAGTGGCGCTGTTTTGACCACATTTTCTTCGTAAGAAAACACGTTTAGTGATCGTGTAAAATTATTTATCATTTGATTTCCTACATGTTATTCGAATTACTTTGTTATTCTACCATTACAGTACTGTAAGATATTAGAACAATCGATGCATATATGTCATACAGGCTTAATATCATACAAACCGAAACCAGCAGAGGTAGATCGTCCTCCATGTTGTTTTGGTATAATCTGTCAGATGACGTCACTCGATATCCTCATTCATATCTATTTTTAGCACTGGGAGCCTCTATTTTTAAATGTGACGAATGAGGTAACCCAGATAATGTTATAGTTAATGATGCTGAGTTGATGATTAAAACGAGGTTAACAAATATTGGAATGCATCAAATGAAAAATATTAAAATATTAAAACTCACGAGATTGATATATTCACGAATGACTGACCGGTCATGTGAATTCACTGATTCAGATAAAAATCGAGATTTCATGGTTTACCTAGCATGTTCCCAAAGATAAAGGAACGTTTTTTCTTCTTTCGATCAGAATTGCACTTAAACATATCTTTTACATATACCTGGAAAATGTATTTAAAAAAATAATTTAAAAAAAAGATAATAAAAAAAAACTGCAGGGATTTGTCAAATTAAACTGGGTATATGCAATCTGTCGTTGGTATAATACATTTCGCGAACAAAATCCCCCGATTAAAAATAATGGCTTGAAATGTTGTAAACATACATACAATAACAGATGAAGGTACACACTTATTTGATACTTACCATCCATGATGTACATCTGTAGGATCTCGTTATATCTGTGTAATAAATATATCCAGTTCTTGGTCTTATTTCTCAGTTCTATTTTGTTATTGTTCACATTGTCAATGACACCAAAATCTACTGCTTCCGGTCCGTGTTCAATTGTTTACGGTATTTTTTTAAATGTCTTTTGAAAATATGTGGCTATCAAATGTAAATATCAGCATTGTTTCTTCACGTTATCATTTTCTTTCTTCTCCTTCTTCTTCTTCTTCTTCTATTATTTCGCTGTGTATCTTAGAAGGGTTGACCAAGGGCGTAGATACATTTAGATACCTGTTCCAGAGTCGGCTTACCAAGTATTCTAACTAAACGCAGAGACATAATATATAACACGTATACGTCTCTGCTAAACGGGACAACTTTTTTTCAATGGACAGCATAATATCTAATTACCTGTCAGATACTGGAAATCCTTATCACTGGATAGTTGTTTTCATCACGCCCGTGTTTTAGGGAAGACGAGATAGTAAGGAAGATTTGAACGGAAGTGTCACCATTCTGAAAATTTGATTCTGAAAGTCTTCATGGCAATAGGTCGGGTTGTCAGTGAATCTTTAGACCACACGCGTACGGTTGTCATATTGTAAGTCGTTCACTATCCTATATATATTCTGCTACCTCTCAACAATGCAAAAGTCGTCAATTTTCCAACGAGTCTTCGGTCGGAGAAATCGAGCAAATATAGTTATATGGCTGGTATATTAACCATTGATAAGACATTCTACCATGTCTCCAACACTATCAGGTAGGACTCATCGGCTGAATTAAGGTTTTCGTCAGTTAAATGGTTCTCGACAAAAGGCTAAGGTTATCAAGATGAGTATTGAAAAAGATTAATATTATGGTGGAACAATCTACTCCATGATAATTCCACTCACGTGGGAGTAACGTCTTACCGTCTGTACTATAGACACTGATGTAGGACTAACACATGAGTGCCGTCTTACCGTCTGTACTATAGACACTGATGTAGGACTTACGTCTTACCGTCTGTACTATAGACTCTGATGTAGGACTAACACGGGAGTAACGTCTTACCGTCTGTACTATAGACACTGATGTAGGACTAACACGGGAGTAACGTCTTACCGTCTGTACTATAGACACTGATGTAGGACTAACACGGGAGTAACGTCTTACCGTCTGTACTATAGACACTGATGTAGGACTAACACGGGAGTAACGTCTTACCGTCTGTACTATAGACACTGATGTAGGACTAACACGGGAGTAACGTCGTACCGTCTGTACTATAGACACTGATGTAGGACTAACACGGGAGTAACGTCTTACCGTCTGTACTATAGACACTGATGTAGGACTAACACAGGAGTTACATTTTACCGTCTGTACTATAGACACTGATGTAGGACTAACACGGGAGTAACGTCTTACCGTCTGTACTATAGACACTGATGTAGGACTAACACGGGAGTAACGTCTTACCGTCTGTACTATAGACACTGATGTAGGACTAACACGGGAGTAACGTCTTACCGTCTGTACTATAGATACTGATGTAGGACTAACACAGGAGTAACGTCTTACCGTCTGTACTATAGATACTGATGTAGGACTAACACAGGAGTAACGTCTTACCGTCTGTACTATAGATACTGATGTAGGACTAACACATGAGTAACGTCTTACCGTCTGTACTATAGATACTGATGACGGACTAACACAGGAGTAACGTCTTACCGTCTGTACTATAGATACTGATGTAGGACTAACACAGGAGTAACGTCTTACCGTCTGTACTATAGACACTGATGTAGGACTAACACAGGAGTAACGTCTTACCGTCTGTACTATAGATACTGATGTAGGACTAACACAGGAGTAACGTCTTACCGTCTGTACTATAGACACTGATGACGGACTAACACACGGGAGTAACGTAACTTACCGTCTGTACTATAGACACTGATGTAGGACTAACACAGGAGTAACGTCTTACCGTCTGTACTATAGACACTGATGTAGGACTAACACAGGAGTAACGTCTTACCGTCTGTACTATAGATACTGATGTAGGACTAACACAGGAGTAACGTCTTACCGTCTGTACTATAGACACTGATGTAGGACTAACACAGGAGTAACGTCTTACCGTCTGTACTATAGACACTGATGTAGGACTAACACAGGAGTAACGTCTTACCGTCTGTACTATAGACACTGATGTAGGACTAACACGGGAGTAACGTCTTACCGTCTGTACTATAGATACTGATGTAGGACTAACACAGGAGTAACGTCTTACCGTCTGTACTGATAGACTAACACAGGAGTAACGATGTACTATACTGATGTACGGACTAACACGGGAGTAACGTCTTACCGTCTGTACTATAGACACCGATGTAAGACTAACACGGGAGTAACGTCTTACCGTCTGTACTATAGACACTGATGTAGGACTAACACAGGAGTTACATTTTACCGTCTTTACTATAGACACTGATGTGACTAACACTATAGAACATTGAGTAACGTCTTACCGTCTGTACTAGAACTGATGTACAGACTAACACATGAGTAACGTCTTACCGTCTGTACTATAGATACTGATGTAGGACTAACACAGGAGTAACGTCTTACCGTCTGTACTATAGACACTGATGTAGGACTAACACATGAGTAACGTCTTACCGTCTGTACTATAGACACTGATGTAAGACTGACACGGGAGTAACGTCTTACCGTCTGTACTATAGACACTGATGTAGGACTAACACGGGAGTAACGTCTTACCGTCTGTACTATAGACACTGATGTAGGACTAACACGGGAGTAACGTCTTACCGTCTGTACTATAGACACTGATGTAGGACTAACACGGGAGTAACGTCTTACCGTCTGTACTATAGACACTGATGTAGGACTAACACGGGAGTAACGTCTTACCGTCTGTACTATAGACACTGATGTAAGACTAACACGGGAGTAACGTCTTACCGTCTGTACTATAGACACTGATGTAGGACTAACACGGGAGTAACATTTTACCGTCTGTACTATAGACACTGATGTAAGACTAACACGGGAGTGCCGTCTTACCGTCTGTACTATAGACACTGATGTAGGACTTACGTCTTACCGTCTGTACTATAGACTCTGATGTAGGACTAACACGGGAGTAACGTCGATTTAGGCATAACGGTAAGACGGTAATCCTTGACATTTCAATCTTAAATGCAATGTTGAAAGCACAAGAGTTTAACATTTTCGTCCGTGGTTAGGATTGAAGTTACATCTGATCACACTGGATTAGATACAAGTTGGCACACATGTGTGCGATGCGTCAAAATTGCATCGTGAGGTCGAGGTAACCCTGTGTTTTAGAGTATATTACTTCAGGTAGCAACTTTGATGATCTGTAGAAAACATGTGACATATTTTTATCCAATATAATTCTCCGTCATGATACTTGGTATTTTGATACAGCTAATGAGATTACCTATCCAAATTAATTGAAAAAGAACATTCATTTTTCCACTTTACCGTTGGCCATATTTAAATTGAATCAGGTGGGTAGCAAACCATACGTCTTTCCCAACGAGTTTTCGGTATGAGAAATGGACCGAATATAGGACAAGTTGTATGGTATCTATAGACGTGGATTCGACAGTGGCCCGTCAACCAGAATAGCCGACCCGCCACTAATGGGAACTCGTTATCATTTTTGTCTGTAGCACTGTTGATACATTGACAAGATTCTCCAACTAATAAGATACAAGAAGTGTGTGGAAAATCTGGATATTTAATATGAATATGGGGGGTGTGTGTGTTAAGCATTTCCCCTACATTCTAATGTTTGTTCCAGGCCAATAACGAACTCAAATTCTCCTTATCAAAATTGTATTTAAGCATTTAAGCCTTTTATGTCTAATACTTGAAGCATCACCAGGTTGACAGTTAATCATTTGATTTTGGGTTAGGACTTGTAGTCAATGTACATTTCACGCTGTTGGTACGGGTTTTTCAAAGTTAAACTTTTGTTTACTTATCACAATATATTTATTGATTTTCAACTGACACGAAATCTGCGTTCACGTATGGCTGAATATATTTTGATCATAATCAAAAAACGTATAAAAAGCCTGTTGAGCCTGAATCGCTCACCTGTGGTGCTAACTTGAAAGAACTTTCCCTAAGGATATACTACACAAATGTACAAGCATATTTAACCCCTGTGCCCTTGAAAGTGAATCTATGTTATGAATTTGAGAAAAAAAAAAAACAATAAAAAAAATTGTGACCTTGAAAATGAGCCAAGATGATTCATTTGAAACAAGCTGGTAGCCGTTCATCACAGCATGCGACAGAACCTGGATTTTTCAGCAATGGTGAAGTTGAATGGCAATTTTAGCATATTTGACCCTTGTAACCTTGAAAGTTGGTCAAGGTAATTCACTTGAACAAGTTTGGTCGCCCTTCACATAGCATACTTCAGACTTAATATCGGTACTTAGAGCCTTTCGGTTATGGAGAAGAAGTGATATGAAGGGAAAAATGAAGCGACAGACAGATGACGGACGCTGAAAATGAAGAATTAAGTGTTTTCTTGGCAGTATTCATAATTAATAGGGACATTTTAGAAATAATGTTTTACGGTCAAAATTGACAGGTTCGAGTTTTTCTGCTGGTATTCATACTAATATCCCCGAAGCCTGTGGACCCAACAATAACGATGACGAAAGTTTAGAGTTTTCATAGTAAATTTCGACATACCGTACATTTAAATGTTTGCAAACCAGTTTTCGCTTTAAAATTACAGGTAAGATGTGTTCCTTTCTTTAGGGGTGTCTATCTTAAGTTACACCGGGCTGTCGCGGTCACGGTTGATGTGTTAATAAGGACAAATGTTATGTTATTGAGCAGCCACATGTGTTACCCTCCAGTCTATCCTCCATTTACGGTACATCATACTGACTCAACAGAACACGCCACATGTCACCAAATCAATACAAAAAAGACACACTCGGCTATCGGTACACGTTACCAACCATTTCAAGATGAAGACTCTGAATTTCTTTGGGGCGTGTTTTCTTGGCTGTTTGTTTTTCATGACTTTCGTTCGGTGTGAAGATACAGTTGAAATACCCGAATCTAACACACAGACAGAACCCGTGCTGGATTCTACACCAAAGGGAGAGAATCAGCCCCTGGTACCAGACATTGCAGCGAAGCAGGACTGTCGTTTGAACTCTCTTCAGCTCCAGACTGACTTTAACCTGGCACGATTTGAAGGATACTGGTATACTATATCCACTAACCGGTACTGGCTGGCTATCCCTAGCTGGCTTCGTGTCCGTCAAGCAAATGTCCAGGTCAACTACCGATTGCTGTCCGACGGAAGTCTGGAACTCAAAACAGGTTTGTAGACCCGTATAGTTCGTAAGTCTATTTCATGTTACATAACTTCAACTTATTTTGCTGCCGCACACATTCAGAAATGTTGTCACAATTTAAGATATATATCGCACAAAACACAAATAAAATTTTGGAAAGAATATTTGGAAAGTATTTTGAATAGACAGTCGAAATATGCGAGTTATCGCTCTTTGACTACGTGATTTTTATGAAAAGCCTTCTATCGTGTTGTAACCTAAACGAAACCATACATAATATTGCCTATGCTGGAATAATCTTCTCCTGGTTGTAGGTGGCGAGTTCGTGTTTCCGTTCTGTGACTACATGAAAGGGAAAGGTTCTATCCCTGACAAAACTCATCCCGAGAAGCTTGAGGTCCAGTTTGACACACTGATGACGAGGGCTTCGAGGAAGAACCCTTACTGGATAGCGAGCACAGACTACGACGGGTTTGCCGTCATTTATTCGTGTTGGAAAGAGCGGGAAGATGGCACGTGTCACCCTGACTACACATACATGTGGACACTGAACCGGAAACGAGGTGGACACACTCCGGAACAAGAGGAGGAAATCAAACTTACAGCGGAACGCATGTGTGTTCCTATTGATAATTTTCAAACATTTAATCAGGACGGAAGTTGTAAATTTGATCCTGAAAAATTTCCCTCGGGAGGGTTGGGATTAATTCCATTTCTAGTCATAGTAGCGATTTTGTTTACATTCCTTGGAGTTTTGTTGTGCTGTTGTAGTTCTAAAACTGATCCTGTAACTGAGGCCAAGAAAAAACAATAAGTCATAAAAGTAACATCTTCTCCTCTCCATAAGCAGTGTACGAGTAAAATATGTTGACCTCACTAAGTATTGCGTGTTCGAGGGGTGGTGGAACGCGCGGGTCTACAGACACTGGTGTTATGATCTTCAAAAGTGTGGTACTTTCTGTAGGGAGGGGGGTTCTGCCTGTAAGATACATTTCTAGGTTTTGAGCGTAAACCGGTGACACTGCTTTAGAAAGAGAGAGGATATATATTTTTTAAGGTATTAGATAGACAGGTGGGAGAGTACCAGAAGTTACCTGGAAATCCATTTTAAGATAACAAAAAAATATTTCAATAAACTTGTTTCCATATAATTGTTGAGCGTAAGTTTATCCTCCGACAATGAGTTTCGCGCCAGCTTTTTTAAATACATGTACATGCATGCTTAACAGATCCGCTATAAAAACTATTGTTCGCATTGCTTCTGTGCTTTCAGATATATACTGCATTACAACACTTGTGTAGTACGTGTTTATGATCTCTGATTAGAATAAGTCAATGGATGTGTATGATACTGTATGTTAAGGTATTGCATTAATACATGGCCGCGGAAGCTACGACGTGGTTCAAAGGTCGTCTTCCAGCTGTTGTCAATATTTTGATGTCGTTGCACGTGTGACGAAACGGTAACAACGTTGATATAGGGAAACGTCTTGTTACTATAAAAAACTATTTTTCTTATTTCATTTTGATCATTTTGCATTAGATTGTAAAATTATGACAAAATAAAGGTGTTTTTTTTGTCTAGAAATCATTATTTTTATGTATGTACAACTTGCTGGCAAGGTACATAGCTCTGATTTTACAGGTTAGAGACGATACGTGCGTACGACTACAATTGCCGATACAAGTACGATTAAACGTTACACGTGTACACTGCTACTGGAAGACAATATGAGATGATACACGTATACACTGAAATAAGTGTTTACTGAAACATTAGGACGAGACGATGTAACTGTAGACTGCTTATCAAAGATAACAGGACGAAGCGATACACGTGTATACTGTTAATGAAAGGCCGTATAATAAGGCGATATACGTGTATACTGTAAAAATGAAAGGCCGTGTAATAAGGCGATACACGTGTATACTGTTAATGAAAGGCCGTGTAATAAGGCGATACACGTGTATAATGTGAATGAAAGGCCGTGTAATAAGGCGATACACGTGTATACTCTTAATGAAAGGCCGTGTAATAAGGCGATACACGTGTATCCTGTTAATGAAAGGCTGTGTAATAAGGCGATACACGTGTATACTCATAATGAAAGACCGTGTAATAAGGCGATACACGTGTATACTGTTAATGAAAGGCAGTGTAATAAGGCGGTACACGTGTATCCTGTTAATGAAAGGCCGTGTAATAAGGCGATACACGTGTATACTGTTAATGAAAGGCAGTGTAATAAGGCGATACACGTGTATACTGTTAATGAAAGGCCGTGTAATAAGGCGATACATGTGTATACTGTTAATGAAAGGCAGTGTAATAAGGCGATACACGTGTATACTCTTAATGAAAGGCAGTGTAATAAGGCGATACACGTGTATACTGTTAATGAAAGGCAGTGTAATAAGGCGATACACGTGTATACTAGTAATGAAAGGCAGTATAATCAGGCGATACACGTATAAATTGTTAATGGAAGCTAACACGACGAGACAATACACAACGTGTATACCGCTCAAAGAAGATAATACAACGACATGATACAAATCCTGTACACTGCTCATAGAAGATGAGACGATACACGTGTACAACGACATGATACGCATAATGTACAATGACAATGAAAGACAATATGACGAGACGATATATCCATTTGTATGAAGTGCACTTCTAATCGAAGATACTGCAAGGAGACGATACACGCCATGTTCACTGCTAATGAAAGATAACACGAGACGGAACACATCGTGTACACTGATAATGAAAGATAAGACTAAGAGACGATATACACCGTGTACACTGGTAATGGGAGATAAGACTTAGAGACGATATACACCGTGTACACTGGTAATGGAAGATAAGATAAGACTAGGAGACGATATACACCGTGTACACTGGTAATGGAAGATAAGATAAGACTAAGAGACGTTATACACCGTGTACACTGGTAATGGAAGATAAGATAAGCCTAGGAGACTTTATACACCGTGTACACTGGTAATGGAAGATAGGACTAAGAGACGATATACACCGTGTACACTGGTAATGGGAGATAAGATAAGAGACGATATACACCGTGTACACTGGTAATGGCAGATAAGACTAAGAGACGATATACACCGTGTACACTGGTAATGGGAGATAAGACTAAGAGACGATATACACCGTGTACACTGGTAATGGGAGATAAGACTAAGAGACGATATACACCGTGTACACTGGTAATGGAAGATAAGACTAAGAGACGATATACACCGTGTACACTGGTAATGGAAGATAAGACTAGGAGACGATATACACCGTGTACACTGGTAATGGAAGATAAGACTAGGAGACGATATACACCGTGTACACTGGTAATGGAAGATAAGACTAGGAGACGATATACACCGTGTACACTGGTAATGGGAGATAAGACTAAGAGACGATATACACCGTGTACACTGGTAATGGGAGATAAGACTAAGAGACGATATACACCGTGTACACTGGTAATGGAAGATAAGACTAAGAGACGATATACACCGTGTACACTGGTAATGGAAGATAAGACTAGGAGACGATATACACCGTGTACACTGGTAATGGAAGATAAGACTAAGAGACGATATACACCGTGTACACTGGTAATGGAAGATAAGATAAGACTAGGAGACGATATACACCGTGTACACTGGTAATGGAAGATAAGACTAGGAGACGATATACACCGTGTACACTGGTAATGGGAGATAAGATAAGACTAGGAGACGTTATACACCGTGTACACTGGTAATGGAAGATAAGACTAAGAGACGATATACACCGTGTACACTGGTAATGGAAGATAAGACTAAGAGACGATATACACCGTGTACACTGGTAATGGGAGATAAGACTAAGAGACGATATACACCGTGTACACTGGTAATGGGAGATAAGACTAAGAGACGATATACACCGTGTACACTGGCAATGGAAGATAAGATAAGACTAGGAGACGATATACACCGTGTACACTGGTAATGGAAGATAAGACTAAGAGACGATATACACCGTGTACACTGGTAATGAGATAAGACTAGGAGACGATATACACCGTGTACACTGGTAATGGGAGATAAGACTAAGAGACGATATACACCGTGTACACTGGTAATGGGAGATAAGACTAAGAGACGATATACACCGTGTACACTGGTAATGGAAGATAAGACTAGGAGACGATATACACCGTGTACACTGGTAATGGGAGATAAGACTAAGAGACGATATACACCGTGTACACTGGTAATGGGAGATAAGACTAAGAGACGATATACACCGTGTACACTGGTAATGGAAGATAAGACTAGGAGACGATATACACCGTGTACACTGGTAATGGAAGATAAGACTAGGAGACGATATACACCGTGTACACTGGTAATGAAGATAAATGTACACTGGTAATGGAGAGATATACACCGTGTACACTGGTAATGGAAGATAAGACTAGGAGACGATATACACCGTGTACACTGGTAATGGAAGATAAGACTAGGAGACGATATACACCGTGTACACTGGTAATGGGAGATAAGACTAGGAGACGATATACACCGTGTACACTGGTAATGGGAGATAAGACTAAGAGACGATATACACCGTGTACACTGGTAATGGAAGATAAGATAAGACTAGGAGACGATATACACCGTGTACACTGGTAATGGAAGATAAGATAAGACTAGGAGACGTTATACACCGTGTACACTGGTAATGGAAGATAAGACTAGGAGACGTTATACACCGTGTACACTGGTAATGGGAGATAAGACTTAGAGACGATATACACCGTGTACACTGGTAATGGAAGATAAGACTAAGAGACGATATACACCGTGTTCACTGGTAATGGAAGATAAGACTAAGAGACGATATACACCGTTTACACCGCTAAAGGAAGATAAAACAACGACAAAAAACACATAGTGTTTATATATAAAATATTCAAGATGATATGTCGAAACGATACACGTCACGAGCTAACTTTGGTCCGACTAAGTCCTTTATCACAGGTACTAATTTCTGAGCCATGGTCCATATTTATGTATTATAATGTCGAAATTTGGGCCAAGTCCCCGTGTCATCTAGTGACATCTAGAGTGAGAAAGACGAAATAAATTGATGTCAGAACTTTAGTCTCATAAATTCTCTAACTACCCGAAACGGCATAACTCAACAAATTGTAATGTAGGAAAATTAACATCACTCCTCATCCCTTCCTCAGTCTGTCGATCAAAAGTGTGCGAGGTGGAAACTACAGTTCGAGATCAGTCTAATACTATAAGAAAATTGGTGGCAACTGAAAATACTCGTATTTCATGAGGTGTTTCCTAACCAATAATGTTCCAGAAGGATTCATTTTCAGGTTCAAAGGTCAAAACTTAAGATCGATATTTCTATGAATCGAAAATCGGTTTCTGCGCAATACTTCGAGTTCTGGGTTATTGATGTCAACGAATATTTCTATGCATTTAAAAAATCATAATTTATTATCTTTGCTACTTCATGAAGACTTTCTTTTCTAATCTTTCCAATATAAAAGAATAAAGTGTTGCGTCCTTCAAGAGGTCCCTACGTCAACACCGACTGAAAAGCTGTATTACTTTATTAAGTAAGGTACCCTTGAAAGGGACATTCCAATTTTGATTTCAAATAAAAATGATATGATTTTAAAATAAATCTGCTTATTTCTCAAAATATACCAACTGAACAAGATAATTCGATTTCTAGGGGACGAAGCTATTTGACCAAGGCTTAAAGTGATCAGAAATAAGCTGCTGTCGTTTACATTTGTACTTAAGCGGTTCCATCAAAGACAGAAATCTCTCATGAGGACCGTAACATTAAATTATGTATGTCAATACAATAAATGTACTAAATGACCATTGTTTGATTGAGTGGTCAGTCATAATTAATTGTAAGTCGTAGGAAGTTACTGTCCCATTAGTGTCACCTGTCCGCCGCAGTCTGGACTGTCCACTTAACGGTCAGCTGTGAGTAATAGGTCAACTGGACCCATCACATTAAGTACATGTTGCTTCTTCTGTTACACAGTAATGACGGATGATTTTTATTAATAGTCAAACATAATAGTAACTATCTAAATGAACGAAACTATTATAGGCAAGTTTAATTATTATGTAAAAAATATACAATAAAAATTAAAATGATAATTAAAAAAAAGTCCCCCTTAATAAATATATACAAACATGTAAACAAACGAAAAAAAACCCAAAAAACAAAAAACAAAAAACAAAAATAGCAAAAACAAAATCAAACAAACAAAAACAAATCGGGTGGGAAAAGAAATAAACAATTTAATTAGAATTACAACATGGTATTTTATTAGTTTTTGAATGTGTTGGATATCTTTCAATATGTTAAGTATATCGAAATACGAAAATCATCAAATAAACAGTTACTAGGAATGAACTATCATAACATTATCCAGGAAATGAAATAAGACACCACAAGGGTCATCATGTGTCCTTGATCTTCTCCATAATGATATCAAAATCAGAACGATAAGATAGATAGATGCTGTGTCATTGAAAATGAAACATTTAAGCTCCCAAAATGAAGAGGTATTGAAAACAAGGGTAATTTGCAATCTGCGGGAAGTGCAAATTGACCTGCTTTCCAAGACCCTCTGATTGACCATTTGGACTTTACAGCTTTGACCATCAACGAAGACGTCTAGTCTACGTTATGACGTGATGAATTGTTTACACGTAAACAAAGCCATTATCATATGTTTTCCCATCATAATGTCCTCACGTCAAACGGGAATTGCGCATGTCAGAGGCGTTATAACTAGTCTGTGTGTGGTTCCCTAGTCACCAGTTAGAGGTCAGTCGGGAACGGGTCAACTACCGAGAGGAACTGATTTTAGAATGCTGTTTTTTGTGGCCATCGTACTTGCAGTATGCGGCCTGGGCTATGGTCAGCCGTCATGCAAGACGTTCGACTTTCAGATGCAGTCTGATTTCAATATGACGGCGTTCGAAGGTTATTGGTATGTGATTTCGTCGAAAAGACCTGGTTCCGTGTTCTGGAACGCCATCGCTGGAGAAACAATGAACATGCAGCTCCACTTCACCATGTTGCCGTTCGGCAGACTCGAGGTCATGGCCAGTAAGTACTCGAAAAAAACATATTCACGAGACAAAGTCAAATCTATTTTAAAAATCCTTAAAGACAGCTATCAATAAGTTAACATTATATGTACATTTTTCAAGCTACATACTTCGTAATACTAACTTTAACAAAGAAATTTTTATGTAAACGGAGTACATATTGGGTATGGCTTCGTTCACCCTTAAATAATTTTGATTTTGTCAGAACGTTAGGATTTCTAAGATATAAATGATTTCTGTAAATCGGCCCTCGTTCCGATCACGGAAAAGTCCCCTCATTTGCAGAAAAAAAAATCATATTTTCGTGGAGCTGTATTTTCACGGATTTGTAAAAAAAAACTTGTGTGGACATTTGATGTGGTGGGTTTAGAGAGCTCAATAACAATGTGCTGACATGAACTTGTGGGGAAAGAACATCCACGAAAATTAATGAAAATACAGAACCTCCACGGGAATTAATGATTTTACTGTACTTGTTATGTATCTTAAGACGAAATAGAATTTTAGCGATTCGTGTGTAGGGTTGCGCAGTGGTACACACTTGTCCTTCACCTAAACATATGGTGCCACGTGGGTTTCCCTTAGGCATTTCGGTTTTCTCTCATAGTCTCTACGTGCGCTTCCATCAGGGCCAACAACAGTGATTAATTCAAGTTGATTTCGCAAGTGTTGTTTATATCTGTATTTATAACAAACAATCAAATAAAGTAAATTTACTCAAACTAATCGCTACATCAAGGCCAAAATATCCCGAAACTGGATAAGTTCGTCGAGCGAAGGAAATGACATTTTACTTGTTCTTTTGGCCCCCGTCCTCCCCAAAACATATACTACCCCACCTCTTCACACACTCTCAAATCTGAACATGCCAAAACAAGATAATTTTGCTTTATAACGGACTTAGCTCAACTCTCAACACCACAAAATACCTAATTATTTTTGTTTCCGTTTACAGGTCGCAGTTCTGCTCCCTATGGCTGTTTCTACAGTATCCATTCGGCAGTGCCTGTACCAGATTCCAATCTGACCAAATTTGACTATCTACACACGCAGTACAAACTGCCCGGGGATTCCATGTGGGTGGTGAGCACGGACTACGACGGATTCGCAGTCACCTATGGTTGCGACGAGGTCCTTCCCGAGTCCGGATATTGTGATCCGAGTGGGGAGGCAGTTTATTCTTTAAGTAGAAAACCGACTGAGCATACTCCAGAGCAGCTCATCAAAATTGAAAACGCCCTAAATTCTGTGTGTGTTTCAGCAAGAACACTTAAACCAATGAAACAACTGGGGGAATGTACATTTGACCCGGAACACTTCCCCCCTCCTCCATCTACAACACCTACACCACCACCACAAGACGCCAACGGAGGTCATGCAAATGTTTGGGCAAATTTGGTAAGAAACATGTTAGCACCAAACAACGGGACCCGACGACATGGAAACTTCATGCCCAACATGGGAATGGGGTTTCCCTTCAACACGACCACATTCAACGCTCCTCCAGTGAACAATGACTTGGCTAGCCACATGAGACAATGGATGAATCTGTTTGGAAAATAAAGGAGAAACAAAGAAAATCCCACACGGTGTACATAGACTATTAAATACAAAATCAATACAAATGTTAATTTTTTATATATAAATATTGTGTTGTGTTAGTATTTTCGTACCAGTCATCTGATTTAACATGGACCTGTCCTTGTTCCGGTTTTTTCGTAATATTCCAAACATATACCTCCAAATATTAATACATGCCTTAAAAAACTTACCTGAGACTCGCCATAATGCAAAATAAGGTTATTAGGTCCGTCTTTAAAAAAAGAGATGCTGAAAAGACAAACAAGAACAACCAATTTCGTTCTTTTTTCTCTCAATGTTCAATCGATATTTCGGAGTGTAATTATTCTATCTTGATTCCCTTGCTATTTACTAGAAGAAAACCAGACACAGCAGGTGTTCAGATCAATCCATAAACAAGGGGCACTGGACACTGATGTACATCGTGCATTATAGCAGTTTTATGCGTGTCAGCCTCGGGCGAAAACCAGACGTGTTTGTTACTTATATCAACAACTGTACACGACGTGACAACAAAGTACCAGGATGACGTATTGCTTATCATAACCTAAGTAGATGACGTAGTTAATTTGTCGGGGGCAAAGTATTTTACAGCTCTTCGGTATTTTTTTTCGATATATTGTCAGTTCTATATAAGACACGATATAGCGAAAGTCGTGTTAAATACTTTTAAACCGTTCGGAGAAGAGATACCGCTTTACCCAGTCTAGTCCCATTCCGCCAATCAGTCCTTTAATCTATCGATTTTTTAATTGATCTGTTTCGTCGTAAGATATGATATAGATTTTTTCCAGAATTGTGTCCTTTTTCAACTTAAAATCTATTTTTTTTCTTTGAGTTGTGCCCCTTGTTAACTTTATCTCGGTTTATGTGTACATACAATGCAATTAAGAAATAGTCACATTGTAACATACTGTATATACATGTAAATACTGTTTCGGCTACCAGTTGAGGATGCTTAAATATCATTACACAAAATGAAATTTTAAACGAATTTGAGGAAGAAAGTATGAGAAATTCTGTCGCACAAATTAGTTAACTAGTCGCTAATATCACAGTGACCATCAACTCTAAAACACTGCCGACGTGATAGTTCATCCCGGGTTTCCCGCTTAATTTTTTTTCTCAAGGTTCTGATACTATAATAACTTCAAACACATACTTTTCTTAAGTGAAGAGGAGAAATCACAATGTTTATCTGAAGACAAATTATAGAGTAAATATTATCACAGGGAGAAGTATCTCTACTTGAGATCTGTCACCACTTTCTTTTGTAACTTCATGAGTTGGGTGACTGACGACCTCTCTACCCTCTCTATATATACCTTTACCGACCATAACGACGGAAATTTTCCAGCTGACGTTCGAGAATACCCCATTTAGTGGTTAATTATAATGATATTAATTGCTATTTTTGAAATATATTCATTCAAAGTTGTCATTTTCATTAAAAAATTAATTAATCCAGGGACGTTTGATAGAAACTTGATTAATCTCACATTGAAAAAGGATTAATTTCAATATTTACAAAACACCTTTATTTCACAGAATATAACGATTATTTGTGTATTTGTCGAAAGGGGGAATGAGAAATTACGAGTTATCTCCCGTTGTCCAGTGCGTATAGAGTGTCACACCATCGTTGGCGGGTGACGCGTTGTTTCAATTTAAACAAAAAGGTAAGTTTATGAATGACCGTGCTATTTTTGCTTTGTCGACCTTAAGAAAACTCGTTGTTTCACAATTTTTTTTCTACTTTTTAAAACAAGCGCATTAAAGCTGGCTTGTTGTTGTTTTGATGAATAATAACAGCAGAATATACTCACAAGAGACCATGTTGTTAAAATGATATATACCATAGAGAAACTGCTTTAGAATAAGAACATTTTGATTTTTTTTAGATAAAGTATTATATCAGTTGTGTTTTATTACCGTTCAACTTATAACTAAAATATATGATATTATTTCGGGGTGGAGGAGGTGGAGGTGAAACGATGTTGATCCCTTGTGTAATATATAATTTCTGTTTAAAGGTGTATTTGGGTCAGGATTTCGTACGGTGTTTTAGGTCTAAAAACACAGAAGGATCTACAAAACAAACATGCGATATTTGATTTGTGGAAGATCTACATAGATCTCGCTTTATTTAACGTTAGCTCCAGCACGCTTTATCTAAAACAAGGTTGGTTTTTTCAGCCGACCAGATATTTATATGTATTTTAAAGTCGATAAAGAAATGGAGTTCTTATTCCAACAAAATTATAAGTTAACAGTGTACAGACCTGTGTATTTACCCAATACTTCGCGTAAAACCTGTGATCCAGTTAGTGACCGAGTTCCGGATTTTGAGTTTTACACTGTCATAAGGAAAAGTTCGAAAAGTTGCAAAACAGTCAGAATTTACCAACTTGTGCTGAATATCCTTTTCAATCAAATGGAAATCAATATTCCAAGGGTATAGGGACGAAAAGCTTTAGTGAGCATATTACAATACCGTGAATCAACCGAGTTATTGATACAGTATACTGTAGCCAAATACTTTCGAAACAAAAGTTATATATAGAATATATATATCAGTAATGAAGAAAGCTGTATTTTACAGGAAATACATATGTCAACAGGAAGGGCTGACAACTTAATTTCATCAAAATAAACTGCATTTTCGCTACGATAATGTGGAAAATCGCACAACACGTTTTGGCAATTAAAAAAATTATTGGAGACCGTTATGATGACAAAGTCTTTTTATAAAATTGTGTCCAAAAATTAAAAGTTGTTTAAAGTACTTCCGTCTCCCAATATGTCGAGACAAAATGATAATGAAACCCAAGATGGTACTAGTCTAGAAAATAGACACACGCAAATATTCTTTAAACTTCCGGATGCGCAACAAGTATTAAGACTTGTTCCAGTCTATGACCGGAGGCTAAAGGCGAGATTGCTGACATTAACCAAATGTCTGTTAGATCCGAGATTCGAGATTCTCAATTGACACTTGGCGTCGACAGCTTCTACATGTCTGAACGTCCTTAAGTCACTGTTAATGATTGACGCAGGACGTATTACCACCAATTACTGTGGACATACGGTACAACGATTTGATCACTAAGGCCGACCTTGGTGTGATTAGGCCCTGCAGCACCATTTTTTAAACATTTCAGTTCGTGCAGCATCGATTTCTGTTGGTTAATTTGTACAGAGTACGGTCTTCATATAACTCCTTGTGTTGAATATTTTCCGGCCCTAATAGCATATGTCCTGATTATGTGGCGAAAAGGACATTTGCACTGTAGCTGTATCTACAGTTGCCTAATCATATTATGAAGAATGCATAGTCAGCTTTGTTTTGTGGTTTTGACTCCAACGACAAACGTATTTAGATCGACCTGGGAATATATATAAACAAAAAAAAAAAAAAAACGTAAACATTTATTCTCATTGACGTTCTAATTCACACAAGAGACCTAAAAGTTTGGATAAGCAGCATCAAGAAGAGACACCACTGCTGGACTCGAAAACAAACGGGACGACCGGACTGGACATTAACAGTACACTGATATACTGGTCTATATACATGGTTTCCTACCTTCATGCTTTATGGCACGTATCCAGATCCGTCTTTCATTTTCCGAATACGGGTCTTTATCAATTTCACTAATATAGCTGTCTCCTTGACAATAACGTACTCAATACGTCGTATCATATTTAGTATTTGCGCCATTTACATACGTCGATCATATTCTACAAGGAATCATTATACATGTGTACATTGAACTGCTAAGTCCAGGTGTAACCTGCTGACTAACATCATTTTAGTAGACTTATGGTTCTATGTATTTTTGAGTTTTTTTAATATGTGGAATTGGACTTAATTAATGTAGATATACATGTATGTAATTTACAATAACGATGAGCATATATGTATCTTAACACAAAGTCTAAATTCACGCAAACGTGGTATAAACCGATCACGACGCTACGTGGTTTACACGAATCACGGTACCACGTTGTATAGACCAAACACAGCGCCATGTGATATTAACCGATAACGCCGCTGCGTGATGTACATTTATGACGGTGCCGTGTGATATAAACCAATCACAACGCCACGTGGTAGGCTACAAACGCGCCACTGTTGTACAACAATGATGGCGGTGTGGTATACATCAATAACGTTGCTACGTGCACCACGTTGTATGCTACACTTAAATTCGGTATTATGCTATATATATGACGCACCAAACACGGCGTCACGTGGTATACACTACAACACGGCACTACTTGGTAAACTCAAAAACCGGCACCACGTGCTATACATAATCATCAAATACGTCACCACGAGGTATTCGGAAACTGACAAAGCATCTGGTGTTATAAAACAGTGCCAGCTTGTAGCAGTATTACGATGTATAAACCATTCGACTACTAAAAATACCTAATAAAATCATCTCTTCGAACATACCTCGAAATTCTTGTTTCCGTTTCATGGTAATACCTAGAGTGGTTCCGCATGCTTCCGTGACTCAGTCAAGCCTGACTATCGATTCGAAGGTGGCCAACACCAGAAGGCCATTTGTTATAAAGCGAACGATATTGGAATACGCGTCCGAGCACCAACACAACAAATAACAACATATTTTCTACTTGGTTTTATTTAATGGATATCGAAGACTCCAGAATGAACGTGATCCTCAATAACAGTTATTCAATCGCGGCGAATGTCAAATACACAACTGTTCACAAGTGTTATCAATGCCACAGAAAGCTGATAATGGCACATAATTGTCTTAAAATATTCCTGTCAGACCGACTCAACATTCAATCAATTTAAAGGAAAACATCAAGTGTATGTGTACCATTAGATGTACTTCCGGTTGCGTCGGGCGCAAAGCCATCCACATATTCACATTGGTTTATATATAGATTTGTGAAAAAATCTATATCAGAAATTGCACAAATTTTACATCACATTTTCTTTGAAAAGAATTGTGTCATCCCTTCCTTTAAGGATACAGGAAAATTAACACCAATATTATGAGTGAACTTCATGACTAGGCCATGTTTATGGTATATCGACGGCGTTGTTCGTAATGTGATCCCTTTGAAGTCGTTTACGCCGATGCTTTCTTGAATTAAGAACCACCAGCTGGTCCGAAAATATCATGTTTCCATACATTACAGTAGCCTGAGTGTTATCATTAAGTATATCTGAAGGGGTTTCCGAAAGACAACTGTCGGAACTTCTCGCCGAACTGTTCATGTGTGCTAAAGTGTATGACGTCCACGTGTTAATGTCGCGGTCGTATCGGACCTCAATATCATCTGAAAAACTGGTGGTGTCACTTTTATCCAGACTTCCCAAATCCATATTATACTCGGATGATTCCGTGAGGTCGGTGCAGTCGGATGACGCCGACATGTTTTCCAGCTCGTTCTCCATCAGGCGTTCGTACATTCCGTCGTAGTCTTCCGTACTATATGAACCATGCTCGCTCGAGCTGTCAACATTGACAATTTTAGAGTTTAATAAATCGTACGGTATGCCTCCCCCTATTGCACCGCTACTGCTGGCCGCCGCCCCGAAATCAAGTAACGTAGCTATTCCATTGTCCGGCGTGCTGTCAACCGATATCTCAGGTTTGCACAAAGCGTCTTCTCCCGAAGATTTTGAATCAGGGGTAATATCTATTTCTGGTTTGTGATGTGTTGTTTCTTCCTCAACAACATCATGCTTAATTTGCGCGAAACACTTAGCCACGGGTACAGGTATACATGTCTGGACAGATATCCCACTGTTGTCGGTCATATCCGTATTCACCGACAAGGAACGCTTTGGAGCCTGGTGGGGGACACTACAGATAGGATCGTGCTGTAGCAGATCCTGTAAAGGCGCGCCTGCGTAATCACCCATATCCGTGCCTAAGGAGAAAGAACGCTTTGGTGTCCGTTCGGCGTTACTGGAAATATTTAAAGGGTCAGAAAACACTAATGACCTTCCCCATCTCGATCGGTGCTCACCTGGGCTGATTTGTAAGTAAGAGAGGTCAAGGTCAGGAGATGCGTCGCACGCTCTCGTGTCCTCTACACGGAGAAGGTCACGTTTAACGTCATCACCGATTACACTTGTTTTCTTTGGAATATTGCACGGTGAACGTGCAGTCTTTGTTGACAGAGATTTTTCCTCACGTCGCCACTTGGTGCCGTACGTTTTGTCAATTTTTGCAGTAACAGAGTCTATCTGTTCAACTAATGTCTTTAGATCGCTGACCACTTGTTGAAGGTTACCTTGAAGATTTTCTAAATTGAGTACCATTTTTTTCACCATATCTTTTACCTGTTTGTCACGTGATTGTACGTGAATATTCTGCTGGGTCTGCGCATGTCCGAACATCATTCACACAAAGATTTGTTGTGACCCCACTGTTTCCTGCAATGTCTATTGGACTGCAACACACCATGTCTGTTGTGATCACTCCACGGACAAAACGTAGAACAGTGATCTGAAACATTCAAATAAAACAATGCCATCAGCTCTTTTGTAATAATTTTGTTTCTGGACTTCTCTCAGTTTTTTTATGTAATGAAAAGAACGAGAAATATCTTTCCAAAATGCGTCTCTGAAATAAATGAAACAATCAGGCTAGTCGTTAAATATGAGTAGTCCGTACTTAATATATATTTGATCAAAATACAATCTTAAAAAGAGACATTAAATTCCATCCATGTCCATAAATTCAGAAAACTGAGGAAATTTTCTGAGAATGGATTAAGAAGGTCGGTGAAGAACTGTTTGTGCTATGTTTTATACTCTGGTACAAAGTAGACTGGATCGACCAAAAATAACCGTCTGACGTCATCAAACCAGACGCCGTCGCGTCTCGGTCAGGAACATCCGAGAACATTATGGCTTGCACGTACAACATAATTCGAGCGTTGGTTCCTAAATGGAATCTGCATTTGTATAAATTAATTTTTACGCCAAGAGAACATCAAATTATAACAAGAAGCTTTGTTTCTATAGTAACATATCACGTGTTTTTTCCTCATCCGATAAAACCCCGAAGGAAAGAGATAACAACGAGCTCTCTGTTTACTGTGGTAAAATAATGCCAGTCACATTCAATATGATATTCTCGTTTCATACGTATGGATAGCCATTTGAATGTCATTATAACGTTTCATTTCCATTGTTTGCTTTGATAATAAAGCTCTTGTTATCAATGATTAGTATGTATAACGCTGCTTCAGGGTTTGTTATACATCAATAATAGGTGTTTCTGATTGTTTGAAACAAATTAAGATGTGTCAATCTTTTTAAAATCTCATCTGTATTTGAAACAAGAGGCCCATGGGCCTTGACGGTCATTTGTCTACAAAAATTCTAAAATAAATTCTTCAAAAAATTCTACTTTAAATGAAATCTTACTAAGAAGCTGCTTTCCATGATGTATATGGTAGTTTTGGTGAGGAGTTGAAAGTAAAGTTGGATCTCAATCCAATTGGTGAAACTTGAGAAGAAGTTTGAAATAGGTGTGGCACAGGGAAACCAAGATTGCACAATCACGTAACAAAATGGCCTCCCATGGCTCCCCATAACGAAGCTTTTGCAAGGTAAAAAACCATTTTGTTGGCTACCTTTCCTTATCATTCCTACTAATTTTTAGCTCAATGGCACCAGTGAATCTTGAGAAGAAGCTTAAAATATGTTTGAAAAATAACAACACTTGGTCAAGACCATCTCAGGATCATTTCATGCAAGCTGGAGTTCAATCCCACTCGTGAAACGTGCGAAGAAGTTTGAAATAGTCGTTGCACAAGAAAACCATGAATGCGCAATCATTTTTCAAAATGGCCTCCCCTGGCTGCCGTAACAAATCTTTGTTATATACATTTCATCAACATTCCCACCATCTTTTAGCTCAATGGCACCAGTGGAACTGGAGGAGAAGTTTGAAATATGTTTTTCAAAATGGCGGCCATCTTGGATTTCAGACATACCTGAAAAATAACAACACTTGGTCAGCACCATCTCAGGAGCTTGAGAAGAAGTTTGAAACGTTAAAAGTTTACGCACGGCGGACGACGATGGACGAAGCACGATGCCCTTCGGGTCAGATGACCTAATAAAAAAGAAAGATATCGAATACATATTACACAGTTCTCAACTTTTTACCGCACAAATGTTTTGTAACACAATTACATAATGTCAATAATAACTATAAAAAACACACATTATATTTTGAAAAAAACCACGATAATTCAACGTTTTACTGACAATAATGAAACCTCAAATTGTTTGAAATCAACTTCATTGTGGTCAAAAATCTGTAAATTTTTAATCTCGCCTAACAATTTATGGATCCTTAATCCCACCAATCCCTTCACGGATCCTCAAACTCACCAATCCCTCCACGGATCCTCAATCGCACCAATCCCTTCACGGATCCTCAAACTCACCAATCCCTTCACGGATCCTTAATCCCACCAATCCCTTCACGGATCCTTAATCCCACCAATCCCTTCACGGATCCTTAATCCCACCAATCCCTTCACGGATCCTTAATCCCACCAATCCCTTCACGGATCCTTAAACCCACCAATAACTTCACGGATCCTTAAACCCACCAATAACTTCACGGATCCTTAAACCCACCAACCCCTTCACGGATCCTTAAACCCACCAACCCCTTCACGGATTCTTAATACTGGAAACCTTTTAAAGTACCCCTAACCATGCCTTTCCATTCTATATCTTTACGGATCATCGAAGTCGTGTATATGTTCTAGCACACTTAGAACTGACGCTCCGAGACCAGAAGACTCCGCTAGGATAAACCCTGATATTCTTTTTTGATTTGTAGAAACATTAACTCAATTTTATCCTAATAGACACGAAAACAAACAACAGGTTCCGGTCCACATTTCAACGACGTCAACTTGATTTTTATTTATCGATTCTGCTACCATCCTAAAAAGAATTGATTGTACAATACTAGTTGTATTTCGCCTTGTCGCGATATTTAATCTGCGCATCTTTCTCATTTTCTTCTTTGAAAAATGCTATTTGCCTTTGCAAATGCGACACATTGCTATGAATCATGTGGTACCGTCAAGTGTCAATACACTATCATCTACCAGGTCCATCCTATGTCATAAAACAAATATGATGAGTCGACGCAAATAAATTGAAAAAAAATAAGATAATAAAGTTCGTTTTATGTGGAAGGGAAACGCTGAGTCATCACTTCCAATGACGAGAGAAGCTCTACTAAATGACAGCTGAGTATTGGCCGAAATCCTAACATGACCACTGTAACTATATCCCCGCAAATTCTTTATTGAAACACGTATTACTCATCAAACACTAACGTTTCTAGCTCTGCTGTTCAGTATCGCTTGGAGCACGTTATGTTTGGTGGGAAACACTATCCAAATACGGACTAATGTAACTAGGAAAACCATGCTGTTGTCAAGGAAGCCACATTGTGTATCTATTTTTGCTAAGAGGGTAAACAAAACGTGATACATTTGTGATCCAAATACACCAATGATGAAGATTTTGCCCATCAACTAGTAATTTTTATTTGATACACAGCCGTCGTTGAATGCCATTCCCACAAGCACGCGCGGGGAATGATGATATAAGGATTTTTCCTCACTACTATTGATTATATAGCTTTTTATTGATGATGTAATTTTCGTACTTTTATGCGGAGCGGTGATTTCCAGTCATTGCATCGAAGTTCGAAATATTCTTGTTCGAACACAAATGAAGCGTGTGTTAAATAAGTTGGTTCTCCATCATATAATACCCGTGTACATTTCTGGTTTATAATTCGATGTATAAAAAAAGTGTTGTAAACAATTCTTACCAGGTTACAGCGTAAAATAGTAGAACTCAACGTAAAGCTCTATTCAATATGGCGTCGTCTTACCATCAACTTTTTACCCGAACATTTTTTTTCATATCGCTTTATTTTATGTTTAGATCATTTAATACATTATGCATACTTTATAAGGTAAACAAATTCTTAACGTTGGGTCGTTGATGTTGACATCAGTGCTAACGCCGACCGACAAATAGCATGATAGTCTCGCTATCTCTCTTCAATCGAGACAAAAACATTGGTAGTTAAACAACAGACCTTTATTTTAAGCAATTCTTCTTTGTTTGATTTCTTCAAATTTACTTTAAAAATAAGAAATTAATTACAAGTTTGTACTACACTGAGGCCTACATGTAACTGTATTGGAAGTCCAAATATGAACCGCTTACCTTGAACGCCTAAGGCGCTTTGGAAAGCTATCAGTAGGGAACAGACGCGTTGCTCGGCTGTTTTCCTGTCACGCAAACTTTCAGGTATAATCCATAGGAACAACATCAATCATTAAAGGCAGTTAATTAACAGTTGTGCCAAACTTTTCATCTTTTATCGCCATAAAAGTGCGTTTTAAGCACTGTGATTATGACTGTGTTTTAATTAGTCAAAACCACGGTGGCGTATTTGTGAAATTTTAAAACATAGCGCCGTTCAATTATTCTTCTTGTAAAATTCATTGTATTTTTTAACAATTAACAATTTATGGAAAAAATGTGGAACACAAATACTGAATTGTTTAATTAACATTGTATAATCATAATGTCACACTACGGAGGGAGATCTGCTAAACATCAAACAAATGGAAAACCAGTCGTTCAGTTACTTGTATTTGTTGAAAATGCTCATGGAAACAGGATTAAATAATACCATAACAACAGAAGGTTTGAATTCAAATTCAAGCGAATGAAAACTTCAAAATTTAAACATGTACTTTCGATTTAATGTATTATTATTATTACTACTAGATTCTTAACGGCCCGTCAACACATGAAAGGTCATTAGGACCATCAACCGGTAAAACACACAGCGATCCAAAAAGGAAATAACATCAAACAAAATAAAAGGACGATTTAATGTAAAGCGTTATACACCATCATGTTTTTAATGTGAATTTATATTTTCAAAGAGATTTCTCGTATCTCATATTCATATCTAAACTAAATCCGGTTTGTAGCAATACCTAAAACTCGAAAACCGTGAACTAAAGAGAGATTTACAAGGACCAAATGCACAAAGAGATTACGACCATGTGTTCTGGAATGGTAAGCATCTTTTGCCTCTTGGTCAATACAAGTAAGTAAAGTAACGTTCTCAAATGAGAAAAAGGTTTACGACAATTAACCATTAAGACACATTAACATATATATTCATAAGACATTATGATGGTTAAAATGTACAATTCACATATCTAGAAGGAGACTGGGTGTGTCATCAGTTGAACAATCAGTGTCATTTGAGACGTTGCCCCATTCATTGCAATAGCTAGTGAGTGCCTTACTGAATATTATACGGGATGCCTTCTCTCTATCAGACCCTCACATCCTCAATTTCAACTGATATCTACAGCTGATACCTTCTAATTACATGTACTTCGGATCACTCTTGTCTCCTTCCTTCCTCAGATTTTTATAACAAAAATCATTCTCCGTCTCTCGTGTACCTTGCAGCTGAAAACGTTAACCCTTAAACACCTTCCCGACCCTACAGCTGTGTACCCAATCCAGGATACATTAAATGTGTAACATAAAAAAAAATTGTCACACTCCACGATGAATAGGGTTTTGTCTTCAGTCTTTAGAAACGGTGGTGTTCGGAAGTGCCTAGTATTACATGGCGTATCACACTATGTAATGTGTTAATTATAGGACCGTCCGACAAGCGCTGCACTTTCGTTCTCCCTTTTTACCAGACAATACATATCCATCTCCTGGTAGCTGTCAACTCCTCCTTTACCAAGCAGTACATGTCAACGTTATCTTTGTCAGTAAAGGAGTTACTCTAGGCCTACGTCACCACTAGAGTGCATGAAAAAAACCGTAAATGTCCAATTTAGCAAAGTCAATGAAATACCATTTTTCCCGTCTCTACTCTCTTCGCTGTTGTACGGTGAAAATGAAGTGATATATATATATATCATCATCAATAAAAATATTGCCTGTCAGTAAGTGTGATATCAGTGATTCTTGGCACTGTAAGTCAAGTACATTAACACGTCAGGCATCGCTGTCAGTGGAAGCTTACAAGACTACAAGTACATGTCATAGATCGCTGTAAGCTTACTACAAGTACATGTCATAGATCGCTGTAAGCTTACTACAAGTACATGTCATAGATCACTGTACGCTTACTACAAGTACATGTCATAGATCGCTGTACGCTTACAAGTACATGTCATAGATCGCTGTACGCTTACTACAAAAACATGTCATACACTGCTGTAAGCTTACTACAAAATCATGTCATACATCGATGTAACCTTACTACAAGTACATGTCATACATCGCTGAACGCTTACTACAAAACATGTCATAGATCGCTGTACGCTTACTACAAGTACATGTCATAGATCGCTGTACGCTTACTACAAGTACATGTCATAGATCGCTGTACGCTTACTACAAGTACATGTCATAGATCGCTGTACGCTTACTACAAAAACATGTCATAGATCGCTGTACGCTTACTACAAGTACATGTCATACATCGCTGTAAGCTTACTACAAGTACATGTCATACATCGCTGTACGCTTACTACAAAACATGTCATAGATCGCTGTACGCTTACTAAAAGTACATGTCATAGATCGCTGTACGCTTACTACAAGTACATGTCATAGATCGCTGTACGCTTACTACAAAAAACATGTCATAGATCACTGTACGCTTACTACAAGTACATGTCATACATCGCTGTAAGCTTACTACAAGTACATGTCATACATCGCTGTACGCTTACTACAAGTACATGTCATAGATCGCTGTACGCTTACTACAAAAAACATGTCATAGATCGCTGTACGCTTACTACAAGTACATGTCATACATCGCTGTAAGCTTACTACAAGTACATGTCATAGATCGCTGTACGCTTACTACAAGTACATGTCATACATCGCTGTACGCTTACTACAAAAACATGTCATAGATCGTTGTACGCTTACTACAAAAACATGTCATAGATCGCTGTACGCTTACTACAAGTACATGTCATAGATCGCTGTACGCTTACTACAAATACATGTGATATATTGCTGTAAGCTCACTACAAATACATGTCATACATTTTGTAAGCTTTCTAAAAGTACATGTCATGAATCGCTGTAAGTTTACTACAAATACATGGGATATATTGCTGTAAGCTCACTACAAGCACATGTCATACATCGCTGTAAGCGTACTACAAATAAATGTATTACATCGCTGTAAGCGTACTACAAGCACATGCCATGAATCACTATATGCGTACAACAAGAAAAGTAATGCATCGCTTTAAATTCACAATCAGTAAATGCCAGCTTTCTACCAGTAAATGTCATGAACCACTACTAACAATTTGTACTTTACACTAAACACTCACAACTCTCAAAATACCGTACTGCAAATACTTAATACCGTACTGCAAATACTTGACATCACTACCGATGAGAGCTGACGACCAGTAGTGTGAGGTGGATTTTACTAGAAATCCTGATATATTATGCGTGTTTGATGTTTTACAAGTCCTGTTAATGACTCAAACCTTCAAGATGACAGCCGGTAGTATGACATATGAAACATGCCTATAACTAATTATACCTGTAAAACATGATACTATTGCGGCCAGGATGAGTCAGTGTGCAAACAACACAGATTGAGAATGGAATTAGCGCTGGGACAGCGAAGCTCCAAACAAAGATAGTTGTTCACAGCATGTCACAGCTAAACAACCACGAACCGATTTGTTGACAATGAGATATAGAACCGAATAATGACATCTGTTAATAATTAATCTAGGTCAGGAAAATATGCTCACAGACTGATGACTTTTACAAGGAAGGTTAAACTTTGACACTCAGAGACGTTCACGGGAGTGATGTCCAATAGAGGGAGGTATACACTGAAATTCAGAGATGTTTACAGGAGGGAGGCAATAAACGATAATCAGAGATGTTTACAGGAGGGAGACAAAATAAAGACACTCAGAAATGTTTACAGGAGAGAGGCACAACAACGAGAACCAGAGATGTTTACAGGAGAGAGGCAAAACAACGACACCAGAGATGTTTACAGGAGGGAGATAAAATAACGACACTCAGAATTGTTTACAGGAGAGAGGCAAAACAACGAGAACCAGAGATGTTTACAGGAGAGAGGCAAAACAACGACATCAGAGATGTTTACAGGAGGGAGATAAAATAACGACACTCAGAAATGTTTACAGGAGAGAGGCAAAACAACGAGAACCAGATATGTTTACAGCAGGGAGGCAAAACAACGACAACCAAGGATGTTTACAGCAGGGAGGCAAATCAAAGACAACCAAGGATGTTTACAGGAGAGAGGCAAAACAACAATCAGAGATGTTTACAGGAGGGAGGCAAAAGAACAATCAGAGATGTTTACAAGAGAGAGGCAAAATACAACAATCAGAGATGTTTCCAGGAGAGAGGCAAAACATGACAAACAAAGATGTTTCCAGGAGGGAGACAAAACAACGACAATCAGAGATGTTTCAAGGAGGGAGACAAAACAACGTCAACCAAAGGTGTTTACAAGAGGGAGATAAAATAACGACACTCAGAAATGTTTACAGGAGAGAGGCAAAACAACGAGAACCAGAGATGTTTACAGCAGGGAGGCAAAACAACGACAACCAAGGATGTTTACAGCAGGGAGGCAAAACAAAGACAACCAAGGATGTTTACGGGAGAGAGGCAAAACAACAATCAGAGATGTTTACAGGAGGGAGGCAAAAGAACAATCAGAGATGTTTACAAGAGAGAGGCAAAACATGACAAACAAAGATGTTTCCAGGAGGGAGACAAAACAACGACAATCAGAGATGTTTCAAGGAGGGAGACAAAACAACGTCAACCAAAGGTGTTTACAAGAGGGAGGCAAAGCATGACAATCAGAGATGTTGCTGGAGGGAACCAAAACAATAACAACCAAAGATTTTTACAGGAGGGAGGCAAAACAACGACAACCAGAGATGTTTCCAGGAGGGAGGCAAAATAACGACAACCAGAGATGTTTACAGGAGAGAGGCAAAACAACGCCAATCACAGATGTTTACAGGCGAATGGTGGAAGAAGGAAGCTATACAATCGCCTGTAAAATATCTAAGTAATGTGATAAAATGAATCATATATTCGTCTCTATTTTATGAGAGTTTTATGAAACGATTCTTACCCACAGTTATTTGACTCGTTTTGTAGATTACACTATGACCTGTAAATACATGTATGTACCATTCTCTATTCAATGACAATAGGCGGATACAGATGATGGTTTCAAATCACTCGTCTAACAAACTTAATTCTCAATGCCAAAACAAGAGCTACTAAAGACAAAAACATACTGTCTTGTGTTTTAATCGTGACGACACTTACCCATAAACAATGGAGACGGTCCTTTACACAGGTACATAAGCTATGATGCAGCATGTAGGGTTCGTTTCTGCGGTGCCCTCGAAACCTCTCATCCTTTTTATCCGACACGGAATGCCCCTTTTCATTTCCAGGGCCCCAGCCTCCGTATCGGATTTTTTCTGGAGATCACATTAAATTCCACTTTCTAAGGACAATCATCGTCGGCCGCACCAGTGTTCCTCCCTGTGAAAAAGGACGTAATTAGTTTTGACCTGTGAAACCTTCGATGGTAGCTGATCATACATGTATGCTGATTGAGAAGTAATTTCGGAAGACCTTTCCGTCCCGAATCCAAACTATCACGCAGTGTACGTTGTAATCATTGTACGTACACGACCCCTCACGTTACGCTTTTTCCAATCAAAAACAGGTGCATCCATCATTCCCAATATGACATTTTCTCATCCTTTTTACATTAAAGTCAAATGAGCACAGTGCTTTTCCATGTTAAGTAGACTACCGCGCAAAGGAAGCTTCCCGTGTTCGCGGATCAATCGTTGAGCGGTCCAGGAGTCTGGAGTGTAAGATATATCGTGCACTTTAGATAAATTTCTCTCTCAACTGCTGAATAAACTTACAAACAAAACCTGATCCTGACTCACATGGTACTGCACGCGATCATTGTCACGTGATTACTCTTGGATAAGTGCATAATAATGCCGGAGTCGGAGCAGATCCATGAATACGAGACAGATAAGGCAACGAAACGGTGTAATATGCATTGTATATTTCACACTGAAATAGAATCAGATAAACGAATGTCATTACAACTTGGCCACAGCTGGCGAAATATGTATTATGTGTCCTCGTTCTGTACATGTACATTACGGCGATAAACAGAAATATGTCCAGAAAAACAACAGCGTCCACCTGCAGCGGAACAGGAAATGAGGTTTTAAATCGTACACCGGAACTGAGAATGAAATATTAGTAAGAAGAAATGGTCCGTTAGCACGAGATCTGTTGGGAAGCCATTTTGGTATGAATACCACCTTAAATAACAAAGTACATTCACGTTTAATTTACCTGCAGAAATGATGAGCCTCTTGTGTGTTGTAAATAAGTAAGTCATCAAATTTTAAGACAACTAATTTCTACATGTATATTATGTATGTTGCCATATTTCTGTACTCTTTGTTGACGTTTCTCGTTTCTGTATACGTTTATACCAGGTCAGCTGTATGTCAATGTTTTCCCTGTTATTGTCTTGAATCAGTAATTTACAAGGTATACAGCCGAAGTTACTAGGATTGATCACAAACTCCATTGTCCCCAAACAGATAAAAAAATAATTAACCTATCCTATATTGAATTATTCTCAGTCGTATCAAAGTATATCTAGTTATCGATTTAATCAGTCGTCCGTCTGACCACATACTACTTACCGTGTACGTATTTGTCCGTGATACTGGGACCAATTAATACATATTACTTATTGTCACATCATCAGCAGTCACGACTGGTCTTTAAAAAGGAACAGAAAATTCCTTCCTTTTTGCCTCTCCGTTTGTGCCCCTCCCTTCGCCCCTCCCGTCGGATCCTTCCTGATCTCGGAATGTGTCGTGAACATCCACGTAACACAACTACTTCTCACATCCACAATATTAACCTTCAATACACAGTCGCAGTTTCTCCAATAATTCCGTTGTAATCATCTCGTTTGAACATGTTTGAAGTCGGAGGCGTGACGTCCTCCGCATTATTTATGAATGAAAACACATGGAGCGACGAGCTAAATTATTAACTGCCGTTTGTTTGATGTAAAATCTTACACACTGCTGGAGGAATTAAACTTCAAACAATCCACTACAGGTTCCAGGTGAGTGACGAAGACTTGCCTAGTCAACTTAAATACTAATAAATTACGTTATAAAATCGATATTCATTCGAAATCAATACACAATATAAGCGATGCCTCTGCTATACCATAACTGCTAATTAGACTTCAAATGAATGTACTTCATTTCAAAGTGACGATGAATTTCTCAGAAACATCCATTAAGATATAATGTCGACCCTTCAACAAGCTGTCCTTACTCGTGTATGGGCGATCGAAACACCGGTAGCTTTTCTTACCCCAAAGAAACTACACACAGCTTTTCTACTAATACCGCTTAGCGACTTCACCAGCGGAGCACAGTGAAAACCCTATCGCTGTCTGGCTGGGCATTGGGTTTCGTTTAATTTAGATCTGTTTTTTATTCTGTTCAATGGGTATTTAATTTGGCAAATGGTGCTGTTTGTTTTCTTTACTTATTGCATTACTTATGTGTTTATCAGCTGTTTAAATGTTTAGTCTTTGTAATCAGGAGACCTGATAGCCTTATAAAGGACTGCGATACACATGTACGTGTATTACACAACGTGCTATTTTACAAAGTAGTGCTGTGCAACGTACGAGATGTTAAATCGCTATTCAGAGCTAGATCTGCTGTGCGATCCAGCTCAAACTCGAATAATGTGAAGAAAAAAAATTAGTCAAAACCGGAAGTGACACGATGCATTGCATCCGGTCTAGACTGAATCATGAACGTCATGACTACAATATAAACGTATTCGATCAATTAATTTTATTGAGCTAAATTATCAAAATGTAATTATATTGATAACGAAAACGTATAAGGAGTAGTGTACATGGTGTGCACAGGTAGGCGTTTGTAATTGTGACGTCATTTAAAAAATGACAACGACTAAACACTTTTGAGTTATATTAAGACTGATGTATTGGGACAACGAAGGCAGCCATGCTTTTATTATGCGGGCTAGTAAATATACACGTCAGTACAACACAGGATTAGAGACGGACTTTTGTAAAATTGGAATTATTTCTCCGGAATAAAATTACGATATATGTGTTGTATTACTTTATTTCAGTAAAAATCCATGTTTTATATGCATACTAATTTTCCAAATCTATCAAGAAGTTAAATAGCCGAGACAATTTCATCTAAAACGACGTTAGGGATGGGAAAATGACGTCATATTTTAAACAGAATGACACGACACGGAAATATTTTGTCGTCGATTTCAACCAATACTGATACAACAGTCCGTATTGAGCACCGAGGATAAATGGTTAAATAAAACCCACACATAAACAAACAAACAAACAAATTACTTTTGAGGATAATATCCAGGACCAAATTTTAACCGCCTCAATTGCAAGCAGTGAATATTACCAGTTTACCAGTATATATGCTTTTCTTGACATACAATAGAATATCAACACAAATCTCATTACGTTGTCCAGTCTACACCAGAACTGTGACGTCATACTTTTGTTGTCAAAACTGCTAGCTTTTTTTTCAGCGTCTTTCCCCCCATTTCCGTTGATGAGCGGACACACTTTACACACATATCTTCTACAGTATAGACACTGAAATCTTTGGGTTGAAAGAACGTAATTTCTCTGGTGTTCATATTTTGACTGTCTATCTATTCTCCACACACCGAAAGATAATTACGTTGCTTCAGGGAACTATTTTTGGCTCAGTTATTGGTCCAGGGTTATGACAATTCCAGGGACGTTACGTATAGAATGTCCAAAGGACCAGGAAATGGACCTCCGGCCCCCAACTAATCAAGAGAAGTGTGCTGTAGCATCAGGATTGGTCAATGACGAGCCTGAACGAAATAAACTATCAGTAAGCACAGACATCGGGCTGTAGTGGAATCTAGTGAAGAAATAAAGCTACTCATCACACACCGGTAGACACGAGGTCGTGCTCGAGAAAACGGTCCTCTGTAATTTCGAGCACATTTGAGAGCAGTACTTCGTGAGGACATTGTGTGGCAACATTATTATCAATGTCAAGCCATTTTATGGCCACCAGGCGTCGTACCTGTGTTCTTAAATAACCACTCTCTGATACGGTCACATTTTCCTTCATACATGTGTGTTCTGTATTTACTTGTTCATCGTAACTTCTGAAAGATCATAATGTAATGGAAAAGATATAAAAGGAATCACGTGAAGTGAATACCCTTTAGTGTTTTATCTTTCTCTATATATTCGTCTTCAAACTATCTGGGGTAGAAAATACCATCACACACACAGAGGCCGCACGATATCTACATACTGTGTGTAGTTCACGAGGTATTTACCGCGTTACAACCTGACATACAAGACGAAATGACAACTTGTGCATGGAAACTATTATATGTTTACATTATCATGACGCAATAAACACGTTTACATTTACCGTGGCGTAATAAACTCGTTTTCATGATTCTGACTGTTGTAGTGACGTAACGTCAGCACATCTACGGTAAATATTATCCGTATGATTGCCATTGTCATGTAATGACTGTAACGCTGACTTGGCGGTTTTTTATATACATTGTACGTTTGTTTCGTTAACTGAACAGTCGGCGTCAATTTGAGACATATTATCCATTTAATAGGTGGTGGCTACATCAGTGAACAACATACGGGATGCCCGCTACATGCATTTCTCAAGGATGCAGCCATGTCAATACAGACTGTTCATCCGCTTCCTATATTGCCGAGAAAAAATACGTCACTTAAGATCTTCGCATGTGGTTACAATTTTCAATGCTCTATCGACCGAGATATCGTGGCCTTCACATGTTCCTAAATGGTTGAATATGATGTACCGTCAGTAACACAGGTATTTTAACACTCATTTACGATATACATCTAATTTCTGCGGATCTGCTACATGTATAATGCTCAAGTTACACTTTGCGTGATTCAGTGTTAAAGTCACCTACAAAGAAGCTCAAACAGGCTGTGATGCATTGACCTGTAATTACAATTTACCAATAGTACACGCAAGTTAACGTACACCGGAAGCGGATGTCCATCAATTGTATCTTCAGCTGATCAATTAACTCGATACACGACATCCATATATCCGGATTATCCCCTTAATTTTCTAATTAATTACTGCTCATCGCCAAGTGGCATACCATTAAGACTGCCTATAAAATATTTTTAAAGTCTCGTTTAAATCAATGGCGCTCAATTCCAGAAGAGCAATTTGCAACGCGTTGCAATGTTCTGGAATGGAACGAACGCTAATTATGTGGAAAGGCATGTGACCTTGCGCAGCGTGACGGTGTTCTATGGTTACCAGTAACATCTGACACGGCCCACAGAACACACACGGCTAACGATGAGAGTGATATATATTCATAAGGCCATACATTATTATCAGTAA